CCGTTCAGGTCCATATAGTTCTCCAGAGCGCAGCACAATTGGTTTAGATGGTAGTTCCACTCCTCCCCGCGCCAACACTCTCAATCGTCTACGTTCTGGTCCACGTGATACAATCCCTATCGTTGGAAAACCTCCACGCAAGCAGCGTAGCAGTCGCTTCGTCGTCACTGAAAAGGTTGACATTGAAAAATTGCCCCCTTTCTCAGGTAATTACGCGTTCCGTCCATACCCGTGTCGCGTCACTAATTGACTAAATCCAGATACTCCCCTCACCGAGCGTTCTCTTTTATTCATCAAGAAGCTCAATCAGTGCCGGGTGTTGTTTGACTTCAATGATGCGAGTGCAGAACTTAAAGGTAAACAAATAAAGGCACAGACCTTACACGAAATGCTCGAGTATATCACAACTCAGAGGAACGTCATCACTGAAAATATATACCCCGAGGTTGTCAACATGGTTAGTCTCTCATCACACAACATCCATCTTCCACTCACCTCTCAAATCAGTTTGCTGTCAACCTCTTCCGATCAATACCCCCGCCTGTCAACCCCACCGGTGATGCTTTTGACCCTGAAGAAGATGAGCCTGTCTTGGAACTCGCTTGGCCTCATCTCCAGATTGTGTACGAATTTTTCCTCCGCTTCGTCGAGAGCCCAGATTTCAACACCAATCTCGCCAAACGATACATTGACCAACCCTTCGTGCTAAATCTCCTCGAGCTCTTTGACTCTGAAGACCCTCGGGAACGCGACTTTCTCAAGACTACCCTACACCGCATTTACGGTAAATTCCTCAACCTTCGGGCCTTTATCCGTCGGTCGATAAACAACGTCTTTTATCATTTCGTCTACGAATCCGAGAGACATAATGGCATTGCAGAGCTCCTTGAAATCTTGGGCTCAATCATCAACGGCTTTGCCCTACCTCTAAAGGATGAGCACAAGACATTCTTAACCCGGGTGCTCCTTCCCCTACATAAAGTCAAGAGTCTTTCGCTTTATCACCCGCAGCTTGCATACTGTGTCGTGCAGTTCCTGGAGAAGGATCCAGCCCTGGCAGAGGAGGTTATGCTCGGACTGCTGAAATTCTGGCCCAAGGTCAACTCCCCAAAAGAGGTCATGTTCTTGAATGAAGTCGAAGAAGTACTTGATGTTACCGATCCCTTGGAGTTCCAGAAGATCCAGGTCCCGCTGTTCCAGCAACTTGCGCGATGTATCAACAGCCAGCACTTCCAGGTCGCCGAGCGAGCCTTGTTATACTGGAACAACGAATACGTAGTCAATCTCATGAGTGATAATTTAGCCGTTCTCCTCCCAATCGTCTTTCCCGCGTTGTATACAAATTCCAAGAGCCACTGGAACCGGTACGTCTACCTTTCTAATAATAGAATGCTACTCACGTCTCGTTAGGACTATTCATGGGATGGTGTATAATGCACTGAAGTTGTTTATGGAGATCAACCCGGAGTTGTTTGACGATACGATGCAACACTACAAGCAACGGAAAATCGAGTGAGTTCACTGACATTCTACGTTAGTTTAAGATGAACACAAGATGACAGGCAGCAACAACATGCTGTTGAGCGATATGACCAATGGCAGAAAGTCCGCGAGAAGGCAATACAGAATGCTGGCGGGAAGTTGCCTCCTGGATTTCAAGAGGTCGAACGTTTACCCCCACCGCCTCCATCGCCTAGCGATGACTCGGATATTTTGGACTTATCGATGGAGCTGAATGCAGTGTCACTTGATGGCGATATTCCTGGTGACCTGGACGAATCGGGTATCGAACGAGTACCCATGGCTGACCCTGGGTTGGATGTGAGTGGCGCCTCGACCATCTACAATCTTGGTGCATCTGTTTACCACGTGGTTTCAGCGTGAGTTTCCCCATGTTGGAGGTGAGCCTGCTTCTCAGAGTCCTCATGTACGACGAAAGAGCGTTCTTCCTGGCGCGTGCCTTTTCATATTATCAAACCGCAGTTTAAGCTTATACCTCGTGTTTAGTGGATCCGTCTGTAATTCGCGACCTACAAGCCCATCGGAGCTTGGACGATACTCTTGGAATTGGAGGGCATCATACGAATGGAGCGTAACTGCCGACCGCGTATATGATCATGACTGCGAATTGACAAGATACTATCAGACCCACATGACTGACGACATTTTCAATTCAATTCTGCGCTACCTGCCTGTGTTATATTTCTCGACCGACATCGGGGCTATCTTAGTTCGTACACGGCGTGTCATTTTATGTTCTGATGAGCAAGCCTGGAGCATTTTGTTATGTGCTTCTGAAATTTCTACCGTACGATACATATCCTTTATAGAAGTATTTTGGACATTATCGTGACCAACAACATACCAATGTCATTTGTCTGAAAGCGGTGCCGTGGTACCTGGGGCAGGTGAACCCTAGTTTTTCCAAATGAGGAGTATGCCGTGGTTATGTAATCGATCTACGTCAGGGAAGAACCCTCTAGAATACTGAAGGAACGTCCTGGAATGACGAAGAATATCTTTCATATAAAAGATGTCAGTTCGCAGTTGTTTCCCTTCACTGTTATCTTTTTCCTCAGGTGAGCTCGCAGAGCATAAACTTCCTCTAAACACATCCTTAATCCTCTCAAGAATCCTAATCTCTTAAAATGCCTGCCAAAGCTATTGGTATTGACTTGGGCACCACCTACTCGTAAGTTTCGTTTAGGGAGCGTCTTGGACCGCCATACTCATGAAATCATCATTATCTAGTTGTGTCGGCGTTTGGCAAAATGATCGTGTTGAGATCATCGCCAACGACCAGGGTAACCGTACTACCCCCTCCTATGTCTCCTTTTCAGACAACGAACGGTTGATTGGTGACGCTGCCAAGAACCAGGTCGCCATGAACCCCCACCACACGTAAGTTTCTTATCTTTTTTTTCGTTTCTCGCGCTAACGCGTTATGGTAGCGTTTTCGACGCTAAGCGTCTCATCGGTCGTAAATTCGACGATGCTGAGGTCCAGTCGGACATCAAGCACTTCCCCTTCATCGTTTTCAACAAGGGTGGTAAACCTTACATCCGAGTGGAGTACAAGGGGGAGCAAAAGGAGTTTTCTCCCGAAGAAATCTCATCCATGGTTCTCCTCAAGATGAAGGAGACCGCTGAGTCCTACTTGGGCTACGCCATCTCCGACGCTGTCGTCACTGTCCCTGCCTACTTCAACGATTCTCAGAGACAGGCTACGAAAGACGCTGGTACCATCTCTGGAATGAACGTTCTTCGTATCATTAACGAGCCCACTGCTGCCGCTATCGCTTACGGTCTCGACAAGAAAGTTGTCGGTGAGCGGAACGTCCTCATTTTCGATCTTGGAGGAGGAACCTTCGATGTGTCCCTCTTGACCATCGAGGAGGGTATCTTCGAGGTGAAGGCCACCGCTGGTGACACTCACTTGGGTGGTGAGGACTTCGACAACCGTCTCGTCAACCACTTTGCGCAAGAATTCAAGCGCAAGCACAAGAAGGGTAAGTAATTTTCTTGTTTTTTTTCTTCTTAATTCCAGTGCTAATAAAGTCATAGATCTCTCTTCCAACCCCCGTGCGCTCCGTCGTCTACGGACTGCTTGCGAGCGTGCCAAGCGTACGCTATCGTCGGCAACCCAGACTTCCATCGAGATCGACTCCCTCTTCGAGGGTATCGACTTCTACACTTCCCTCACTCGTGCCCGTTTCGAGGAGCTGTGCGCGGACCTGTTCCGCAGCACGCTCGAGCCCGTTGAGAAGGTCCTCCGGGACTCGAAGATCGACAAGGCGAACGTCCACGAAATCGTCCTTGTCGGTGGTTCCACGCGTATCCCCCGTATCGTTAAGCTCGTGTCCGACTTCTTCAACGGCAAGGAGCCCAACAAGAGCATCAACCCTGATGAGGCCGTTGCATACGGTGCTGCCGTTCAGGCTGCCATTCTTTCCGGCGACACCTCTGAGAAGACCCAGGATCTCCTGCTTCTCGATGTTGCACCTCTATCGCTCGGTATTGAGACTGCTGGTGGTGTCATGACCGCCCTCATCAAGCGTAACACTACCGTCCCCACCAAGAAGTCAGAGACTTTCTCGACATACTCGGACAACCAGCCTGGTGTCTTGATCCAGGTGTACGAGGGTGAACGTGCACGCACAAAGGACAACAACTTGCTCGGCAAGTTCGAGCTGTCTGGTATTCCTCCCGCACCTCGTGGTGTTCCTCAGATTGAGGTCACCTTCGACATTGACGCCAACGGTATCTTGAACGTCTCTGCATCTGACAAAACCACCGGCAAGTCAAATCGCATCACGATCACCAACGACAAGGGTCGCTTGTCTGCAGAGGAGATCGAGCGCATGGTCAACGAGGCTGAGAAATACAAGGGTATGTTTTTGCTCTTCTATACTGTTTAGATGCATAAATTGACTTTGTTGTCTTGCAGCTGAGGATGAGGCCGCTGCTGCTCGCATTCAGGCCAAGAACGGCCTTGAGTCATACGCATATAACCTTCGCAATTCCATCACCGACGAGAAGCTTGCTGACAAGTTCGACCCCGCCGACAAGTCGAAGCTCGAGAGCTCCGTGAACGAGACCATCTCCTGGCTGGATGCATCACAGGAAGCATCGAAGGAGGAGTACGAGGGGAAGCAGAAGGAGTTGGAGGCCATCGCCAACCCTATCATGCAGAAGCTGTATGGCGCTGCTGGTGGTGCTCCTGGTGGTTTCCCTGGTGGTGCTCCTGGTGGTTTCCCCGGTGGTGCACCAGGTGGTTTCCCTGGTGCTGGCGAGGATGGTCCTTCGGTGGAGGAAGTCGACTAAAGCAGCCGCCTGTTCTCTTGTTTGACTAGTGTTTTTGTCGCGCATTTTACGTCATATCTTCATCGCATTGCACGGTACGAGTGTGTCATGAACAAATAATGTCTCTACTACAACTTTGTATGCTACATTATCGCATTTCCTAGAATGAATTTTCCTTTCATCTCTGCATTTGTCCGGTGCAAACGTTCCTTGAATGAGATAAGTATAGATGGTGTATTAATGTGACCTGTCTCAGTATGTCATCCTTACTCTTGCGTGCGTAAAGCAAGCTCCAACATTCGGAACACTGAGCGTTCGCCATGGCACAACTACGCTCAAGGACAAGACCCCCTCAACACATGACAAGGTTCGTTATATCGAAACTTATCAGGAAAAATCAGCACAAAGCTAGTCCTTAGGAATATCTACGACCAGCTCTTTTATCAAGGGTCGAGTCTCTCCAAGCTAAGAGATGCGATCACAGCAGGTCGCCTTCTCCAGTCTTCAGATGGCGGTATCGGTGTACCAGGGAGAAGTCTAGCATGGAAGGCAAGGCAAACACAATGAATCAGACCGTGTGCTCATACCGACTCCATTTAGCTGTTCCTCTTGAAGAACGTGCCGCTGGAACCTCCGCCTCACGAAATACCAGTACCTCCGCTGGAGGCTTTACGTGCTCTTCGAAAGCAGTACTCCGAGCTGCTGCTGGAGAAGATGCGTGCTCCAGATGGATCTTATGATGAGACTTTTGTCGTGCCAGGACTTACCATTCCGAGGAGGAACGCCAAGCCGCCAACGGATTTGGAGACGAACAACCCTCTCAGTTTGCACGATGAGGTAGGAGGTGCTTTTGCATGTACTCACTCAATCATCATGTTAATGATGTGCTTTGAAGAACCCTTGGAGGGAATGGTTCGCAGCTGTAGATCTCAGGAAAAACTATCCAGCAAGATGTTGAACGGACGTGAGTTCCCTTCCTAAAGATTTACTGTTTGTGGTACATCTTCTTCCTGCAGTTTCCCTGATATAGGTTACTTTCGCGACGATGATGTACAGCAGCAACTCACCAATATCCTGTTCCTATACGCTGCCATGCATCCCGATATTGAATACCGGCAAGGCATGCATGAGCTACTTGCACCCGTATACTACGCTGTAGGTATGTGATCCAACCACTGTTATATCTTTCATGTGTCCGCAGTCTACGTCTCGTCTGCTTGGTCCGCTCATATGACTATTTTCAAAGCTGAAGAATAAATATCTTTGGCTATAGATTATGACTCCACTGCCGATGACGCTACATCACCGTCGGACGAATCTGTCTTTCGGGAGATTTGCTCGCGAACGTGGATTGCAGCTGATTCATGGGCACTTTTTTGCGCCATCATGAATGGCATCTCCAAGTGGTACGAGTGGCGCGAACCGTCGTCTGTCGAAACGTCCTCTGCTCGTGGTCAAGTCAACTTTAAGCCGTATATGTCACCGATTACCTTGGTCTGCAACCACATTCAAAACAGTCTTTTAAAATCCGTCGATCCCATTCTTCACGGGGTATTGCAGAACTCGGGCATCGAGCCGCAGATCTATGGATTGTGTGTGGTTTCATGTCTTCTGGGCCCTCTCAGGCTAATGTGATCGATCACATCGTCAGACGATGGCTTCGCCTGTTGTTCACGCGTGAACTTTCTATGGACGATGCGATGATTCTATGGGACGGGCTGTTTGCGAGCCCAATCCCAATCTCTGAGCTCGCTCAGTGGATATGCGTGGCTATGCTTATACGTATACGAACCAAATGTGAGTTTCGATGCCTTCTCGAGTTGTATTCAGATAGTAACGATATGCAGTGATCCCATCGGACTATAGCATGCAACTAACATACCTATTGCGATACCCTCCCTCTCAGGTAGAAGATGGAGCCCCGCATCACGCAATCCTACTGCTTCGTCAAGCATCGTTGCTGCAAATGTCCCGTACACCCTCCGCGGGCGCGATTGTGATGACTGAAAACCGCAACCTTCTAAATATTCCCCTGGAAGTACCAGATTCACCTGTCCAAGTGAAGCGGAGGGCACGTCCTCCGACCTCATCAGATTTCCATGGAACTTCTTCTGGGCAAGGAGAGCATATGCGTCAGTCGCCCTCATTCCAGATTGGGCTGCCAGAATTGATTGCTCGGGGGCTCATGGATCGCGGGGAGAGCCTTGGGATTAACAAGACTGTAATGAATGCGGTATCCGAACTAAGGGTAAGTCTAGACAATGTCGAGAGTGTCCTTCTGCTGATTTGTGGTATCGTAGCGCAACCTCCCCGAATTGGCCGCGTCTCTGGTTCGCACGCCATCTACGGTATCGGCGCCCTATGCAGCATATCCCTTGCTCGACGAGCAGATAACAGATGACAGGCACGTTTCGGAGAATGGAAGCCGCATGGAAACAGAACGTGCTGCAATAGAGCTGAGAGGGCAGAATAAACGCCTTGGTGAATCGATCACTTGGATACTAAGCGTTCTGCAGTCCAAGGAATCATCGGAAGCCAAGGATGAGGATGCTGCGAGAGTTTCGGTGCAGCAAAAGGAAGCTCTCGAGTCACTAGCTTATGTGAGGGACATCCTAGGTGGAGAGGTGAAGGAGATTGACGAGCGCCGTCTGTGGGGGGCGGAAGAATACAATAAGCGTTTGGAAGGTCAGAACAAGCAAGAGTCTATGGAGGCGTCTGTGTCCCCACCAAGACAACGTTCAATGACGACCCCTACAAATGAACACCCACCACCGCCATTACAGCGGGAAGTTCAAAATTTCACGTCCGGAACTCCTGTGTTTATTCGGTCAACGGCATCTACTCCATTACACTCTCCTTCGATGGCCTCAAAGGCGATTCCTATGGCATTGTCGACTCATAATCGCTCTCAGTCATCGACTGGGACGTTCTCCGTCAAGCCGATTACGATGCAGCGGACACCCCTTCGCCTATCATCTAATAATCCCTTCCAACGCACACCTGACGTGGGTGGGATCCTGCCTGCGGCTGTCAAGAGCGATCAAAGTCCGAAGGTCCGAAGTGAAGTGCAACAGCACGATCCGCTGGGAGTTCTGAAGTAGATTTTTGCTTGTGGTGGTTACAAGAGATGACGATCGTGCTACATAATAGATATCTGTGCGTGGATTAATATATTTAGATTATGGTATGTACTACGTAGTGGAAGGTCATTGCGGAGGTTGTACGGAGTTTGATTGGGCGACCAATGGTGGGAAGGCCATTGGCCGACTCGCGCGTGATTTCCCATTGCAAGGCCTCCGGGTGTCAACAACTTTCCCGTAGCTCATCGGAGTCTCTCGTTTATTTTTCTTCCTCGTCGTCGACGACGACAGCATCCATGTTCAGGAAGTCGGTGTCCAAGGCAGTGCCCTCTCGGGCTCTGCTTCGTCCTCAGCGCGCTTTTTCCACTTCACTCCCCGTCAGGAGAGTCGTCGCGTCTAATCCAGTCAAGGCAGAGGAGGTCAAGGTATATCTCCCAGCTCCCATGTCGTTTTTTCTACTGTTCTGACAGTTTTTAAGTCCTGGTCTTCAGGCAAATACCCCCTCATCGAGCACGAGTACGATGCTATTGTCGTGTGAGTAGCGCTCCGGACCAATAAAGAATCATCAGAGCTGAGCATGTGACCCTTTAGTGGTGCTGGTGGTGCAGGTCTTCGCGCTGCCTTCGGTCTTGCGGAAGCTGGCTTTAACACGGCTTGTATAACTAAGTTATTCCCAACCCGAAGTCACACTGTTGCAGCGCAGGTACGTTGCATCATGTTCAGCAGTATCTGACACACTCATATCACACTTTCAAGGGTGGTATCAATGCTGCTCTCGGTGTAAGTGCACATTGAGGAGTTTAAAGTCTTTTCGCTGATGAGTTACCTGTAGAACATGACGGAAGACGACTGGCGATGGCACATGTACGATACGGTTCGTGTCATTTGATATATTACACTCCCGAGTCGTTTAGTTGATCTGAATTTCGACAGGTTAAAGGCTCTGATTGGCTCGGTGACCAAGATGCAATTCATTATATGTGTCGCGAGGCTCCCAGATCCGTCTACGAGGTCAGCTTAGATGTTACGTGCTTGTTTCTCTGGCTTATTACTTTTTCTAGCTTGAACATTATGGTGTTCCATTCTCCCGTACCAAGGATGGAAAGATTTACCAACGTGCCTTTGGTGGTCAGTCTTTGAAGTATGGCAAAGGCGGCCAAGCATACCGCTGTGCTGCAGCTGCCGATCGTACCGGCCACGCTCTCCTCCACACCCTTTACGGCCAGTCTCTGCGACACAACACGAATTTCTTCATCGAATACTTTGCTCTGGACTTGATCATGCAGGATGGCGAGTGCGTTGGGGTCATTGCGCTCAATATGGAGGACGGTACGCTCCACCGCTTCAGGGCACATAAGACAGTCCTCGCAACCGGCGGTTACGGTCGTGCCTATTTCAGCTGCACGAGTGCGCACACTTGTTCGGGTGATGGTAATGCAATGGTTGCTCGTGCTGGCCTTCCTCTGCAGGATCTGGAGTTTGTTCAGTTCCACCCAACCGGTATCTATGGTGCCGGCTGCCTTATCACTGAGGGTGATTGTCTTTCTGTAAGGTATCTGTATTGTGGCTGACTGTGCGTTAGGTTCTCGCGGCGAGGGAGGCTACCTCCTGAACTCTGAGGGTGAGCGTTTCATGGAGCGTTATGCACCCACGGCCAAGGATCTTGCTTCCCGTGATGTCGTATCTCGTTCAATGACGATCGAGATCCGCGAAGGCCGTGGTGTTGGGCCTGACAAGGACCACTTATACCTTCAGCTCAGTCATTTGCCCCCTGAAGTTCTCCACGAGAGGTTGCCTGGTATCTCCGAGACTGCTGCTATTTTCTCTGGAGTCGATGTCACTAAGGAGCCTATCCCAGTGCTACCTACTGTCCATTATAACAGTTAGTATCTCTACTATACTGTCTTCTGGACTGTGGCTGACCTTCCGATAGTGGGCGGTATTCCCACCAGGTACACTGGCGAGGTGCTGACTGTTGACGAGGTGAGCTTGCGGTAGTTGTATCCGTCGCACTCCGCTCATAAGCTGTGGTCAGAATGGCAAGGACAAGATTGTCCCTGGTCTGTATGCAGCTGGTGAGGCTGCATGTGTGTCCGTTCACGGCGCAAACCGTCTTGGTGCAAACTCCCTCCTGGATCTCGTCGTCTTCGGTCGCGCGTGCGCTCATCATATCGCGGAGACCTTGACTCCTGGAAAGGCTCACAAGGCTATTCCTGAGGAGTCCGGCCTTGAAAGCGTGGAGTTCTTGGACCGGATCAGAAATGCAGATGGCCCCAAACCTACTGCCGAAATAAGGTTGGATATGCAAAAAGCCATGCAAACCGATGCCGCTGTCTTCCGGTGCGTTCCACCAACTTCGTCCGAACGAAAAGGGATACTGACGATCCTCGCAGCACACAACAGACTCTCGACGAAGGTGTTCAAAAGATCCATCAGATATACAAATCGTTTGACAATGTTGGCATCAAGGATAGGAGCATGATCTGGAACTCGTACGGCTTTGTGTTTATATGATTCTGATTCCTCCCTCACGTGCTCATCTTAGTGATCTCGTTGAGACCTTTGAGCTACGCAATCTCCTACAGTGTGCAGTTCAAACTATCACGGCTGCTGCTGCTCGCAAGGAGTCTCGAGGTGCTCATGCTCGCGAGGACTACCCTGAGGTTGGTATCCAGATCACACCTTATGAATTTATCTAAACTATTTGTAGCGTGACGATGACCACTGGATGAAGCACACCCTCACAATACAACCCGATGTCAACTCGCCCGATGTCACTCTCAAGTACCGCAGTGTCATTGGCGAGACTCTCGATGAAAATGAATGCAAGGCGGTCCCGCCATTCAAGCGGACATACTGAGTGGGGTTGTCTGATACTAGATAGACTATATCTTCTTAACGGGTCAAAAATGCCGTCCGCTGTATGCACGAAAAATAAATTCATGTATTTTGACAAAAATGGCAAAAAATATCTATATATCAAGTTCCCGTGAAGTTCCCATGGTTGTTGTCTGACCACCATGTCAAGCAGAGCAGGTGGCCTGTACGGTGGCATCCAATTCTCTACTGGCGCAACCTTTAGCCTTTCTTCATCATCTACATCTGCTTCACCTGCAACACCAACACCTGCAATCAAAGTAGAGAAAGTCGAAACTCCCGCAGCTCCAGAGGCTATTTCAGCACCAGCATCAAGTAATACAGGCAATGATGGAACCAAGGCAGAGGATGGAAGTATTGGAGGAACAGAATCTGGGTCTGTAGGAAAGCTTTCAGCCGGTATCTCCCCCTCCTCTGCACATCGAGTCTAGAAGCAAAATATTGACCGTTGCAATCATCATGCTACTCCTCCGAACTCGCACAGGGTGGTCCGCTGCGCTTGCGTTTGCCCCCGTCCGCCGTGCACCAGCAAAACCAAAGCCCGCTGTAATTCGCCTTCCCATGGGTGCCAAGGCCCTACCCACTCCTGCAACAGCTACAATTTCTGCTGCCACGCCAGCTTCGGGTCTCTCCGCAACAGCCGTCGTCTTCGCTCCGCCAGAACTGGTAACTACGTATCAACAAGAAGAAGCCAAGGACAACACCGCCCAGAAGGACTCCACATGGCGCAAAAAGGAAGGCTGGGGCAAGAAAGTCAAACCTCCATCCATGATACTTGATGAAGATATCAATGGTTTCAAGGCTCAGCACAAACGCAGGGCTGGTGGAGGAGGCGGTGGAAGGAAGGGGAGGAAGGTATGTATTTCTCTACTTAATTTAGTGTCTTCGTTAATTCTTGATATGTAGAATAAGAATGCCCCAGTTGTGGCGATATGGGATCCGTTGGAGCCTTATGACACTCTCAAGCCAAATGACTACAACGAATATAAAATATGGAAACAACGTGACCGCGTCGAGCGGGCATCCGAACGTGCGGCTGAAAGAAAGCGTGCTCGCGAGGCTCTCGACAGAGGAAGTGATCACACAGGCAGCGACAGTGAAGGCGAACGCCCAAAAAAGAGTGGTGTGCAAACTAACTCTGGATATGTGGCGAGGTCTAACTTTCGGTTTTAGGGAGATTTGATAACGGGTCTTTCGATAAATGGTCTCGTGCGGATGACGAACGCCCCCGTGGGCTTGGTGCCTCCGATACTCCTGCAATTCATGTGGATCGCAATATGTCAGGGGAAGAGGCCTTTCAGCGGCGACTTGCAATGTCTGCTGGTGCTGCTGCTCGAGTACCGTCACCAACTCCTGTGCCTGTCGATCATAACTTATCTGGTGAGGAGGCTTATCAGCGCCGCCTTGCCATGGCCTCGGGAGGTAACCGCCCGCCTGCGTTCTCTGCATCTGCTTCCCCTCTCCGTCAAGTGTCACCGGGCGGCGCCGACGACGACGAAAGTATCCCTGGACTGTCATCGAATACTCCACCGTCTGTTTCCCAGAACCGTGACGAAACAGGGGAAGAGGCGTATTTACGCCGGCTAGCAATGTACATCGAAGCTCCGTCCTACAGCTTCGCCTTTTGAGCCATCAAGCCTACCACCTGCTCCCGTAACGCAGCCGGCGCAACTGGTAACCCCCATGCCTCCAGCGCGTTCTCCCCCTCCGTTAGCATACAACCCCTTTGCACCGCCGACGAATATTCCACCGCCACCTCCCCCATCATCTCAAATACCAGTTGCGCTTGAGGACAAGGTCAAGGCCGCTGCAAGTATCGCAGCACGCCTTAGTGCGCTTGCCACGACTGCAGGCGAGTCGGGACTAGGATCAAGTCTACCTGGCCTACTACCGCAAGAAGACACTCAAGCACGGTATGCTCGAGTACATTTACCATCGAATACGTCTGACAATTTCATCAGTCCTGACCCGCAGGATTTTGCAGCTCGTTTGATGGCTAAGTGGGGGCACAAGGAAGGTCAAGGTCTGGGTGCCGATGGGAGCGGTATTGTAAATGCTCTCACAGTCGAGCAAGTCGCTGCCCAAGGCAAAGGCAAGAAGGGTCAAAATCAAACGCAGGGCCAAGGCAAAGTCAAACCAGCTATGGGTTCAAAGATGGGTCGAATCATCAATGACAATGAGGATGCGAAGGGTCGTGAAGACCGTTTAAGGTTTGGGGAGTCCAGTCGTGTGGTGGTACTAACCAATATGGTTGGACCGGAAGATGTGGACGATGGCGATCTGAGAGATGAAATTGGTCAGTCTCAGACGTTTCATTTGTCAGATTTCGATTGAATTCCTTCAGGTGAGGAGTGCTCGAAGAATGGAACCGTCGAGCGGGTTATTGTGCATCTGACTCAACCTCCGCCGGCGGACCCAGAGGAATCTGTCCGCATATTTGTATTGTTTGCTGGCCCCTCTGGTGCGTGGAAAACCGTGAGGGAGTTGGATGGCAGGTACTTTGGAGGGAGGGCTGTGCGGGCAAGATACTTTTCGGAAGCTGCTTTCTCCCGGCATGATTTGGATGTTCCAATTGCTTAGCTATTGGATTGGCGTGGTTGGTCGATGTTTGGTTTATTAAAAATTTTGAACTTGCTCTGATGATATGATGCTGATACTTGAGTTTTGTGCTGTTGCATGCATACCATGGTCGACTCCCGGTCATCAGTCTAGAGGCGCGAATTGGTTCCGCGGGACCAAACGCTCCGTCCTTACAATACGCGGTGTTGCTGCACGTTTCAAAGTGACCCCTCAATGTTCGACAGGGCTGAAGCTTACATGAGCATAGATGTATCATCCGATTCAAACCAAGCCCCCTATACCATTGCCACTATGATGCTCACCACCAATAAGGCCCCAAAAACACGATTTGTTTTCAAAAAGACAAATTTTACCACTTCTTCAACTACGGAGGCTCTCCCGGTAACGCTAGAAAGCAAACGGTACAACAAGCGCATGTCAAAAGACGAAGTACAATCGTCCCTGCAAACTGCTCCCACCTACAACATCACTGTAAGTCCTCCAGGCAGGACCCTCAAGACCATTCTGTCCCTGGACTCAAGAGACCTTTCGTCCTACAAGATTGGTGAGGTAACGCTACCTCAGGGTCCGCGGGCAAAACCCGTCTATGTGGAGATTTCCTCCTATGAAAAAAGCAACAAGGTAAGGTCTTGATTGGTTGTTGCTGCGGTGTTTGTTGATGCCGGTCTAGGAGTTGACTGAAGATGCGCAGGTGATGCAGAAACGAATACAAGCATTAGAAAATAAAACCCAAGCACTAGAAAATAAAATCGAAGAACTCAATAACAAAATCCAAGAACTCGATAACAAAATCGAAGAGATGAATACTCGTTCAACGTCGTAGAAGGTCACAATGATTGAATGGCAAGTGGCAAACCGTGCGTTTGATGGTACGTAACTCTCGCTCTCTAACAGCGCCCCTTATTAAACTCGAACATAGTTATTGCGGACTTTGCATGGGAAGAGCTATCAGACGCAATCAAGGCTGAACTGAAAACACATGTAATCCTTGACTGTGCGTCTTATCCTAGTATCATAAATGTACTAACTCTCGTCACCATTGTAGTTCATGTTCTATCTTTTCACAATTCTTGTCCTCGCCGCTTCGACAGTGAAGCCAGTACTCAAGCTGCAAAGTCCGCGTACTCTACCATCCACCGAGACATACGCAGGGCAGTTGCATCCGTGTTGCAAATCAAGGAAAAGTCCAGAGCACATGTGGCTCATCCTGCTATCCCTGCAGAACATGCTGAGGCACTCATCAGACGTCTGCGTGCGGAGAGCTCGGGGTCACAGCATCCCATTTTCACTCATCTTAGAACTGCTTTGCTATGTCATTAGCTAATAATGTGAATCATGGCAGAGCCCACTACAGTCGCATTCTGCGAAGTTCTGAACAGGCCTACAAATTTAACCAGACGAGTCCCTTATATATATATTCTTCTGTTGTATAAGCAGCCAAGTCGCGAGATCAGAGGCGGTCGGTACATGCACCAAAGTAGCGGCAACTAAGTGATGTGCACTATAGCTCAACGTATCGTTGACTTGCAGGTTCGCCTACTCATTGAGTGTTCATGAGTCATGGCTGTCAGCTTCACAAAACACGATGAGTAGTAAGATGAAGTTCCCAGACCCATCAGGTCTGTCACTTGTGCGATCAAGGGTGCGCAAACCATCGAGAATCAACTGTAGACGCCAGTATACTTGATCTGAAAGTCTTCACCTATGTATACGCTGAAAAACTTAGGAAGGGCAGGGAACACCGGACCGAGAGAAAGGACCTAGTAATGCAGTGGAAAAGCGGTTAATCATCTGAGTCGTTGCGACATGCATTAAAATTCTGTAACATTAGAAGGGTAGATTGGACAATGATTAGCGTGTCGCTAAACTACCACTCAGCAGCTGATCTTTCAAAATATTTCCGCCGCGCATCACGGCTCAATATATGGACTGCAAATTTGCCTGCATCAATCATAGCCCACCCATTGAGCATTCTCCGCTTAGAATTGGGTGGAAGGGGCAACGGTGGGTCCATAGACAACAGCTGGGCAAGAATTTTCAGTTACTACGAAGTAAAAAGGGCTGAGTAGACACACAGTTTTTCGCACTTGACGTATGACAACTTCTATCGATCCTCGGTTTTCGGTACCTTCCTTCACCTTGCGAAAGGGTGGTTAGCAAGAAAGACAGAGAGGACGCCAGTAGGGTACACACTTGAGCAGTGACTACCCAGTCCCATATACCTCCAGGCTCTTCAACAAGACCTTCACCAGAGTATGTGCGCCCGCGTTTCCGGCGGCCCTTGGGTAATGTTCGAGGTAATGGAGGACCAGGAAGAGCGGCGACAGGTCGTTCGACACTCAAAGTCGACGGCTCTAGCAAAGGGGATTTACTGAGCTGCAAAAATAGCTGTCTTATCCCGGCGGAGGTGTTTTCGGGAAGCTCGTGGGTTTTTGGAGCAAGGTGAGGAGGAGTATGCCTAGTTATTGATTGGACTGGACCTTCGGTATCAATGAACCATGGCGTAGAAGGAGGTGTTGCCCCAGTGATGCTCCTGGAAGTGAATCCAATACGCGGTCGACCTGGCCCTGCAACCGCACGATGAATGCACCGGAGAGTTTGCATGCTCGCAATATTGTCAATTTGTGACTAAACTATGTCACGTACTGACAAGGGTTCACGGATCTGTGTCGGAGTTTGATTATATGACGCCCGTGAATACATGGAAATTGGCATTGCTGCAATATCGAGTTAAACTGACTGGCGCACGTCGAGTATGTCCGCTGGGGGAACGAAGTGATCAATCCATAGTCATGAGATTCGTTTACTAATATAAATAGTGCAATTTACATGTTGAAGGTCGCAATGCCAAAAGTGTAGATGAAGATGTATAAAAGATGCAAGTAGTGTGGTATAAATGTCCAATAATGATAATGCCGAGTTCCGAATGAAATTGTGATGCCGATGATGATGGTGGTACAAAGGTAATATGAGAATGAGATGAAAGATAAGAGTGAAGATTTCAACAGATGTTGTATTCGTTCGTAGACGAGGGCTGGGCTATTGAAGAAGTCGCATTGTCTTGGTATCCACAGCGGCCTTCGAAGTACCCCGAGCCATATTTCTGCAGAAACTCGTCCAGCTCAGCTGGAAGGGAGTTGTTCAGATCGTTTCCGGAGACAGGCTGGAACTGAAAGTTGACATCGGGAATGGGCTGCTGATAGTTGACATCAGAGAATAGCTCCAGGTCGAACTGTGGCATATGGAGAGTGGAGAGATCGACGGGGACAGTGGAGGGTTGGAGGTATTTGGAGGTGGGGATGGGGAGCTGAGAGGGCTGTTCGTAGACAGAGGTGAAGCTCTCGGCAGGGAGATCGGAAAAGAGTCGCTCCCAGGGAAGTTCAGTGAAATCGCCTGAGAATTGGGGGATCCCGGAGTCGCTGGACTCAGCGGATGAAAGCGCATCGCAAGGAACGAGGCCTGCGAGCTTGGGAAATGTTAGGTCATTGAGATCCAGCGATGCAGGAATCACTATCTCCGGCTTCATAAACTGAGTAGAGGGGTAAGGCGCCGCAGCGGACCGTCGGGCAGCTTTGTCACCGGGGTTGCGACGCGCTTTGGGTTCGTAGCCATGTAGTTGCTTGCGGTGACGCGTCAAGCTACCTGGATCGGTGGTGGCAAACGCGCACCCAGAGTGAGGGCACGTCTTCGAGCGTTCACGAGTGTGTGTCCTCATGTGCGTCTGCAGATTGGACTTCTGAAGGGTCTTGTAACCACAGTTAGGGAATGGGCATGCGTGCATACTGATCAAAACAGCAAACAAGTCAGGAACCATCTGGGATAGTGATAAGGTACGAGCACGTACAAAGCCTCCTTATGTTCATCATGCGTACGCATGTGTCTAGGAAGATCTGCCTTGCGACTTATAGCCTTCTGGCAGACAGGGCAATCAACAGGTGTCTGTAGATAAAGTGTCATAAGCACAAGGCGCGGATGTGGGATAGGCTGGAAGCGTACCATGTGACGTCCTGCAGCGGGCATCTTGTGATAGTGTTTAATATGATAGAAGGGGTTGTGAATGATGATCTGTGAAGTGGGATTAAATCCTTGAAGTGAATGAATAGCGAGTGCGTTGTGGCAAATCTACACATCTTGCGCGCTTCTTTTAAAGCACCAGGCGTGCTATGGACATCGAGTATGATTGCTTTTCTGCGGCGCTGATTTTTGCCTTTAAAGGCAAAAAGTGCGAAGCAATCGTGTGCGATGGTCTGAGCATAAGGGACGAGCCACTCGGTTAGCGGGGAAGGTAAAAGAGTTGGAAGAGGGTTCGATTGCGTCTCAACACTTTTCATTTTTTTGCCTTGTAAGGTAATTTATGGTTACCATCTCAATGTGGGAATGAGTGGCTCGGTGTCCAGACCTGAAGGCCTCATGAATGGGGGAAGTAGGGGCCCATAGACCCTTCTGAAGAGAGCTCCGCCTCGAGGAACGTCAAAGGCATTGAGGGTGTTGTCGAATTCCCTAGTACGAGTCTCAAGGATAGCATTCGCAGTGAAACATTAGAAGACTCGGAGGACGACGAAGAACAACAAGACCAAGTTAGCGAAACTTGAACTGACCCGCGGCGCTGGGGCCAGTGACTGCCAGCATTATCGTCGCTTACGTTATCAAGGGCAAGAAAATACGATAGGGGCTACTTGTACTAAACAAGCACTACCCCTGTTCAAACTACTAAGCCACTACTAAGTACAGTAAATGAATATTCAACTTTGACGGGGATGCTTCAAGTTCAGACGCTGATTCCAATATATTATCAGATTATTCAATATCACTTTCGGGATAGTTTAGTAACATTAATATTGTGTTACGTCGATGCTTTTCATGTGCGATTTCAACAGTATAAATGAAGTTTCACACTGGCAGCGACTACTAGATGACACGATTCAATCTGACACACTCGAAAGAGCAATCCTCCTTTCCCTGACATGACGTGGCGCATTTTTCGTGTTACAATGCGAGTAGAAAGGTTCCTTCCCTATAGTTGCGAAGAGTTTATCCGTTGGTCCTATCGATCCGATGGATCTAGCGCTAAATCGGTCTGTAGCGGCAAGTGAGGCATCGTTGAATAGGTTGCAGAGGAATCAAGGCCCGAGGTGAGTGCCACACGCACACTGATAGTACTGTCGCAGAAGCTGTCGCCAACTGGGTCACGCCCTCGTCATAATTCTAATAGAAATGTCTGAATTCTCCTTGGTAGGACAGATAAACTTTGGTTGCCATTCCTGTGCCAACACTCGCACTGCAGTGATGTTTGGTATTCGAATTTACCCTGTCCACTTCCTTAGCCCCAGCAACGAAGAACAAGTCCATTGTGGATAAATCGCTTAGCACACTGGGGCCGCTCGTCTCCTTGAGGCGACTGAAGAACCTAAAAGCCAATGAATACGATGAGAATGAATGTGATGAAAACAAAACGACGCACGATTTACACATCTTTCCAGCAGTTTTGTCCATTTGGAAGTTGATAGGGTCTCGGAATGCAGAAATACAGCATTCACGCATACCCAATGCACTGTCAACATCAAACTCATCTAGCCAGGCGTCTATTTTCCACGACCAGTCTATGAAGTCTGAACAAACTCGGAGATGGAAAGCATCCGCATCTGGGTAGCAAGCCGCAGTGAGGTAACCCACAAATTTGGTGATTTCGGGCTCTACAAGACGTCCTTCGTCAAACAGCCATCGTTCAGAAACACGAAAGACCACTACATAGTAAGGATTGACTCAAAGGAGATAGTGGAAATTGGTGAGGAGGTCAGGTAAATGAATTCTGCGGGCTCGGAGTCAGAACGAGTGGTCGTGTGGATTGCAGGGCGTTCCAGTGTTCGACTTTGACGTGGCGTTCCTGGAGGCGTTTAATATGTTGCTGACGGCGTAAAATTTGCGAAGAGGGTATCATGGTACGGTTTGTGAGGTGTGAAAGGTGATGTGGGTATGTCAAGTAACACCCTGAGGCGGTTGCGGCAAGGAAAGGGTCATCCAAGCCTGTTCGGCACTGTTGTGTTATTCGCAGTAAGTTGACTGCGTTTCATATGGTGTACATGCGGCAGTATCAATCTGGGTAATCCATCTTGTCGATATCCGCAATTCCTGCGTTACTCCATTCTAAGAAAGTCCTCGTTCTACTTTACGACCCGGTACAACCAGAGGCCGGTTCTTCATAGCCGCTAGACGTTCCATTGCACCCATTCTAAATGTAGAAGGAATAGGTAGGGTGGTATTCGAGGAATCAGAAATGGAACCGGAGGACCGATGACTTGGCCCATTTGCTGCTAAGGCCAGCCGAATAGGCGTACCAGCGGATTTGGGAGGAGTGACAAGCTGATCATCTCCGACCAAAGCAGAAGGTGACTCTCCAGACGACGGAGATGTTGGGAAAAACAGCTTGACAGGCCGTTTCTGAGGATCGATGTATTTTCCCGCCTTGACGAGGTCATGCTCCGGCTTATAGAGGTCAAATAGCACAGGAAGATCGTCTTCGTCAGTTGCAATGTGCCGCCAGTCCACCTCAGGTTCTTTGCTTGTGATGTGGGCAAACGGCGGGTTGATCGTTGGTTTCTTGTCCGATGCCCACTGCACATTGAGCTTCATCGACTGCGTTCGAATGCTCTCGAGGCCTGCACGGAGGTGTTGTATGAGATCAGGGAGGGGCATGCGGTAACTCAGGAGAGAAGGCGACATAACATATGTCCAGTCTTTGCCCATGTAAGAGAGGAGGCAAAGGAACATTATTCTCAAGACGTACCTTGAAGAATCAGATGCTTGGTAGGCGCAGGATTCGATACCAGCCCCAGGTTAGACGGGGTGATTGACGATGCCAAACTTGCAAGTTTTAGCTCGCGACCCGAACGATCAATTTTTTTCTTGGGCTTTTTAACAACGCTCGAGGATTCTTCAGGCCCACACTCCTTGCCCAATGGTCTGCCTTTGACGTTGTCTTTCGGCTCAGCATCAGCGCCTCGGGTAACAATGAGCTCAAAAGCAGACCTGATGCGCATCGCGATCCTGTTGCGCACCACCGCCCTTTTATTCGTATTCTTTTTCGAAATCATAAAGAATATGCTCATATCTAGTCTCTTGGAACCGTCCTTCCGTTCCCCCCGCAGCACCATGGCAGAGCAGTCCACCCGAGACAAGCGCCTTTCAAAATCAGGGCGCAAGAGCGCACCCTTGGGTACAGCGCGTAGCATGAATGCAGGGCAGGAGAAATGTGGAAACGCGAGGGCTTTCCACCGAGTGGCGGGGTGCGTTGGGTCAACAGCGTGGGCGGGGCTGTACGATGCAGAACCAGGGAAAAGTAATGGAAGAGGGGAGCCAGGCGTTACATTGCGACGCTTTAAAGAAGAATAATGAGAGAATGTGACATGAAAAGAGAGAGGACGCACGTTGATTGAACGAAGACCTGGAGCTTTGGGTAGTCTAGAGAGGTCAAGACATTTCGGCATGTAGCTTGCTACGTTTCCAAGTTGCAGTTGCGATTCACCGTGATATCGATAGTGAGCTTTAGTGTTGCCACGAGGCGAATCGAGTCGAATGGAAGTGGAAAATGTAGCAATTTGACACAGCTCGGCACTTTCGAGTTGTAATTGTACGGGTTTGACTGCAATGAGTTCGGGAGTGATACGGCCGTACGGACCGGTATACCGGTTACTCATACCACAAACGACAATATTCGCAAGTAGCTACACAATGAGCAGACAGAACTGTAATAAACTATCAATCTCCCTTGCATCACGAGCAACCAATCGAGCTCTCGAAGATTCCAAGCAGCCATCAGCTCGTCAGCTGCTCTTGGAGTCACAGGTCCACATATTGTGTAGTCCTGCTCGTTTAAGTTAGCCACCAGGTCCGCTGTAAAATTGAGCCTGAGGTGGCCTTGCTTGTAGACTCGCTTAGAACTTGTAGTGCTTTGAGCGTGGTCGGGGAAGGAGTCCGGACATCGTTAATGACGGGTTGAGAAGTCGAAACATACCCATTGAAAGTGTATATATGCGTGTTTTCCTTCGCTGATATACTGCTTCAGTTTATCGAGACCAACATGGAACAAATCCCATATCATAAACTTCGTAAGCTGACAGGGGCCATTGTCAATAGGGTTGGTGTTCACTCTGAAGAAAGGAGTTCCTATGATACATCAACTGATCTTAATATTGTTCTGGCCTCATCTGTTTCACTGGACTTGCTTACCGTTGGTAGATAAATGCACCTGTATAGGCTGACTGCGACGGCTCGCACATTTATTTCGCAGAATTTGGAACCATTTGTAAGGTCCCGAATGACCTCATGATTATGGAGTTTGTGGGGCAGCGGGGGCTAGAGCGTGAATTGACCACGTCAGAGTTTGCGAAGGATTACATCCAGGATGAACACATGCAAATATCGGTGATAGTGGCAGAAGCTTGCTTGATGGTAGGACGGGTGCTTTCAACATGTCCGGAACAGTCCAAGGTGAAGAAGGTCCGAGGGATGGTAATTTTGAGAGCGTCTTGGGGCCATGGCCCGATAAACGGCGCTCCACTATCTTCCACAGCCGATCCAATCATCTACTCCGAAAATAATTTTGTTGGATAAACTCACAGCCTGCACTTCCGCGCGGCTGAAATAGATGTCTGCGTCATTCATTGGAGTACACAATAAGTATCAGCGGAATGACCAAACAACTATGATAGGGAATACCAATTCACCGGCCACTAAGGAGGCTCAATGACATCATTTCAGGTGGAGTCTTCGAATAATAAGAATCATACCGGTATGTATCAGCACCAAGTACTTCTTATCAAGAGAGAAGCAGTTAATGGCGGGAGAGGTTGTACTGGTAGTCGCTTACTCGACCAGAGACGATATCATGCAGGATCCGAGTGGTCACGGTATCAATGGAATATATATATATCAAACTTACTGAAAGATCGAACGTTAAGACTTGCAGCAATGTCAACAAGACCATAGCGTCAGGTCTTGTCGCTCGTCGCATCTGTAAACGAGACCGCCTAAGGGTTGCAACTAAACATGATGAGTTTAGGAAATGCGGAGACCATTTGCAGAGGTGCGGGCGGACTGTCACACTCGCGGTGAGACTACTCACATTCAACTCGGCGCAGAGGGCTACATGTTTTTATAACAGATTCCAGATGCGTCTGGATAGGGAGAGAATCGCCCCCACCCGGTGAGCAGCCAGCGAAGTCAATACTAGTACTAGTGTTCCGGAGAAAACCAAGTCGAGTCAAACGCGGATCAATGACGCTAAATTGCTTCCGACGCAGCTCTCCACATAATTACCAAATATGGTGCCCTTCCGTCCAGATCATAGCCTGACCGTCTACGGTCCTTTGACAAGGTCCAATACAACCAAACGTTGCTTTCAAGCATCACTGAACAAGCGCGCAGTGATGGGTGTACGAGCTGGTGTTGTCGTTTGCATAACCTCTTTCTTACTCGGTCAGTCTATTTTTTGCACGACTTCCATGGCGTCGACGTGTCATGCCAACACCCGCTTTCAGGTTCACTCTTCACTCATTGGATCGCAGACTCTCTGACTCTGTGGAAGTCACCGGTAACTGACGAGCATTTGTGGACCGCAGCTCTTTACTACTCGATACTGACCAAAGGTCCCGTACAAATTCTCTATGTACTCTTTGGCATCATTATACTTGGCGGAACGACCATCTTTTGGAGTTTCAATGATTTGGAAGCGGGCAACTTGATGTTTGACGGAGGGAGCATATGTATGTATTCTTCTCAAGTTCTCCATCAAAACGTTCATTGTGTACCTCTCTAGTCCTCTACGGCGTCGCTGCCATCATGTACGCGTACTCCGTCATTCCCAGTCAGTCAGATTATAAAATCATGGGTCGTAATACTAACATTCATCCCAGATCTCATGGATAAATTCACGACAATTCCACCTCATCATATGAAGGACGCTTTTCCACGTTTACTAAGAACACCTACTCTCGACCTGGCGTCAAACCACCTCGTTTGCAGTGTAGCGCTGACAGGTGTCCTGATACTTCAGGCTGGTCGGTGGTGGGCTGAACTGGCCGATGGTGACGATGAGGAAGGCTACCTTTCTGAAAAAGTTGACGGTGACGTTGGAGAGGAGAAAAAGTCAACAACTCCCCTCGCGGCAACCGCATGATGAAAGCCATCTTTTCGCCCATTATTTCCATGCAGGGCTGCTTCCCAGTCATCCATACCTCTAGCGCTCGTGCGTGCTTGAGTTTCAATCCAATGTTTGGATAGTCATGGCACCATCTTAATACCCTTCACGATCATCACAAATCGCATATCCTGGTTCCCGGATCGTCACCTCTTCGTGCGGCAACAATGCTTACATTGCGCTTTACACGAGTACTATTTACAAGTCATTAGTTATTGTATCATATATACACGATGACCCCAAAAACTTGAACGATGATGACAATTTGGAGATTCCAGGGCAATCTACACGATCCAGTCACCTTTGCCGGCCGAAGCCTCAATACGGAGTTCTTATGGTACGTAGGGATAATAGAGTTGTGCTCTAGTCTATGTGTAAAATGTCTGAATAGGCCTTATTCCTGAACAATGTCCTCCTTCCTCGGTCTCGAGTCCTTGATTTCTTTGCCCTGACCTATTAACGTTTGGGCCTCATCGTCGATCTCGATACCTAGCCTCACGATCAGATCACGTCCCTATTAGATGACCAAGTTGCTCACCAAGACCCTCTTCCCTTACAAGGCCAAGCACGTGCTCCAGCTCCACAAATCCATCTTTATCGACATCCAGCTTCTGGATCACTGCTTGTCCAACCACGTCGTCGGGCTTGTGCTTAATCACAGCGAGTGCCTTCTCTAGGTCCTTCACAGGTATGCGTCCTTGTGCGTCCGCAGAGAACATCTGCAAGGAATTACCAACACGTGAATCGTATTCTTGCAACTGAGTGTCGACTTTTGTGAGCATTGTCCGGATCCGTTTTGTCAGTGCCCCTGAAGGTGACTTGGGGTCCTAAGTGGAATAATTAGCATGGAAATTCAACAAAATCCAAAGTGTTACCTCTTCCGCCTGAAGGTTCTCTTCCATAAGGGCGCGAAGCTCATCACGTTCTTTTAGAACGCTAGATTGTGCGGACAAAATCGACAACGCTTCGCCAAGCTCCTTCAGTTGTTCGGTGGTCATGCGAGCATTCTCCTCTTCAAACCGTTCCGGATGAAGCTGCACCAAGCATGTTAAAACATAGAAACTAGGTTAGCAGGCCAAAGTCACCTCAGTGTCAGGCAGAAGAGACTGTGCGGTGCGTGCTTCTGACTCGTCAGCCTCACGCTTGGCACGGCGCGCATCTTCTTCCTTTTGCTCTTGCTCCTCTTCATCTTCAATGAGCTCCTCTTGTTGTTGTAGAACTTCGAGCTTCTGTTTGTAGCTAGCGCTGTCCGAGTCAACCTCTAGTTCAGCCTCATTTAGCTGAGAGCGGTCGGCGTCAATAATGGAGAAGAGAGTGAAAAGAGAATGCGAACCAAGTTATCTGGCAATCCGCTAAGGACACTTTCAAGGCTCTTAATTACAGTTGTTTTGCCATCTTCATCTTCACCAGGCTTGCGGTCGAAATGAAAGGCTCGTCCGAGAATCAACAGTACACCAGAAACACGATTATGAAGATGCAGCTGAATCCATGTAGTCAATTCGTCCCGAAGTCGTGCAGGAGAAACGCCAGTGGTGCGGATACCACGCGATTGGCATGCAGCCTGCAACTCCGAGGTCGACAACTCATCGACACCTTCAGAGTAAATGACTTGATCATCTCGACGAAGGTTCATGAGACGGGAACGAATAGCACCCCGAAGGAAATTGTCCGTGCCGAATGCATTGACGCCCATGTACCGACACATTGAAACGAGTTGTGGCCGAGACAAGTTATCAAGAGTAAGGTCATCGTCAAAGAGTTTAGCAACATTGATAATATCCGTTGCAGAGGGTGACTCTCCGGTGGAACGGACCCTCCTGAAAAACTCTTCAAAGGCGTCCGAGCCTACTATGTGGGCATTTGCCTTCAAGCCTGACTCTCGCAATGTTTCCTGAAGGAACTTTGCCATTTCGAGTCTCACTCGAAGGAGCTTTCGCTGTTTCTCTTCCTACTAGAAGATTAGCCAAGCGAAAGGAGAAAATATGCTACAATCCCTTACAGCAGCAAATTTGTCTTCGAAAGTCGAGGGAAGCATATTGGGGAATAGTTTCAAAGCGACAGGAAGTAGGAGCTCCATGAACGGCACAATGATGAAAACAGCAAAGGGTACGAGTCGAAGCAAGTCCTGGGTCGTACGCTTTAGCTAGATATCAATCACCATTAACTTGGCCGTCAGCAGTGTCAGAGATAATATGCTCGCCTGTCGCCGTTCTCTTCGGGTCAAGCTCTCTCCATGAAGAATCTTCCACTGCAGTCTGGCGGAGATCCTGACTTCTGAAACCAGCAGCTTCGAGCCATGCCAATAGTGCGCTGCTTCGTGTTTCACTTTTTTCCAAGCCCGTGTTATGAACGGTGCGTCAGAGGCAGGATCCTTAGGTGCAGGAGGTGCGGCCTTTGGTTCAAGAGTGGAGGAATCATTAGTGATAATTTTACTCGTAGCATCACGGCCTGTGGGAGCAGACGAAGAAGTTGATGTGCTCTGGGCGCGGTGCGAGACAAGAGCATAAGTAGCAGAGTGCGACGACACAAGGTGTGCGCGTGGGCCCAGAGAAATGTAACGAGTGGTTCGTGCTCCGACGAGTTGACGGCTATAACACCGCACAAAAGCAGCTTGCTGGGAGCGCGGTAGCCATACCGACATGGACGTTAAGAGCAAAGTTAAAGAGTTCTAGCTGGATTACTGGTCGACCATAAAATTCGCGGAATAACACCGACGTATGTCGTTCGGCAGATTGAAAAAGGCTTCAGAACGCATTCTTTGTTCGTGTTTGTAGTAGGATCTAAATCTTGATCATGGACAACTATGACCCCTCCAGTGCAGCTTATAAGAAGGCCAGGCGACAGTACTTGAAGACGACAAAGAATAGAACTAAAGACTTAGATGCAGAATGGACCCCATTCCGAGCAGCGGAGAAAAGATATAAAGCACGCTTCCCTCCTCCCGATCTTAGCCACGTCCTAGATTTAACAACAGCCACCTGTGATGCTGAGACACTGGCCAGTGGTCAAAGTTTTTATTGCAACGGGGTTGAGATCAAACTTCTTGATACGAATGAATCGACGTCTTCTGGCGTCGGTAAAGCATTTTCTGTCCCCCGCGTACCAGGTACGCAAGAGGAGATACCATGCAGGTGAAATCAATAACCCTTTAACCAGGTCTTGTTATACTTCCATCCTTTGTTTCCCCGCAGGATCAGCGACGACTAGTGCGATGGGCTCTTCGTGACCATGCACGGCATCCCAATGAAACAAACCTTGACGCTCATTACATCCTGCCCGACGAAGGATTATGGAACGCACATCTTAATTCAGATGCACCTTTGGTCAGAATACGAGCATGTCCAGAGTCGTCAGACACAGAATACGGAAACTCTGGACCAAGGCAATTGGTCTCTAATACACCGGCTGATCCCGCCAATTTTCAGTCGATGTTGCGTTCACCGAAGCCTCCGCCCGCGCCGTCTCCGACTGTTTCGCCAGCCTCCCCCACTGCACTTATTTCAAAGTTGCGCTGGGCAAATATCGGATGGTCATATCATTGGGGTAGTAAGCAGTATGACTTCACCAAGGGGAAAGGTCGTGTCGACAATGAAATCGGAGCCATATGCAAGCGGGCTGTCTCCAGTGTTAACTGGAAAGAAGTATTTGGTCAATCGGATGAGGAAGGATGGGGTGATGAAAATTGGAGAAGTTGGCATGAGACATATGGTATGAATTCTCGAGTTCTCAACTTCGCCCGACTAACTGCGGCACGTGTAGAACCTGATGCTGGCATCGTTAATTACTATCAAATCAAGGTATGGTATACGCCCGAAATAATCAAGGAGTGTCTTAATAATTCCTGCAGGACACTCTCATGGCACACGTAGATCGCTCGGAAGTCTGTGCTACGTCACCTCTAGTTTCGATATCGTCAGTTATCAAGGCTTATCTTCTTTGATAAATAATATTGATATAGCGATTTCGCGACAGGCTGGGCAACGCCGCTATCTTCCTCATCGGTGGTCTCACTAGAGACGTGGAGCCAACGGCGATTCTTCTTCGCTCGGGTGATGTTGTGATAATGTCAGGACCTGCTTGTAGACGGGCCTATCACGGTTTGTCCGAGCCCATCGTCAATTGACATAAGATCTGATCCAAATCTGCCAGGCGTTCCCCGTATCTTGGAGGACACTCTGCCTGATCACTTCTCCCTAAAAGCGGATGGCGAAGGATTCTCTAGTTGGACATCATATGATTTATACATGCGGACAACTCGGATTAATATCAATGTCCGACAGGTCTTTCCAAAGGGGTTCGATCCTGGCCTACGAGTGGAGAATTAATGATATGATATTTTTAGTGTCGTTAAACCACTGCATAATTCCACTTATTTAATCTTCGTTAATTACCCATCGCTGATTATGGATAGAGTGGAGAACGCCTTTTACTTTGACAGGCCACGAGGACGATGTATTCCAAATTACTTTCAGGTTATGGCTAGGCCTATTACAATTAGCTCTTTCAAATCGATCCTTGGATCTTTGTACTACCTCCAACATCTGATTATCGGGCCCGGTTATCCAGATTACAGTAAGCCTACACACAACCCTGGGCGGCGCGATATTTGCCATATCGCGCAGGCTAGATACGAACCAAATGAAAAGTTTCCTTGTGCTCCAGCTTTCAAACAAAAGGCAAGTTTAATGACCATTCTAAGCGCGAGATATTCACATGGATACTTACATGACAGTAGAAGTGCTGTAGCATGAAAAAATGCACCGACTGCGGGGGTGCCTCGGGGTCCAACCCTCATACATATCAGTACTCCTCTTCGTACCTATCCATACTGGTGCAGTGCTTCGAAAAAGCATTCCCGGGCGAGAGGGGCCGCCAAGCGCTTACCTCCTCGGCAGCATCTGATTGAACGTGTCTTGGCGTCGCCGGCGCCAATAATCCACTTTCGAGCTCACACTCCTCGTCATCAACGACCTCCTCCCCGCTTAGAATACGCGCCAGAGCTGCCATATCGACGCGCCCTGAACCCCGACTCGCCTCCATTCTGGCAGTTTGTTGTCCGCGATCTGCGTGGTGCGCGACTGTGTCATCTTCTTCTTGCCACTGCAGTCTGAATAGTGGCTTCAAGGCCTCTTGTTCCTCGCTATTTCGAAGAAGCTCTTCTAGTTCACCCTCTACAAATAGCTCGTCGTCTTGAATGTGCTCCGCAGACCCGCCACCCTCGGTTGAGAGCCAGTAGCTGGAGACGAGAAGGGGAATGCTTCGAATCGTACAGCGAAGTATTAAGGAGATGCGTCGCAAATGGAACAGTTGGCAATGTTAAGATAGGTGAGGAAGTATCAGAACGCGTTGTCGAAGCGCTCGGGTCCTCGGGTACCATAGGATTTGACAGAGTGTAAGATTTCGCGGACAAAGGATCGAGTAGAAAATGATATGCATCCTCGACGCTATGATCCTTTGTCTTTCGTTTCTTGCGGGGCTGGTGATGACAAAGCTCAGGAGGCTCGCTGATTAGAGATGTCTCCGAGAAAAACGCCTCCTCATCCCTCTTGCCGTCTTCATCTGCCGGATCCGCCTCAATTACGATACTAGCCTTTCCGAGAGCGGACATTTTCTTCGTCCATATCTCCTCTTGAAATTGAATGACGTCTATGATTCCCTTCGCAACAATCGAACGCTTCGGAACTTTCGACCGAGCAGAAGCACCACGACCCTTTCCCTTGTATACGAACTGATCGAGCCAAGGGACTTCCCGAATCCATTCCTCGATTAAATCATAGGATGCTTTGTAACGCGATGTAACTACACCACGCGCAAAGCCAAAGCGCGACGCGAGCGCGTTGGCGAGCTCACTTAGGTGTGGCAGGGGGCTGCGCGTTTCCGCTTCAAGTGCGAGAATGAGCATTGCACAGGCGATAGGAGGGGTGGGAGACTGTAGTACGGGTATAGCGCAAGCCTCTCGGCTGATAATACCCGATAGGGACGTAGCAGTACGCAATACCGCATGAGACGACAATGGTGTGAGGATGGCGACGAGATCTGGAGGTAGATGAGAAGTGGAAGACTCAGGATGTAATAAGGACTGAAGATGAGACAGGAGGATGGGAAGATGGACAACTGGGTCTGATGAACTTAGGTCAAAATCCAGAAGAGATACCACGGCTACGAATGCACGCGACAGAGACAGTGGTGAGTCATCAAGGAAAAAGGCAATGTCGCGGAGGGAATCCGACTTGTGTGCCTCACGTAGGGCAATAGCCATGGATGCACCGGCAGCTAGCTTTGCCTTGCGTCCCCACCTGTATTTTCCTTTTGCCATAGCTTGTGTAAAGATTGCTTCCGCACGTGGGGATAGACCGGGATTTTTCAATTTGGTCAGGACAGAAGTGATGAAAATGCTCATGGCGATCTGACACGGCGTGCGGGAGTGAGTAAATAGTTTCCAAGAAAAGAAATAAAGAGATAAACCCACAGCGTTCCCTCTGTCACGCGCTTCTTTGTGCTGCCCAGCAAGATTCCATCCCTGTTTGTGAATATTTTTGAGAGGAGCCGCAGAGGAGGAAAGCCATGAAGTAGGTTGAAACTGGCGCACGGAAGAGTCGTGAGATTCTGTATGGGAAGCAAGGACATACTGAGCAGAATTAGACAAGGTACCACATTTTGTGCAGATGGATGAGCAGACGTCGTCGTCCCAGACAAAAGTACCCCCGCAGTCGGGGCAGGTCATGCATGTATGTATACTTTGACTAAGGACAACCGTGTGAGGCCACAAGCTTGGTAAGACCCCGAAAACTCTGTACTTATTGTAAGTATTTCAGGGGCATCACATGATGGTTCTTTAGTTCTTTGATTAGATCAACACCGTTTTGTCAACTTGAACTCCACTATGTGATACGTTTTGTAGGTATCCATATGTTCGTAAGGTTCAACCGATTTAACTCCTATTTCCCCCTCAAACACATCTAGTTTAGGTCGCGTTGTTCTTGCTTGTCACTCAGATGTGATCAGGGTCTCTGCCTATACAGTGTGAGTTTCTTATGCTTCTGGTGCACAAACTCCTCAACCAAGATTAGTCCCTTCCCCACTACCAGCGCCAATCTGATTCCCGTTTCACTTAAATAGCGCGCTGCCCTTTTTGTTAACTTCAACTTAGGTTACCATGTCCCCTCCTGCTACTGACTTTGAATCCAAAGGCTCCAGTCATGTTAAGCGCAGACTTTCCAGCGTCAGCGCTGCGGGAAAACCTGCTGCCCATGCCTACTCCTCCCTCACTGTAAGTTTGATTAATTATTCCCTCTCAGTACATCGTGTTGATGCTGATTGCGTATTATAAGCCTATGTGGGCAGGTATTGCTGGTGCTGTTGTGAATGGTGGACAAGGTTTTGAGATCGCAATTTCCATACATGACTCCGTCTACAACACCGATTTCGCATCGGTTATCGTGCCTTACCCCAGCGATTCCACCAAGTCCGCATCTGTGATTGCGGACCACGTTCTTCAGACCATCAAAAAGTTCTCTCAGGAGCACTTGTGCAAGTTCCTTGGTGCCGGTGTTACCCTCGGTCTTTTGAAAGAGGCGAGTATCCCTATTTCGTTTGCGAACGATTTTTACATATTCGTCCAGTGTCCCAATCTCTGCACTCATCTCTGGCTTGAGACTGATATTGTCCCAATCGTCTTCAATATCAAGCCATTCCACACTGATTCACTGACGCGCCCAAACGTCAAGCATCGTATTTCCTCAACCACCGGTTCATATGTTCACTCCGGTGCTGAGACCCCCACAGTCTATGTTGATCCATCCCCACTTTTGGATCAGAATAACAACCTCCAGTCAGGTGTCGCCACGAAACTTCCGATCCCCCGTACTCTTGATGAGCAAGCTGATTCTGCTGCCCGAAAATGTATCATGTATTTCGGCCCCAACAATAACCCTCGCCTCACCATCGGTCCCCGTAATCAAGTCACCGTCGATGCGGCCGGCAAGATCCATCTGATAGATGATCTTGACGTCTACAGGAAAACTGTTGGACCAGGTACTTGGAATGCCGTCAACAAACTCGCAGACGAATTGCGAGAGAAAAAGGTCAAGATCGGTTTCTTCTCTTCTACACCTCAGGGAGGTGAGTAGCTTATCGTTAATCAACATATATCGGATCATAATCGCGTGGTTTTTCCTGGCGCTTGTAGGTGGAGTAGCTTTGGTGCGTACTTTTCACGGGTCCCGGTATAGTTTTACTCACGCGCCCACAACAGATGCGACATGCTCTCATCAGGTTCCTTACTGCCCTGGATGTTGACGTTGCATGGTACGTAACAATCTCCGCACCCCCATGATTCTATTTCTGTCGTACCTGGATCTTGATGTTCGGTTGACGACTGCTAGGTACGTGCCGAACCCATCGCCAAGCGTATTCCGTACCACGAAAAACAACCACAACATCCTGCAAGGTGTTGCTGCTCCAGACCTTCGCCTCACCCAGGCGGCGAAAGATCAATTCGATGCATGGATCCTGAAAAACGGACTTAGATGGATTGCAGAGGGTGGTCCCCTGGCCCCTGGCGGCGTTGACATTGCTTTCATCGGTGAGTCCTTAGTCCTCATTCTCAGGTATCGAACGCTCATTGCTGTACCATTCAGACGACCCTCAGATGCCCGGTCTTATTCCGCTCATTAAAAAAGTCAGACCGGAACTTCCCATTGTCTATCGTTCGCACATCGAGATCCGTAGCGATCTTGTGCATGTGAAGGGATCTCCTCAGGAAGAAGTCTGGAAATACCTCTGGAACAACATTCAACTGGCAGATCTTTTCATCAGTCATCCAGTCAGCAAGTTCGTCCCTAGCGATGTCCCTATCGAGAAGCTTGCATTGCTGGGTGCCGCTACTGACTGGTGAGCCAAGTTCAAGTTTATTGTTTGTTGTTTCATTCGTTGATGTGTTTGTTTGAAAGGCTCGACGGGTTGAACAAGGACCTCCACCCATGGGATAGCCAGTTCTACATGGGTGAATTCCGGAACCTCTGTGTGAAGGAGAAGATGACCGAGCTCAAATGGCCTCAGCGGGACTATGTCGTCCAAATTGCCCGCTTCGACCCATCGAAGGGTATTCCAAATGTCATCGACTCTTATGCTCGCCTCCGCGTCATGCTCAAGGAATCCGGAAGGGTTACCGAAGCGGAGGTGCCCCAGCTATTGATTTGTGGCCACGGTGCTGTCGATGACCCCGATGCCAGCATCATCTACGACCAAGTCATGAACCTCGTCAGCTCGCCTGACTACAAGGTATACCAGTCAGACATCGTTGTGATGAGGTTGCCCCCGAGTGACCAACGTGCGTGATCATCATGTGTTCGAAGCTGCCTAGGGACTAATTTTCATCATGCACAGTTCTCGACGCTCTGATGGCTAACGCCAAGATTGCCCTTCAGCTTTCCCTTCGTGAGGGCTTCGAGGTCAAAGTTTCCGAAGCCCTGCATGCCGGTATACCTGTCGTGGCTTCCCGCACTGGTGGTATTCCTCTCCAAATTGTGCATGGCAAGTCGGGCTACCTCACAGAGGTTGGCGATAACAATGACGTTGCCAAATACCTCTTCAACTTGTATACCGACGAGAAGTTGTACTCGGAGATGAGTGAGTACGCTCGCACACACGTCTCTGACGAAGTTGGCACTGTTGGAAACGCCGCTGCTTGGTTGTACCTCGCCGTAATGTACAATCGCGGTGTGAAGATCCAGCCTCATGGCGCTTGGCTCAACGACATGTTGAGAGAGGAGACTGGGGAGCCTTACGTTGAGGGCGAGCCTAGACTGCCTCGTGGCGGGCTGAACATGCAAGGTTGAGGACATTGGAATCAAATGGACCACTTACTTGCTTTAACGAAATTGTGAAGACTCGTCTTGTAGTTGTTTCTAGATCCTAGCTGTTGTAGCTAGTAGATGCTATGTATATCTCATAAACTTTACCCTGTACTGTACATGTAGGCCCTGCCGCAATTTGTGAACTCTTATTTGTTGAACAAAGTACAAGAATACGGTACCATCACATAGTAACGTGTCGATGCAACCACAACGCTCGGAATTTATAGCAGTTGAACTCCGAGTTGTGGCGACTCATGCTTTGTTTTTCTTAACAAATGCTGATTCTATAAAAGCGGATCTCGTCGTCATCTTATTCACGAACATTTTGTTGCCCGCAGCCCCTTGATTAATAGCTCGAAGATGATGGAAGTCGACACTCACTCGCCATCCACAAGGATGACACGCTCCTTCAACTATTCACTGAAGAGGCCCCGCTCTCCTGGGTCCCCAAGCCAAGAACGCCAGCCGGTGGGTAACCTTAACTCTCACGAGATAGAACAACTCACAAGTGGTTTGCTGTATAAACAGAAACGTTCGTCACTCGCTTTACAGGATACATATCTGAGTCGACGAGCATCTTCCAGTGTCTTTTCTGCCAACCAAAGCTCAAGCAATCATCATCAACCAAGCCCAGATGATTGGGTGAGGCAAGCTAGCGACCTCTCTATTGGACGCCCGAGTAGTGTCGATCCTGTTCCTTCGCCAAGTGTGACTGGTGATGTACAGGATGAGAACATGGTAAGTGACGTTTGAACTTCGTATTGCTCGTGAATGTGTTTCTTCAATTATCCGATTGCTAAGTACATCCCAGGCACTCGACCCAGATGAACCTCTAAAGTCTTGCTCCTCGGTGTTTGTCTTTTCGCCACCACGGCCACTACAGCCATCACGGGCACACCCTGAAACCACGCAATCAAACACATCACAAGCGTACATTAGTCCTCCTCAGCACCTATCTCAAATCATCGTAGGACCGGCAGATGGGCAGCCATTAACGCCAAGCACAACCATGGCACACCAGCGACAGCCTTCTTCGGTATATGTGCAGCCTGCTATATCGTCGGACGGATCATCAAACCAACAGGAATTACAGTCGGGGCCGACTCAAAACTATGACTTTTTTCAGACTACATCATCTGAAATGCCAATTCCACCGCCGCCTCCGATCAGCCAATCTCTAGGACCCAAGTTAACCTCGGGGAGAAAGCAGCGCTTTACGATGGGGCCACGTGCAGACTGCTTGAAGTGCAGAACGGGCGAAAAGGGGCACTGGATGCATTTCGACTAGACATTGGCGTAGTAACCTTACTTAATTTTAGAACTATAATACTTTACAGGTGACAACTAACTTGCGCAGCCCCACACTACCATTCATGCATTTAAAAATCACAGTGTTTTGCCTTGTTTGCCGAAACCGTTGGATTTAAACATGTCACAACAACCTAATCTGTCAATTCAGTTTTTGGTTTTGGAAATTTTGGAATGGAATCCCTATACGACGATGGCCACTACTCTTTCCCTATTCTGGAATTTATCATCAGCATCGAAAAAAGAACGTATCAGTGCAACAGTCAAGCTTGTTAATTCCCTTGAGAAGTTTCAGGGACAACACACTCCCAAGCCCGAGGTTTCGCCAGGCTCCGAGGATGATGAGGAAAACGTTGGTCCAACGGATGGCCTGGATGTCCTGAATGCGCATGATGTCGTGTACTCCATACGGCGGCTCATACGAGGACTTGCGAGTCCTCGGGAAAGTAGTCGGCTCGGCTTCAGCGTCGCGCTCACCGAGGTATGAATCTCCACCTTCGAGAACTATATTGCGACTTCACATCTATTAGTTGCTTTCTCGGCTGGACACTGTCACATCTACTCAAATCATCTCAATGATTGTTGATGGATCGAAGATTCAAGGGTCCATGACTGGTCAAGAAGAACGTGATGTTTTGTTTGCTCGCCTCTTTGGACTTGCCACTGTCATTCATTCTGGGCTCCTTGTACGGCAGACCCCGCTGTCGACATCTCCGTCGTCTGCCACAAATTCGTCGAGTCTTGAGAGTTACAAGGAGCTTGTCAATCATCTTCTTGTTCTCGCTGAGAAGAAGTCCTGGCTACGAGAATGTGCTTGGTGGACCATCGGGCAGGCTATTGATGCTGTTATAAAATCTTCCGTTTCTTGGAAAGAGGAAGCCCTGGCTTCTACGCTTGAAGTTGTGTACGAGCGTGAAAAGGACATTTGGACACCAGAAACGGTCGCCATAACGTTAAAATTACAGCCTGCGATGCCCAAGCATGACTGGAAAAGCACTCTAACACCGACATTCAAAGATTCAGCCATTTTGGCTCCCGCTAACTTTTCGTCCCTTGGGCGTATATTGAAGGTTTGAAGTTACATATCTAACGTAAGAAGGATTTATTAACATTTCCTCTCTGCTTAGGAAACTCCAGGCGAGGATGAGTGGCAACAGAGTAATACGGGGACATGGAAAGCTCAATTGCATTACGTATGGAATATCATTTTCGACAGCTTTCTCCCTGAGAGCGAGCCAGGACGTCGCCGGAATGCATCATTTCAAGAGTTCTTCCGAGTAGTAGTCGACGGTATGTTTTTCATCACAGTTTTTTGAATTTCATTCAATCGATGCCCTATGCAGAGACATTGTTCGGGGCGTCATCTTCCCCTGAACGGAAATTCTGGGGTTTCCATGTCTTCAAAAAAGCTTTACGCCGTGTGGACGGTACCGATCTCCCTATGCTTTTCACCAAAAATTTCATGCGGTCTTGGATCAATCATCTTTCTCACAAAGACCGTCACCTTCACAAAATTTCCCTGGATGTGGTGCGCCAGCTCTCGTCTTTTTATTCATTCGCACATTGCTGATTCTACAATAGGTCAAAGACATCCAAAACGTTGTCCAGCAGAATCCTGAGCTTGGTTACACGTTGATCCTGCAGCTAACTGGGATTCATGGGAGCCAACAGTTTGATAAACTGACCAGAACGAAGACCGTAGAATCAATACTGTCGAGGATGGATAGCGATGGTATTATGAAGTACATCCAAAGTTTACTCGAACAGATGGATGAGTTTAACAAGTATGTGCAATTTCGTGGTCTCCTCAGGCTTCTCATAACAAGAGTACAGTGATGCTGTTGTAGAAGAAGCTAAGAAAATTTGGATCGCAGACCAGTTCACGGCCCTCGTTCGCAACGGTGCAATCCCAAAACGTGAAGACTGGATTCAGCTCATTCTCAATTGGTTTACTGTGCAGGGGTTATACTTGGTCAAGAGAAAGTCTACCAAGGGGCTCCTTGCTGCGGTATGTATTGATTTTCCGACCTATGGGACAATCAGGGTTGACACCATCGCAGCTCCGTGTCACCCCCTCTAGTCTTGTTTCTGAGAATTTCCGGCGGATTTGTCGCGGTAAACTCCTTGGTTGCCTCGCTGATTTAACACCATCCACTGTATCGCAGAAAGGTCTGAGATAAGATTAGCAATTACTTGATGACTCTGACTCAATGTGATCAGGTGACAAGGCCCCAAAGGAGGGGACAGTTGACGACGAATCCTGGATATCGAAAGTTTTCACTGTAGTCAATCATCTGGACAAGGACAGCAAGCACGTCGCGTCTCTATCGGAGCCAAGTCAGGAGGAGCAACTGCTACGTCAACAAGCTCATAAGACAATAGATCATCTTAGGCAGGTTCGTTGCTCCAAACTTGTGTTTTATTGTATTTATTGCTTCAAATCAGGTTGATGGTGAGATGAGAGAGGTAGCTAGAGGAGTAGAGCTTCTCCTGTCAGCCTCTCTACTTCATCGTTGCTGCGCCAACTTAGACGATGATGAGCCTGATGCGGGGATACTTGAGGCGAGTGTTTCTTCTACATTGTGCAGAATTAGTCTGATAGTTGTCGTGATTCAGACTTGTATTGCTGCTGCTGCAACTATGTTTTCTACCGACAACAAGTCCAAAAATCGCAGAAAATCGCACACCATTTCACAACCAGACTCCGACTCTCCCAAACCGATAGACATGCTGGTTGATGTGCTCATTGGTTTCCTTGAAAAGTCCACGTCTTACCTCCGTGCAGTGGCCAACAAGACCTTCTTATGTGTCGCTAGCGCAGCCACAGAAACTACAATAGATCTTATCGTTGCCGTCAGTAATCATTGCTTGCTTATCGGTTGTACATCATTTGACTTTGTTTATGTACAGCAATTGGAGCGCCGCAACCCAGCCGATCTGGTCGCTGATGAAGAAGACGAGACAGAGAGCACAACAAGTGAAGACGAGGAGGAGGATGCTGAACGTTCTGACGAAGACAACAACTCCGATTTCGATGATGGCAACGAAGCTGCTCTCGAACTGCGGATGAAAATTGAGGACGCACTCAAAGCAAATGGCGCCGAGGCTGCCATTGGGGATACTGATGAAGAGTCTGAGGAAGAACTGGTAGATGACGAGCAGATGATGGCCATTGATGAACACCTCGCAGAAGTCTTCCGCTCTAGATCTGGTGACAGCAAACAAAGTAAAAGTATGACAAATCATTATCATCAACGATCCCTCAAGCTTAGACTCCCACAGATGTCAATGCACAGCGAGAAGCTACTCACTTCAAGAATAGAGTCTTGGACTTGGTCGATATTTTTACGAGGAAGATGCCCCAGAGTCCTCATAACCTGCGTCTAGTGTTGCCGTTGATCGAACTGGCTACTAAGAGCGGCAATGACGAGCGCCAGCTATCTGACAAAGCTCGTGGCATCCTCAACAACAGGCTCGCAAAGCTCAAAGACCTACTCCAGGAAGTGGATCAAGAATACGCAGAGACTATACTGGCTGAGCTGCATATCAGAGCTCGTAAGGCGCATTCATCGGATGCGCTCGCGACTCTCAGTCACTGCAGTCTTTTCATTTGCAGGGTATTAACCAACCTAGGCTGCGAGAAATCTGTTCTTCGGTTGTACAGGGAGTCGATAGCAGACTTCATGACCCGCAAGGCTTCTTCGTTGAACATTACATTTTTCAAAGATTTCATCACTCGTAATCCGGCATTAGGGTGGCGCCTCCGTGATGACGTACTGGATACGTCCCCAAAAGCCATCAATGCCTATAGGAAATGTCAGGCTTTCCAGCTGCTCAACACAATTCTTACTCTATCGACCTCGGCGGTGAGAGCCTTCCTTCATTGTTACATTCAAAACAGACTGATGAGCCTACTATAATTATTAGGGTGACTCACAGGATGTCTTATCTTTCATTCTGAAACTCCACACGAGTGTTCTCCACTTTATCGAATCAGCATGTGACGACCAAGTCTCTCTCTCGGCCGCACAAATCAAAGACCTTTTCAAACTAGTCATGCTTGGCGTTCGTCAAGCAAGCAAGGTCGATAGCAGCATTCAAAACGTGTGGGACCCAGGAGCTTGGCGCACCCTGCATGGACGGCTTGTCGCTTCGAAGCGGTTCGGTTCGTCGACAGCTATTCTCAAGCTGTGCTCTCAAGTGGAATCGGCTTTACAAGCCCAACACGGCACACAACACAATTTGATAGCATCAAAAAGGAAGGCTGAGGAAGTAGATGCTGAAGGTGTCCCATCCGACGCTAAGCGGAAGAAAAAGAAGAGTCTCCCCACTAGTCAATCGTAAACTGCCGTACTGTAGTTCGGAGTTCTTCCAGTCTCATTGCATCTTGCGTTGAAAGAGCACGAGCAATGGCACCCATAAGTTTGCGTGTCCTGTAAAAGTGTCAAGCTAAAAGGGGGTGGATGACAAGCATGCTGCACCGACCTGGAGCGTCGTGTGCGCTGTTCAGTGACATTCCTGCAAAGCTCAGAGCGCTCTGATGCAATACGAAGAATATCATCCGGAAGACCTGCAAGGCGACCACACTCAACTCCAAACGACTCCAAAGCAATGCCAGGTGTGAGTTGATACAGGAATGTCACATCCCGAGTTCCATTTACTCGCATTTCCGTTGTATAGCTCATGTGCAAATTTTGCACTTCCTCGGGGAATTTTCTTTCCAACTCTGTGGCTACTAGCGGATAATGTGTGATGAACAATGTCTTGCACTTCACGCGTTCCACTAGATGATGAAGGACAGCGTCCGCAATGGCCATCTGCATGAATGCTGTCATACGAAAATCTAGTGGAATCAAAATTGTTAACCCACCCCATCAGCAGTGGATGTACCCCTTCCTAACTCGTCAAGAATTACTAGACTTTTGTGAGTTGCCTTTTGTAGTATGTCGCTCGTCTGTGCCATCTCTACCATGAAAGTTGACCGTCCGCGAGCGAGTTCATCGGACGCTTCATGAGCGTCGAAATCAGTGACAGTAAAAACTAAAAACAACAATCGACGCACCTCCCATCCTGCTGAAAACGCCATCCAAAAGGCCAAGCCTAACAGCTTTAGCAGGTACATAGGATCCAATTTGGGCCATAATTGCAATGAGAGCAACCATGCGCACAACAGAACTTTTTCCACCCATGTTGGGTCCCGTAATTACACTGCTCCTAGGATAATCACCTCCAATGCATAACGTGTTCGGAACGAAGGGATCCGTTCGCAATGCCTCAATCATTGGATGTCGTCCTTCTACTATTTCCAGGGAATCCTCTTCGGTGAACTCTGGTCGAACGTACCCTTCTTGGTGGGCCACATGTGCCAGACTCAGTAGGCAATCCGCTGTACCTAACTTATTGACTACATCTCGCATTACTGAGTAGTGGTCTGAAGCAATGGAACTGAGGAACGATGCAAAAGCTTTGTTAGCTTCCGCATTGAGAGCTTCTTTATACCGAGATAACTCGTCAATGAGCCTCTTGGCCTCAGGGGTATGATAACGCCTCAGGGACTTGGTTCTGTTGGTCATAAGTGTGGAACGTCTCGCACACCAAGACACTTACGCAGACATCACCACCCAATTGGTGGGCACCGTTCGATCTTCAGATTTCTTGATTTCAACCAAGTACTGTATTGAATACTCAAGACGATGTCCATTGCAGTTATGTTTGACGCACCTCAATGCCCGCGATAGTCGTCCATGCGAGGGATGGTTTTCGGAGGAGTTTACGGACTAAACATGCAAGTTAGGCAACGTTCTTACTTGTGGATGAAACCTGTTACTGGATTTCAGCTCCTCATCAAGTTCTGACTTGACAGTTTCGATTAGCTTCAAATCTAGGGATCAGCAGCATGAGAGAAAGGGTAAGGGACATACAGACCAACTTGTACTCGTTCAAGGCAGGAAATTGCTCTGGATCTGTCCACAACTCACCTTTCCTGCCACTGCTGGCTTTCCTGATGTCAATTGCACCCAATAAAGCTTTTATCGGTGCTTTCAATTTCGGGAGGGCAGAAAAAATATCATTCAAGAGCTTTGAATGAAACTCCTCTAAATGTTCCGGAAATGCACTGGCAACATTTCCGAAAGCCGAAAGAAGGGATGCAAGTTCTTGACATGTGCACTGAAGCACGATTATAATAAATATGCCTGAAACATGAATTTCCTACCTTGCCGTATTGGATGCGGCACAGACCCTTGGCAAGGTCAGGGAGTCTTTTCAAGACACGGCAAAGCTCTACTAGTTGTGGTGACTTGCTGGACTTGATTTCCTCCACAGCATCTATTCTCTGGTTCAGGATCCTGGTCAAATAACGGTAAACGTTGCAATTGTGATGTCCCGGGAAGTACTTACAGTTTGTTTGTCATCGGCTTACCAATCCAATTCTTTAAGAGCCGTGCCCCAAATTTCGTGGATGTGTGATCCAAAATCGACATCAATGTACCATGCGTAGTGAAATCGGTCTGGTTCTGGTATATTTCACTGCGGTTGTACACGTCAGGGACATTGTTATGGGATGACACTGATACATACGAACAGGTTAGTCATGGTATTACCGTTGAGAAGCATATGACTCCTCTCGGTAAACTTTGTGAAGAACTTCACGCCTAAAAGCGAGTCTGCAATGCTGAATGTTGAGAGGTATTTGATGGAGTGGGCTAAAGATATGACAACTAGTTGCGGAAGGCCAGCAACAAGAGCCAGAAGTTTGTCTGCAACAATCTCATGAACATCCACAAGACGTAGCTGTAACATTATATCTGACCTGGGCTAAGCTCTTCGGTGCCAGCAGTAGCTTTGGTCGTGTAAAAGTTGGTGATAAAATCAAAAGCTTCCGAGCCGCTCAGCGTAGAGTTGAAATTTTCCGTCCTTATTCGTTGGTCATGAGAAGCGCTGGAGATTGTAAAATCGTCAGCACAAGTTCTCCATCTGTGAAATAAAACAGCGCTTACTTCGCAAAATGTGCCAAAACCTTTTGAGTCATTTTGGTAAGACCTTCTCCGGGAACTAATAATTCTGCAGGCCTTGTGTGGACAAGTCTCGTCTAAATAGAGTTGCGACAGCGTCTGAATTATAATTATGTTAGACCTACCTCGAGCTCAACGCGCATGACAGTATCTGGATGTTTTGTTTGTCAATAATTCCAGGTGGTTACTCGATTGTCCATACCATGAAATTCGTCCCAGATGACGTCGCCGGTACTTGGCGTAATCGCAATCATACCAATGCTGATTTCGCCTTCAGCAGAGTCGGGTTTATGACTCTCGACAAGACACAAGAGGGGCGGTGCGGAGTATTTATCAAGGTCGTCGACAGAACTGACCTCATCAACAAAACTACACCAAAGTAAGTTGGTCGATTCCGTAATAAGGTCTATTCTTACGTTGCCGCTGTGTATAATTGAGTAAGTTTGCGCTCGAAAAGTGTGTTCTTGTTCTCGCTCGCTTTCTTGAGGGCGGCTGTCTCCGTTTGCTCGATAATTCCAACTTTGTGACCTTTGGAGAGGAGCCTGACTCAGAATCACATGAGTTTCAGGCAATAATTAAGGTTGAAACTTACTTCTTCATATGTACTTCTTTCCTATGAACGGGAATAGAGGCAGTGAGAAGGTTCCGCTTCATATAAGCAACGATTCCGAGCTCTCCGCTGGCGATCTGTGATGCCTGTGTTTAGCAACGCGCGAGGATTCCATGTCTACTAAATTCACTTACTTTCGCACTTTCCTCGTGGAAATAAAACTTGTAACCCTTCTCAATCATTAGGATCGTCCCGGGATGGTCTTTAATGAATGATAAAGCCTGCATTAATGAAATAAATAAGTGAGCAAGAAGGTCGATGTTATTCAGCACGGAATACCTGAGCCTCGTAGGGTGAATAAGTCTCGCCACTAGGCCCGACCTCTGCGGCCGCTTTCGTCTTCCTAACCATAGGCTTCACACGGGATTTCTTGCTGCCTTTGGTGGGTACGAGAGAGAACATTGCTCGGAGTTCAGTGAACGCAGGGTCTGAATCATTTCCATCCTGAGAACTATCATCGTCCATGCTCGAGTTCTCTCTGTCTTCAGTATGTCCCGATTGTGGGCCTGTTCTGAGTAGAATGCGTTCCAAGTCTACTCGTGAGCGCGATTTATGATCTTGTACGTTCGCGGTGCCAGAATGCTTCCCTCTGGAGGAGGCGTCAAAACGCCATTGACTTGTAGGGGACTCGGGATGTTTTGACTTCAGTTTCTTTATAGGAGGCTGCCTTTCAGTGTCACTGTCAGAATCATCTATAGTCAAGTCTATGGGGGAGTGCGAGGAAACGAATGCACGCTTCTTCGTCGCGGAGCCCTGGACGAAAAATGAAGATATCTGGGGTTGGGTTTGTCTACTGGCAGACTGTCTTTCCGGCATTCTGGTCGCGTTAAAGAATGCAGACTCTGAGTAAGGTCGCGTCACGGCGATGGACTAGTGTTATTACGTCACGTGTGTGTGATTTAAGTTTCTCCCGAAGTTCAACGTCAACAGGTTCGCTTCAAGTTATTTTCTCGTTGGACATCCCTTGCTTCGTCCATGTACCGCGGACTATTTTCACGGTCAACGGCTCGTGTAAGGTTCTCGTGTGACTCGAGCGTACACTCTTTCTCTAGGTCATTCGCTACTGCTTCGTTACCTCCCGATGGTACGGTGGTGTCGGAGACAAATCGTGAGCATTACAAGACTAGTTGTTGTGATTATCTATTTATATATTTTTAGGTGCTGAGGCTACTCTGAAGCGTTTTTGGGAGACAGTAGGAATTTCAAAGAGAGACGATGGACTCACTGTGACGCTTGACATGCGAGCGTTGAAAACACCGTCTGGCAATACTCTGCTGTTACCCAGGAATAAGCGTTTAGTTGCAACACTCATTGCAAACGAATGGGAAAACCAGGAAACTTTGTTGAAACCTCATGCTCTTCCCATGGTATGATTGCTCAATGATGATCTAGCTCCTGCCATTGACTAGTGCAGACTTCCATAGCCTCACGGGCCATCGATGCCTTCCATGATAAAAAAACATGCTCAGAAGTGCGAGAATCTCTTCTTAATTACTTGGACACTGATACAATCTGGTGTGTATTTATTTCCACAAGACCGACTAGTCTGATCATAAGCCTATAGTTTTCATCACGATGACCCACCTCCGTTGGTAGAACTCCAACACAAGTACTGGGATCCATTGATTGAATGGGCGAAATCTACGTTTAACATCGACATACAAGTCTTTACCTCAATTTTGCTCCATTCACAATCGGCAGAAACGCGAGCTAAGCTTGATGTCATCTTGACTGAGATGAATCCCTGGGAGTTGGCTGGTGAGTGTCATGAAGCTGTCATTGAAGCCAAAGGGACCATAGTGACCATTCTAGCCATGGAACGTGCGACATATGTGACGAAGTCTTTTTTGATCGCGCTTGCCCTTGTAAAGAGGCATCTCACTGTTGAAGAAGCAGCTGTGGCTGCACAAGTCGAAGTCTCGAGTCAAATTCAAAGATGGGGAGAGGTTGAGGACTGTGAGTTTGGCATTACTATCCTAAGGAGGCGTTCGTTCTGCAAATGCCTCCCCCATTATGCACTCAAGGCGGTACTAATTATAGATCATTTTACAGCCCACGACGTCGATTTCCACGATATCCGCAGACAGTTAGGAAGTGCTGCTTGTCTGCTTACCAATAGTCTTTAGATAATGGGAATAAATATCCACCTCCTAATTGATCATAATTTCTCCAGATCGTGGATCATCCGTACTGTTCGTGCGCAAAACTATCCTGTCCAATTTAGTGGCCACCGCCTTAGTCACTTTGGCTGGCTCCGTGACGTGTCCAGACGCATGTCTTGAGTTCTCCTGCATGCACTTTCTCAAAATATCGATCTCATCCCCGCGAGAACGTCTGAATTTTTTATTGGCATGCCGATCTGTGCCGCCTATCATCGCCAAGCTAGGTCTGTAGGCAGTTCATTTGTGCAGTTCAAGCGCTAAATATTCTCACTGTCCTACGAGAGACCTTCAGACAGATGATAATGAATTTCCATGTTGGGTGAAATTTCGATGCTTATCCGTCGATGCCGCTTACAATTTACAGAATTATTCTACTGCGTGTGGGCCAAATTTATTGACCGTCGGCCTGAAAGACACGACGTTTTAGACGGCCATCATTCGTTCGCAAGTTCTTAGACCCTTGCCCGGCAGACCACGCCAATGGGAATTTCACAAACAAGAGCGAGGTGAGGCGTTTGCGCAGCAAGCTTTCTACTGACAGCATGTCCATTGCGCTTTACACACTAACCCCCTTCAGACTATGTAGGTTACAGTGATGGTGGAAGTAACCAACCTGTTTGATTGGAGGCTGGGAGAATCTTAATTTACAGTGAGACTAAGGTACTTTAAGGCACCCCGGACTCAGAAACTCGATCAAAAGCTTATTGATCGATCATGATCTGATCGGGACGAGATCAATGCCCGACCCAGTGGATTTGCACAACCGCTGAGCATGCCAAGGTTGTATGATAGCACTTCCCCTGTGACCGTGCTCGTGACTAAGGGCTTCTAAGTTCTTCGGCACTGTGCCTTGAAGCTTGAGCGGTGGGATAAGACTTCGCATTTTGTAAGTCGAAGGTTTCGGTTGCCTCACATGAATGCTTTTCACTTTGAATACATAACACCATGGCATCATGCTGACAACGATAACGCAGGTCTTGGATCCGTACGCCCTCGTGTCCCCCATTATACATGAACAATAATATCCTGCATTGCCTCCTCGGCATTTCCCATCTCTTACCAACCACAGGCCATTACTATGACATGGAGCTAGCCCCAGTGTCTGTAAGGCTGTGTCAGAGTTCGATAGCGAATACAAATGATGAAGAGAGTTGTGAAAGACATTGCGGAAGAGAGACGATGAGCTTTTCGTGTGAGAACGTTCGAGTCTTGTAAACTTTGATGGATGATCTACGATGGGCTATATATACGGGTGTGAGTGACAAGACATACTGGTGAATCTAAGGGTGGCGGGTGAATTTCAGGCGTGGCGGTCCGGCGGAAGCGTCGTCGAAACAAAGGTACAAAGAGAGAAACGAGGGTGGTTGTAACAAAGGCTGTTGGGAGTAAAGATAAAGTAGGAACGAGGCAGTGCGTACTATCATGTCCAAGCGAGCGTCCAGCGCCAGGCTTTCTTACATGTCGCTGAAAGTTCAATTTGTCAAAGCACAGCGTGTCTGATTGAAAACTGAAAACAAGTTTTGTAATATCGGGTGTGCACTAAAGTATGATGAGGACGAATAACATTAATCATAAATTGGGTCACCTCGGACGGGATTCCCAAGCTTGACAAAGCCGCCGGTCCACTGTGAAGCGTTCCCTAGCAGGATACGGGACCGAGAGCCAAGTTCCAAGCAAGACTCGGAGTTCCTTTGAGTTCGTGCTTGTCGGAGTTCCAACTAACAATGCTTCCTAAACCTCTCGACAGTCCATATACCTCATGCTATTGCGAGGAAAACATATATTTCCTCGTGCGTCGGTTTCTGGATCAAGCGCAGGTGAAAGCTACATGGGACATTTTTGCTGTCATTATATCGAATGTGACCAAGACGGTAAATCGTGTGCAGCCGAATATGCGAACTTATGTCACTGAGAGTGTAGGTTGCGCTTTGGAGTCAACTCAAGGCGCCTGCTGTAAACACAGCAGTAATTTGGGATTATCATGCCGTCTTGGTTCTGCGCAGCCGGTTGGGGTCTCATTGTCGGTTGCTCAACACGACGCCGAGTATCGAAGAGGAAACTTGGATCTACGATTTCGATTCTATCTTAGAGATGCCTAGTCGTTGGGAAGGTATGCAGATATAAAATGCACGGGCGTCATGGATAATTTAATTCCGGATCTTGTCCAGAGTATGTTGAGAAGACTTTCCCACCAGATTCAGACATACTACCACAGTATCGGTGGTAAGCTTACATGTCTGCCCCTGTCTTGCTCGGTATCAAATCTCTAATATCTATTAGTTTTTTCAGGGTCGTGTCTGGAGAAGAGTACTTGCATTCTTTTGCGTCGGACAGATCTCATATGGTGGGGAATGAGAACTTCCGTTTTGCGTGCGACCTGTAATGATGAGCCTCTGAATCTCAGTTATCTCCCGCGGCCGACTCATCGATCGACTCGGAGTATATTTCCCCACCACCTCCTTACCCTATTATTTGCGGACCCCTGGCTGCTGCGCACGGTTTCACCAACAACCTCATGACACATTTTGTTTCAATGAAGTCGACATCTAAAGGATACGGGACAGTGATGGATCGAGAGGCATTCGTTAGTTGGTTGCTCACAAGTGTAATCATAGACTCGTAGTGTATTATTGTGACATGTGACATACAGCGTGACTTGGTTCCTCAGTACCGACGTTCGTGCCAGTACACACGCAAGTAGCAACCTTTGCTCACTTATTGTTCTCCTTCATTTTCTCTATTGCGATGAATGCAACATCATCGACGTCCATAGTGGCTAATGGCCTTTCGAGTAACGGGGCTACACCTCCTACCGGACAGTCAGAATGTTCATTCAATGATAGTCACCGTGAGCCGACAAATTTTGCTGTGGTAGCTCAGAATGGTTTCTCGCAGTGAGTTGGCTGATTTGATGTCTATTCGTTGCGTGCGACTTTCTGACATTTGGGTCCGCCACTCGAACGCGTGGCAATTGTGAAATTACTCAACCTACGCAGTCCTCCGTACCAAATGCACAACGAGGAGATTGTACATCACCTCTATCATGCGGGATTTCAGACTGGCGTATGTACAGGATTCTTCTAAGAGACGAAACCTTTTTAACATACTTTTAGAATTATGCCGACACCATACTCGTAGGCCAATTTTCATCGCGTCAGATTATTGTACCTAATACATATTTTCCATTTAGCATGTGCATCAAAATACCTACCGCCTTCACGCTATCGTTCTTTCAAGATCGCCGTTGCTAGCGCATCTTATGTCAACCTCACCTCAGTCTGGAGCTCAGCGTGTGATATACGTACAGCTTGAACATGAGCCGGAGGTTACACAAGAAGTACGTGTGCCATTTTACTTATTACTCCGTTCATTTCCGGCCACCGTGCGCGGGGGGAGAGATACGAAGGTCACATTTGACTCAAATATTACTTTCTTATCGTGTACAACCACCGTCCTCGGAGCCCGTGCTGAGCGGAATTTCTCATCTGGAGACTGCAAGAGCTGACAGAATTATTATTACCCCTGCAGGGCTTTGCCATAGGTATGTACAATCGTGTCCTTGGTCACGTCTTTACCTGGTGTTCATTTCCGGGGATATTTTCAGCACTAGGATATCTATATTCATCAATTTCGCTAAGTCTCATCCGGCCCGACAATGCACGAGGAGTACTCGCAGCTGGTTGTCTACTTGGAGGCATGGATGAGCTATGCGGTTATGCTTATGATGCATGCAGGCAGTCGATCAATGTGGAGACAATCAATGAATGGCTCGAGTTCATCGACACGATCCCTTCATCGCCGGATGGATCTCTCAGCCCTGAACTATCGCTTACGTCTGTCTTTGGTCACTTTACCCAAAGGTTGCGAGATGATGTCTTTCACTTCCTCGTGGTGACACTCCCAAATGCCCTGGAAATTAATTCATCCGAGTCCGACCCATCACAAGGCCATACTGGTCGTGACACCCTGTTGCGTGTATTTTCCCTTGTCCCCTTCGACATGTTTAAATCGGCGGTTGAATCACGCGCGTTTGAAATTGGTAAATGCTGCTATCGGCTATCAACATTGTACCGAACATTTATATTCATATTCACAGGATCTGATCAAGCCCGTTTTAAGTTTGCGAAGGATGTTATAGAGGTGAGGAAGAGGGGAATCGCACGAGGGCACGGAGCAGAAGAAACGGTTGTTTTAGCATTCGGCGGAGGGCATCCTGGTGGAAGCGCCGTTCATGTCACTCGAAAGATTCGAAAGCGGCCCCTATGGAAGGTCAACTCATGAAACCGAATCTTGTTGGAAAGTCGTATTACGTGACTTTTTCTCCTGCAATCTTAGTTGACCTATTTTTTGCTCCTCGTTGACTATCGCAGATTACTGCTCGCGCGCCAATGCTCAGTGTTACTTTTCAGTGAAAACCTACAAATAGGCTGATTCAATATACGATGTCGATCGTGTATACCTGATAGGCAATTCTCTTGGCGATGTGGTTAATATTAGCCTTTTAGCTGCCCAGAACGCTCCGGAACTTGTGAATAGTTACTTACCTTTTACAGCTTCCAACACTTTTTCGATGAGACTCGATTGAATGAACATGGACTGGTTCAATGACCCAGTGCTTCAAGCTTCAGTCTTCAAACCCGTTGTCTAACAGCGTAATCAACCAGGGGACACAGAAACACCAGCCCGAAACCCGCCTCCACCTTCCCCCACAAACCTTTTGTTCCAAGTACACGAATAATCCCGCGTTCTGCGTGAACGTATCCACGCACAGCGCGTCAGATCTCGGCTCATTGCAAGTGGTCGCCCCATATAGTAAAAAACTGGTCCCGAGAAGTACCAAAAAGCTGGTTGACATTCCGGATGAATCATGGATGATGAATCACAAATTGTCCACCTCAATCCCGAAAGTATGACGCTGATTCGCTGAATCAATAACGGCACTTTTCGCGGCTTTTAGATGAACAATGCATCGCCTTGCATCGCTCTATCTATACGTGTCTTCTTCCTCCTCGAAGTGCACCATGATCAAAATCATATGATAATATCCAATTTCCGTGACTGAGTATCACGAGTTGCATAAACCTGAGGCTTGCTCGACATGTCCCGGGGATATAAAGCCTGCAATCTACCACCATTATGAAAAACAACCAATCCACATTCCAATTGTCCAATGGCCCACTCCTTCGAGATTTTCTTCACTGGAAGGGATGATCCTCGCAATGGCTGCATCGTCATCGGCGAGGACACCAAGCCAGTATTTTTCGAGTTCGAGACACAGTACTTGTCACCTTCCTCAGCCCGCACCACTGTCAGTGTCGTCTTCCAGACTTGTCACGACGGGCGATGCCTAACTTGCGAACTTCTATTTACAGATATCTAGCAATCGCAATCCTGTTGCAGCTTTGCATTGGATGAACGGTGGCCTCGGTGTTGCAACTATTGGTGATCGTGAAATTCCAATGGCACACCTGGTCCAACAGGGATCCAGTACATCGTAAGTCGGTATTAGTACTGTCCAAACGATGCCTTAATATTAAGTCGATTTTCAGCGCTCGTAGGTTTCCTTCTGCGGATGGCCGCCATTATGAATGGCGCAAGTGTCACGCTGATCCTAGGTCGTACGAGGTAAGTCCACCCCAATATTTCAAATATCGTCCGCTACAGTTGAATCTCCAAAAGCTCTTCTCCGGACCCAATACAAGAATCGCCAAGTTCCAGAAGCTTTCCCAAGCCACGCCGATTGGTCCTTCGCACGGAACACTACAATATAGCTTTAGCCATGACCTTCTATTGCTCGAAGCCTTGGTTACTTTGAATCTTAATAGGTGGTTAGATTGGACCGGGTGAGATGTTGGTCGGAAGAATAAAGGGATATGTATGCATGTATTACTGCCTCTGTACGAATATCGATATCACAACGCCCAATGTAAACACAAATTCTCCGTGCAAGCAAGACCAAGCTAACGAGAAAAGATCAATATAGCATAAACGATTATTGACTCCAGCAATCAAGGATTTCTCATCGATCCCAGCATGTGTTCCAGTTTTTCTTCAACCGTCCAATGCATATCGGTGTCAGAGTGGAATGATAATGGGGTAGAGCGGTCAGGGGGTAGGTTACCAAAATTGAATGAACCAGCGTCCATCCCCTGGGAAAGTGACTCGATCAAACGACCGATATGAGTGGAGGAGCTTGGAGTTAGACAATTAGTACCGAACTTCTGCGTACCGAGCGCAAGAACTGACCTATAAAAAACCTGCTACAGCGTTAATGACGTTTGATGATGGTGGAAAACCATTCACCTTGGTTTCAGGTCGGTTCTTGCTCTGTGATGACTTTTTACGTGAAAGGAACGATGAACCACTGCTCTTCGACGTCGATTTGCCGTGTTCCTTAACAAACACTTGCAGACCTTCAGTGTTATCACGCAAAGAATATTCGGATGCAAGACTGGTTCTACTGGCATAAACTGATTCAAGGTCGTCGTCACGCAAGCCGTTCACTATTGACCTAGAAAAAAGTCAATTATCTAGTGGCTGGGGTGGGCTTAATAATCCCAGAGAACAGTACAAACCAGATTGTTTCGCCATTCGCCATCTCAATCAGTTCAAGGGCAGCACCGTCAGGATGACCTTCTTCATGAGAGCTTCCAATGTCCACCGCATCGTCAGCGGGTGCATTTGTATTTTTGCTCTCACCAGCGTACATGTCGTATCTGATGGTAAAAATTAGACACGGAAAAACAGGCAAAATAATTACCCACAGAGAATCATACGCAGAGTTCGGCTTCTCGACAGGTGCACCTGACGTTGAAGGATGTAAAAGGGCCTCAGCTTGAGCGGTCATTGATGTGGGTAAAGGAGGTGACCGATCAGTCGAGAATCGCTTTCCTCCGTTCGACTTCGGTGGCGGTGGGGTAGGTGCGCGGTCATGTACTGAACGACCAGACTGTGCAGACGTGGCGCTGCCCGGCCGACGATGACGCTTACCCGAAGGCTTACGCGCCATCTGGCTCAAGTCGGTTTTAGATGCACGAAAGTCCGAGGGAAAGATAAGCGTTCTCCTAACAATAGTGGGATTCTCAGGAATGCCTTGATGGTTGTGACTGGATTCCCCCGTTTTGCGAATGGAGAGTTTTCTCACAGTCCTATCGTCTCCTCCGCTGCTGATGCCGCCATCATCGCTGAATTGTGGTTCTGGGAGAGGTGATCGAGATCGCATGGCTGAGAGGTCACCTCGTGCTATGGATGAGCCTGCCGTGGCGTTTGATGTACTCCTTGACAGAGACCAACCCGCTGTACGTGATGAAACGGAGGCGGACCGTGCTAACAGGTCATTTAATGCGGCTTGATCAAGACCAAGATTGGTAGCTGCTTCAAACAACTGTTTGACGGCAGCAGAATCATTGCTCATCGCTGGCGGTCCATCAATGCTTGGCCGAACGCCACCTACTATGGGCACGGAAGTAGAAGCAGGGACGGGTGCCGATGCGGGTGAAACGGTATTAACAGGAGAACCAACTAGGCCTTGACCATGATGTAACGAAGTCGTCGGAGAAGGAGTGGTTGGAGAAGCTCGTGAAAGCCCATTGCCATTTTCAGCTTGAGCATCTGCCGCACGCTTTCGGAAGCGGGACATGAAGCCTCTCAGGCCAGGGGTAGCTGAGGCCGGGGGACTGGATATTGATGTCGGTGACTTAGCCTTGCCTAAATCTGTCGAGCTTCCATAGGGATAACCCTTGGTAAGAGGCAATGTCGGCCTGCGATTCAGAGAAGCCGAAGGGGGCGGTGCAGCGCTGGGCTGGAGGCCGAGAGGGAAGGGAGTAACTTCTTCACCGCTCGGAACTGGCTGTTTGACTCTCAGAGTATTACGGAGACGCCTCATCCTCTGGGTGATGTTCAGAGAGGGCTGATGGGTGAGAGGTGCAGAAGTAGGAGCCTTTGGCTGTTGTGGAAGAGGGATGGTTTCTACTCTGGTAGGTGCTAACACTAAATGGGGTGCAGATATTTGGCTGGGGGTGATTTTCTTCCGCGTCACAGATATGCTTGAGGCATTGGCGTCAGTAAATTTCTGGCCAGAAGACGTCTTCATCAAAGCAGCCGTAGCCGCTTCTGCTTTCCGCCGAACTTCGTTCACGAGTTCGCTCTGATCCATTAACGGTCGAGGGCTTCGTACCGAATCTGACCGCAATGGGAGGTTATATGGTGACGCATTGGACGACAGCTGAATATCATCCTGAGTAAGCGACGCGACTGGCTGAGGAGTTGTTGCCGGTGGTACCTGGATCTGTGATGGATCATTGGACTGCGGAACGTCTTCTACGGGTGGACTGTTGTCCTGCGGTGATGTCATAGTTCCTTGCTCGTCTCCGAAGCCAAGGGCGCGAGCTAAATCCCTATTGCGACGCGTGGTAGTAGGGGACACCTTGATCTCTGAGGGATCCTCCAATTCCACCTTGTTATCGGTCACGACGCCAATCGTAGATGTGCGGGGGATGCTCCCCACGACGGAGTCAAGCAATGCATGAGCCTTGGCAGCTTGATCAGGCGCTGGGGAGCGCCGTCCGGTGGGGGACACCTGGGAAGCGGCCGGTTGGTTCGGGGGCGGGCTTGCAACCTGTGACCAGTCGTGAGTCATAAGTAAAATTGGAGTAAGAGAAGAGGACGGACCCGGTTATCACGGCCGTTCTGGGAGTAGTTCGACTGCGAGGTCGATGGCCTCCGTCTCCGCAGCGAGTTAGTCCGCTCTCGAGGCTCTGTATTATTTTCCTTTGCGCGCGCAGCGCTCACCAGCTTGTCTTGAATGACCACGAAATCAGATTTGGTCAGACCTGCATACCGCCGTATGATGTCCTCAAAGTCTTCATCATCCTGCAAGCTACCTGGAGTAGCGGAGCTCGACTTGTCCAGATCATGCCACCTGGATTGTTGTTCAACATCGCTAAAGAGGTCGACGGTTACATCTTTCTTCTGCTCAACAGACCATGAGTGATAACTAGATCCAGTGGACTCCAGCGAAGACTGAGATGAGTTGGCCAACGCTGAAAAGGCAGCAGGCTGAGAAAGTCCAAGAGAGAAATGCGAGGATGACTTGTGATGATGTCTTGATGAACGGACGGTGGCATGGTTGGAGAAACCCGGAGAGTCGTTTGAAGGGAATGCGGGAGAGGCGGTGGTGGACCGAGACTGAGTGGGAGTGGGGGACCGTATACTGCGGCTCGAAAATGAAAGTGAGGACCCATAGTTGACGATACCTGAAAGGCTGGACGGGGAACGACGGTCTGCAGGAGCAGGACTAGTCGAACGGTTCCACGCTCCAGCATTGGGCGCCTGAGGGTAAACGGGACTCTCAGGAGGCACGGGCACTCGAACTGACCGGTTTGGAGATTTGGATTTATCCGCATTAGATTGAAGATCGGTGTCCGTGCTCAGACTACCATTTCTACTGTGACTGTGACTAGAAGAACTACCCCGCCTGCTGTGAGTGCGGTTGGAGTTAGAAGGGGTACTAGAGGGTGAGTTGACATTCCAAGTAATGTTCGATGGAGTACCCGGTCGAGAAGATACGACCATAGGTCGGAAGGCGGAGCCCGTCAATGGAGATACGGGTTTCCTCCTAAAGGCAGATGACACAGAAGCTTCCTGGTCAGTACCACTCGCGCTCTCGCGTTGACTGTCCGACGAGTATTGACCACCAGCACTACGTGACAAAAACGAACTTGCAGGTGGGGCCACGGACGGCGAGATGGGTCGTGGGGTGCTACGAGATGCGTCTGAACCTCGCCGGAGTAAGCTTGAAGTGAAGGTGGTGGTAATAAGTGACGCTCCATTCATATTTGGAAGTGTAGGTGACATCGCACGTGGAGTTGCGGAATGCGCCCGCGCATCATCAGAGTCAAATGAGGGATCACGGGGCGTCATAGGACGGGGCATTCCAGGGATGTAACCTGGAAGACGAGGGGTGGGCGAGATGGTGCCCGCACGACCCAATGGGGTTGGGGAAAAGCGTTGCCTCTCGTTGTCAATATTCAACTGTTTATCTGATGATATTGCGGTTCCGCCTTCGTAGTTATTGGGTGATTGAGTCTGACATCATGATTCAGTATGTAATGCATGAAGAAATCAATTTCCCCACCGAAGCTCCTGATGTCGAATCACTAGCTGGAGATGAAGCACTCGACTGTTCTACGTCACTCGACCGCGGAGCAGGATGTGCTGTTCTAGGCATGAGTATCTCATCCTCGGCCTCCTCTTCAAAGTCCCGTATAACACACTCCAAAGCAAGTTCAACGCGCTGAACGCTGACGGAACTGTTACTTGATGGATGTGCGCTACTTTTGTTGTTGTCCGCGAGCGCCTGCGAAGGAAAATCTTCGATAGAGGATATTAATGACGTGGAACGAGCTAGGGGAGTCTTGTCGTTGGGGCTGGAAGGTACTGAAGATACAGGACCACTGCCTTCGGGCGTTGCAGGTCTCAAACTCTCAGAATAGTTTGACGAGGGTTTCTCTCTGAGACTATGATCGGAGTCTGATGGTGTGATAGAGGCTGCGCCACGGCTGCTGCCGCTTCTTTGCGACACAGAGCGGAGATAGCTGTACTCGCGAAACCGTCCAGATGCAAAAAGATTATTGCTGTACCTCTTTGTTGAACGCGAACTCGGCGACGGGGATGAAGTAACAGATGAAGCTGGGTATGTAGTCGAAGAGGTCGTGGTGGATATATGAGAGGTACGCTCGTGAGTGTAGTCGGATTCCATCCCCAGGTCGGTGGCATTAGCGCCAGAGCCGCCCTCAAGTTTGCTGCTCGAAGTGGTACTAGGCGCAGCATTTTTGGTACGCATCCGCCCAAGCGTCTCAAGGATCATGTCCTCTTCCTCCTCTGATATCTGGTTTGGCACACCACGGGCTCTCTGTTCTGCAAATTTGGACCTGAGATCGTCAAGTGTAAGAGGATCGCCGTAGGGGGAGCGGAGAAGCGTGAAACGGCGAGTAAGACTGGGTACCTGTATTGTGAGAGAGCTGTAAGGCTGACAAGACAAGTCTGTGACGCACTCTGGTAGTATGAGTGATGTCCGAAAGTCACTAGCAGGCGGAAGTGCTGTGTGCTCAGATGTCGGTGTGAACCAACGGTCTTCGTCAAACGGGCGGCTCCTGCTAGGGTCGGACCTTTTGCTAAGGCACGTCAACAATAAAAGTTAAAGCGAAGAAGCCGTTTAAACGCAGCGGTGAGGTGAGGTGACGAGATATTGATGATACGCGAATTAGGCTTGTAATTGAAAGGGTAGAGGAGCAGCAGCCAGGCTTACCGGAAACGATGCATGGTTTTTGCTGGCAGGAACCCTCGTTTAGTACACGAGGCAGGGCGCTTGGATGATTGGATCTCGAGACTTTTCTGGGAAATGAGTGTACAACGTGGTGAACACGAGTTGGTGTTTTTACGGAAAATATTCTTCTTTCAAACTGCTTTGAATAGGACCCGTCAAAATTTAGATCCTAATGGACCTAAACTCCACACGTAAAGCAAGATAACGGTGAGTTTCGCTCATTCGAGCCTTCAGCGAGCTGAGCACTCTGACTCGCGGAGACTCATGAGAGTCCAAGTGAATTGCCACAAAATTTAAATGGTGTACGCTCTTAACAAGTCCATCCCGCCTCCGAAGAAGTTCGTCCAGCTTTTCACCAGAATAAATCATTGATGGATGTCCTCCACATTAATGCCAATGAAAGCCGCAATACCCTGCATGCCAAGCCCTCTTTTCAAGATTCTGGACCGATATCTGCTGGTTAGCGTGTCTTCGTTCCAGGCCTCGTGAACACAGATCTAACTCCCTTCGCCCCAGCCCACATGAAATGAATCCGCAAACTAGCTTAAAGTATGTAAATAGTACACACGCGGGCTTCAGGTCAGTGACGCCCGCAAGATACCGAAATTCATTTATGACTGACGCCCTTATCTTCTGCCGAGTCCCCGCACATTAGGAGCTGCCGCAGTAAGCGGTTAGCTACCGCCCGAGCCTACATTGCATATCTGACGCAAGTAAACGACCGTTAGTATACCTCATATTATACAGAAAGAGCCCTTTATGAAACAGGGTAAGACGCCACTTACTTCTTCGTGTACTCCTTTGCGGTAGCTAAGAACTTTACTTTGTCGTTCTTCAACAACTGTAAATGAAACCGGTTAGGGGTCTACATCAATCACGGTCAAGACCCAAAATCTCACTGCAGCGATTTCAGGTTCGAACGGATCGTCCGGACTTGGATTGTTCACTTTCTCTTGAATAACCGCCAGTACTACAAGGATATATCAGCCCGAGCCAATTACAGAGGATATTTCCAAGGTAAGGTCTACCTGTTGATAGCGTCACTGATGGCTTCCACTTGATGGGGCGAATGGATGAAAGAGCTTGAGTATACTATCCCTGCGGGTGAAGAGAACGTTGGCCTCACCTCATCGCGAAGAATAGGGACGCAAATATGGCCCTCTTCGTTGATGCCGGGATGGTAAATCTTAGTTAAGAACGTGACCTAGTGATGCCGTGGATGAACCCTCACGTAAATGACACAGAAACGAAGTAAGAGCTATGAAGATTAGAAACTCAATTAAACTGATGGGCATAGTGGAACGTTTCGGGGTTCGACTCGGGTGGATGGATATGCAACGAAAATAAAGGTTGATAACTCACGCTCGGCGCCTTGAATGGAAAATTCATCGGGAGCTCGATCTTGAAGTGAAATGTTCCGTTTTTATATGGGCTATCTGACTTGGTGCGCAGTAATGTGAATGAAAGAGGGGGGGATTAAATGCTGTTAGTGATACTTACAGAACCCTTTACTGAACACTTCCAAACGAGCAAGTTATCTGCTTCTGGTTCGGCTGATATTCCCTAAAGACCGTTGGTCAGATAAAGTTAATCTGCTATACAACAGGCTACATACATCAAGGGGCCTGTTTGTGATATCTTGGAGCTCCTAGACATCATCCAGGGGCGTCGGAAGGTCAAATTCATGACATCCTCACGAAAGAGAAGAAGGGCACCTTCTGAATTCGCCTGTAGACGATTAAGATCCTGAATCAATAAATGGTTCGGTTATTCATACCTAAGAGCAGTCATCCTGGGTCTTCCAAGTTGTGACCCAGCAGTGGTAGAACAACAGTGACTTGACCAAAACGGAAATAACGACAAACTCGACCAAATCCAGACAGCCTGCTACCCAGTGCTCACTTTGTCATGCTTTGTTGCGACTTACTTTCGCCCGTCATCGCAAGCAATGGTAGTTGTTACAGACTCAAGCGTGGTGGACGGACCAAGCGGTTCAAGGCCATCTACGCCCTTGTTGGTTCCTTCAAAGAAACGCAAGGTCACGTCTAATCCTGAAGCATCTCCTGCACCCAACGACCCAAACAATCCAAGCACAGCAGCCAATGTTGCTCTACCCACCCGAAACGACTTCTTCTCTCGTCCTCGTCTTACAATATCGCGGTGGCCTACCTTCACGGACACTTCTATAATGTATCATGCCACAGAACAACTTGCTATGAACCGTATGGCCTTCAGATACGTCCCAGCAGGCGTTTCGCCCCCTGGTTCTGCCCTCCCATGTCGAACAATCGAAAGTCTGCCCACGAGCTACAGAGTTAGCTGGGAGGATCGCAGCTCTTTTGTCAAAGTCACTCCTGATGGCCTGGGGTTAATTGGTGAAAGAGGTTTTAGGAGTGCGCGATGTAATGCACCCGTCCGTGAGGGCAAGTGGTATATGGAGGTTCGCGTCGAGGATGGCGGAGGAGATCGATCTACTCATGCCCCAGATATCAACATGCGTCAAGGAAGTCATGTCCGACTTGGCTGGGCGCGACGAGAAGCGCCTTTGAATGGTCCAGTTGGCTTAGATGCATATTCGTACGGCTATCGTGACAATGGTGATAAGGTCTATCTATCACGCCCTCGCCCTTATGGTCGTTCCTTCCGTAGTGGGGATGTTATTGGCATGTACATATCCCTTCCACCTCGATGCAAACCCGATCCCCGTGACAGTCATGACCCCGCACATATTCGACGCGAACGCATCCCTATCGAGTTCAAGGGCCAGGAGTATTTCGAAAGTCTCGAGTATCCCCAGAGCAAGGAGATGACCACTCTTATGGACTTCTCTAATAAATCAAGTAATACGGCATCACTCCCATCTGCCTCTTCAAACAAGAAGGCTGCGTCAACAAAAAACCTCCCGGAGCGAGGCGCACGTCCTGGACAGGTACCAGAAGCCCCCGTTCTTCGCCCTCTACCAACCTTGTCAGGATCTCACATCGCGTTCTTCGTCAATGGCGAATGTCAAGACATTGCGTTCGAAGACCTATTCGATTACCTGCCTTTGCGCACGACGCCTGCGTCGAGGAAGAAGGAAAAAGACAAGAAACGAGCGCGTGAAGGGGCTCCTCGGGAACATAAAGAAAACCCTTTTGATGACGGAACGCTGGGGTATTACCCATTCATTTCCTTATTCAACTATGCCCGCGTGCGCATAAACCCAGGCCCAAATTTTGACTTTCCGCCTCCCCCTGACATAGACAGTGTGCTCAAGAACACTGATCACAATGTAAATCAAGCTCAGACTTGGCGTCCCATTTGCGAGCGGTACCCGGAATTTATGAAGGAGCAGTGGGATCTGGACGATCAAGAAGAAGAAGAGGCTGCACTGGACGCGGCCAAAAGAGCCGAGGTCGAGAAAATCGAGGCACAAAAGAAAGTGCAGAGGGAAAAAAGCAGACAGCAGACTGAAGCTCGGAAGAGGGCCAAGAAAAACGCAGAGTTACGAGGATCTTCGGTTGCGAGTGCCCATGGTTCCACAACGGAACATGCAGCTCCTAGTGGTGACCGTCTTGGGTCGTCTGTCTTGATCGCGTCTACATCGCAAGCGACAGAGCGTGGAATGGATCAAATACACTCCCCTGCACCAACAGCTGCGTCAAGTGGTGATCTCAATCACGTCCTAGAAGCGGAGAGTGGGTACAACTCTGAGGTCATCGAAGGAGATGGAGAAGAAGAGCAACACGACGGATTCGCGGCAGCCGTGGATCATCACGATGACGATGACGACGATGACGATGAAGCGTTTAGGGAAGCCGCAAGCCCTTACCGCAAATCACGGACACAAAATAATAGTTCTTCTGTCATGGACATTGACCTAGAAGATCTACTGTAATACATAAGTACCTCACATGTGTGATCAGATATGCAGATGAAGGACGACAAGAAACGTGAAATATGCAGAAGCAGTGACCGAGAGCGCAGTACATTTTGGTCTGTCACTGAGCCGCGTGGGAGGACGTTGAGTGAAACCTTCGAGATAATTCAACTATCCGATTGCGGTTAGGAAAGGTGATATGGGACTCGGGCGACTCGCAAAGTCGTTCAGAAATTGGTTCTTAATAAACCAGCGGTGGAGAGCGATGTTACGCACTCGCAGATTTCGAACCAACCCTTTTTCCACAAATAGACTGTGTTGCATGGCGCAAATGCAATCCACTCTGATCATGATGTCCAGGGTGCGAAAGTACTCCGGGGGCTGCACGCATCATAAGGTAAGTCTCAGTGGTGTTGACGACACGATCAGGTAGGTGGCCAGGTCTCTGCGTTAGGACGTTCAGCCCACCTCTCCCAAGCACGTCCACCAGTGCAGGGGTTCAAGTCTGGATATAGAGGATCATAATAGACGGCGCAAAAGAGATGCCGAGCTTGGACATGTGCAAACCTATGTAGATATTCATCAAATCAGTGAGGAAACTTCTATATGAAATGGAGAAACCCACCGCCACATCGCAAGGACGAAAACGATCTGTAACAGAACTCCCACCCAAACCAGATCGCGATGGAAAGAAGAACCATTTTCACCAGTGATGGTCGGCTAGTTGCGAGAATAATCAGATGCAATCATATCAAATGCGTCCTTTGTCTTACCAAAAGCCCGCTTCGGTCTTCGGCTTCCTTGGTATATTTGTGTATTAAGTTACGCTTACACTCTTTCACCGATTCGATACGAAGTGTCCGAGCTAATTGATTCCGAGAACGCCGCGCTACCCTTGAACGTTCTTCGAGTTCTTTTGAGTAGCTCGGGTTCAATGCGAGATTATCAGGAGGTCTACAGTTCCTATCAATCAGCCGTTTTTGCGAAGCCATACGCTTACAACATTACCTATCTTCATCACTCAGCCCACTAGCCCATTCCTGGAGTGTTTGCCGTATTTGAGCTAGGCCTGCAGCGTGACAAATAGGTAAATTATCATGTAGGACTGATGAGCATTCAGGGACATCTTCCTGAACTTCTCTTCCCGTTACATTGATTTTATTCTTGTTTGAGACACGAGGAGTACGAGTTTTAGTTGATGGCGAAGCACGAATTGCGTCTCCCGCGTCCGCACGCTCGTTCACAATCGGTATAGGAAGTTCGTCAACCCTTTCTCGACCGAATGCATCAACAACCTTCACGATGAAGGCTTTTCTCTGTGGACGTGATGATGGTGCGTTAGTACGAGAAGCGGGTGTCATGTGGCGTCCAGGAGTGACAAGCCTAGCTAACACCGGCTTGTCTACGGCACCACCTTGAGACGAACCATTGATTCTTGTTTGGTTGACGTTCCTCGACCGTGATGCATGACTATTAGGCAGAGAGTCGGGCGTAGACATGGGCATGTCAGTTATAGGTACTTGATGTTCAACTTCAGCAGTTGACGCCTCTGATTCCGTCACATCAAAGCGCACTTTGAGGATGTTCTTTTTCGTCCTGACAAAACCAAACTTGGATTGCCCGTCAGACCAATTCTGAGTTGTGGTCGACATCCACGCGCCTGGGGGCGCCGGGGTGCGCACATGAAGAGATTTAACATGCGGCAGAGACGTAACGGTCCGCGCTCCGGAAGATCTAGGAGTCTTCATCGTGGTGTAGTTCAGATGAGCGAAACTATCCTCATCCACTCGCACGGGAGTGATATCTGCTTCGCGTGTCTCTACCTCAGGACCATCCTGAGAGGCAGAACTAGTCAGCGGTTGCGTTCCATGAGTGGAAGAGCGTGGCATCGTCTGCTCTTCGTCCTTAGACCCAGACTCGGAGGACTTTAATGGAGAGTCTGGGACAGAACAGAACGAGGCAGCTGAAGTTGAGGCAAGAGCTCTGATTTGAATGGGTGAGCCGCTTTCTCGTAACAGCGAGGATGGTGGAGATACTTTGATGTATTGTAATGAGATGCCAAAGACTATCATAGGGTGGTAAAGTGAATTGACACACTGGGTTTATCACATTCATCGTCACCGAGACTTTTCATCATGTTCTTATGCCGTTCCCCTGCACGGTCCACAACGGGGGTAACGTCCGTCTCGCTCATGCCGGAATTGTTTCTACCCGGCCTTGTGAGAGGATATCTTCTGCTGGGTGAACTTGATGGATGTGCGAGTAAGGCGCGGAGGCGTGCTACTGGAGTGTCGGAGAATATCACAGAAGACGGACCCGCGACGACTGGCGTAAAGTCAATATCGATACTTTCCTGAGCACCATGATTCGGAACTGGTGTTTGGTGGAGGAACCTGAGACGGGGTTTTAAGAGATTCGGGTGTGATGAAGGCATCTCCATGATTGGATCATCATATACCATCGGTGGCGGGCCAACGTCGAGTACTGAGCCCTCGAGGCTTCGCCGTGTTTCAGATTTTCATGGCTTGTGTCACTGGATAAATTAGGAATTGCTGCTGGTCTTGACTCATTAGTAAACCGGTGAGACTGCTTGACATGCACATATGCATCCGCTTCAAAATCACTCGGTGAGTCCCTCGGTCGTACTTGGGGTAGTCGCAGGTACTGGGGAAATATTGTGCGTATCATATCGCGACTTAATTAAAAATAGACTATGGAAACAGCGCGAGTGAGACGAGGAGAGTATACGTTAGTGCCAGATATAGTCCAGTAGTAAGAAACAGTGAATACAAGTTGGGGTCATAAAAGGAACAGTGAGAAGATCTCACATTGAAACACCAAGTGTCACGTTCCAGGAAACCACTTGGGGGGAGGACTTCGGACTGGATATCTGGGGTGCCACGCTAGTGAATCTTTCCAATACAAACCAAAACAGTACGCTTACCCATAGCTGACGCCGACCCCTTTCTCTATCTCAACACGGATGTCGAATTCCAACTCTTGTGTCTCAGGATCGCAGGAGACCGCACACCAATTTCGTCGCCCCATTATATACTTATTTTGGAGGCGATTGTTGCCATTTGGCTCCTTCGTAAAAAGCGGAAGCTACAAGAATTACCGCGTAAAATCGCTGCAAATCATTTCTAGGATTTGAGACATACCATGACTTCATCAGTTTCTGCATGATGCAGCGTTCTATGAGTCTTGGTCGCCAAAGTAGATACCATGGCGATCACTCCATTCGGAGGCCTTCAATTGGCTTAACATGCTTCATCACGCACAACAGATGGCGGCATCACTTACGGTGTGTTGACGATTGCACCTGAAACATAATTAAATCTCGGAGTTTAAGAGGGAGTAGAAGGAACATACTTGTCACCACGTTGATCATGTATCTATAATCGGTTTCAGGCGGAACATCTATTGTCCGGTTGTTCTTTCCTCCGTTGCCGCGGACCAGCGTTTTAAGAACCCCTACGGCTGCGCAATGCACGTCACCAGAAAGAAACGAAATACGCAAACTTTTCATCCTTGCTATTCCTTGCATCTGTTGAATGAACCAGTTACGCTCTTTCTGGAAGGCATATCCTTGTTAAGTTGGGGCCACACGTGACATTGTTTTCGAACCTTGTGACACTTCGCGGTCCAGTGGTCATTCTGCCCAGACCATCAGCTACATTAACAATGCGTCGTGAGAGAGTGACATACCAAATCATCTAGCAACTCAGCGTCCGCGTTGAATTTGTTCACAAAACTACTGAATCCCGCGGTTCCGCTGCGTCCAAGGGCAATCAAAGGATTCAACATGGAGTCTAGTGCAGTTTCAAGGAAAACCATTCGCGGATACGCAATAGGGATGCCTGTGGATCAATATGAAATAAAGGTGATGCTGGGATCTCATTGAAGGCCGCACCAAGTTGCACAACGAGATGTTTTACGTCCGGAGGCAAATACCTGATTCGTTCAAAAGCCTTTTGGTACTCGAACTCACTGCAGACCTGGCTCCTTTTTCTCTCCGCTCTTGCAGCGGTCATACATTAGCTTATATACCTCCAGACAGTATAAAGCAGTAACCACTTACCGACAGTCCAGCATAAGAATATGCACGTCGGGCCCCAAATAAGACAAAAACGAATGTGACGGTAAACCAACATAGGGACCTTGAGCCCCCAAAATAAGTGACTTGAACATGTGCATCCCTGTTCTATCGTCCAATTTGTCATGAAGAGCTACGACGATGAGGTCAGTCTATGAGAGAGATGTTGCAATCCGCAACACACGATTGATGAAGCATTGAAAAAGCAGATAGAAAAAGTAGCCTCGCGTTCCGATGCTAAAGACGTTATGAGCAGGTGATTTCCCGATATATGAAAGCTACCCACTGCTTGAACACGGGAGACTGTTGAAGCTCTTCAGGATCTGTAGCACAACAGGGTTACGATAAAGGATTGATCAACGAGCTGTAAGTCACGTACAACTCCCGAACCCATCGATCTGGAAACGCGCGAGATTAGTCAGTGACAAGGCAATGGAGCGTAATCACACGCACCAAATCTACAAATGTGCATTAATTGGTCAAACAGTTACCGTTACATACATCAGTGGCTTACCGTGGTCATCTGCAGATACCACATGAGTGTGTTATCAATTTTATCCGATTCGAATGTCTTACCACACATATTCAACATTGGACTTAAAGAAGGGGGGAGTTAGTCGTGGGTAACATGGCATATCTATGATTATCTGGCCTACGCACATCGAGCTGTTCGCCCTCGCGAACGCCCCCATCCTGAAGGAGCTGCAGTAGTGATTGAAGAAAAAACGATCAACGCATGAGACAATTTCACCAGTCAAAGGGAAATTTTTCTTGATGGAAGACTTTGCCAAAATCCATTCTTGTATTTCGGGCTCTCGAGTCAACCTAGCAGAGAAGCGTGACTATTCAGGACGGCAGAGGTGTATAGACGCATACGAGTCGCAGTATAACTGATCGCCTCCTCCCACAAGGACATGAAACGGTCGTTCGACATGCTTCCGCAAGAGATCGATCCACATAGGGTCATAACCACTCTTGAACCCTGGCCCTCTGAAGTCGTCTGGATTCACACCAGCGCTGAAACCATTACACTAAGAAGAAGTGATGAAATATGCAGCAAACAGGTTGTGTTAGCCTTACCGAGTGGGCTGCCCACCGCATGTTCTGATGAAGAGCAGGCACGAAGAAGGACAATTGTATGCCACCGTTGATACGATATTTGATACAGATTTCATTCGTACCCAGTTGTATCTGGATGGGGAAACGCCAGAACGTAAAGGTGCTGTGTACATGTCTTAGCGTTCAAAGATCCCTTACTACTGTATTGGTCGGTTGCACTCACCCACCATTCCCTGAATAGACATAAATCTCCTGGCCAGTTACATGCTGTGTCTGATCATCCCTCGTGTTTCCTTTTCCCTTATAGTCACCGAAGTATGCCTCGTTTGTATCAGGCAACTGCGCTGATGGTCCGGCCATTGCAGTAGCGTGAGGATCTGCGGGGTGCGGACCAAGGTCATAACTCGAATGAGAACCCTGTGTGCTTGGAGAAGGTCGGGCAATCTCCTCAGGGTCCCACTGATAAGTTAAAACTGGAAATGGCTCGTAGGATGATCCTGAATCTGCGGCTAAAAGGGTTGTAGTTGAAATGCTTGATTGACCGGCCACAAGCGCAAGTGGAAACTTACTGACGATAAGTGCTGCGCCTCGCCAAAGACCATTTTCGTCAACTGTATCATATCGCAAAAGGGGCCCGACCATAAACTGAAGGTGGGGTTCCATTCTGGCAAGCCTCTGTGCTCTAGAGCGTTCCACTGCGGGCATCTGAGCCAAGGAGACGCCGGAGCTACCAGACGCCAACCGTTCAATAGCATGGCTAGCAGAAGCGGATCCATTTTGGGCAGGATTATCGGTGAAATATTTTGGGGGAACAGGAGACAGTGTACCAGGAGTCGGGGATGACGGCGGGCGTGGTATACCAAAGCTACCAGCCTGAGCGCGCGCGCTCCCGTCAGGAAGTGGATCAATCTCTTCTACGGGTAGATATCTCCCGTCTGGCCCTCTCTGAATTTCAGAAAAATGATGTGCTTCCTGTGTAGCGCCAGGCTTTTGTGTAAATCGCTTCAAGGGTAACCTGAAGCATGAACTATTACTCGCCTTACGAGCTCTGCGCTGAGCATGCCAGCCCACGGTGTCCATGATATGCGAGGGTCGGGTCGTTTGGTGCCAGCTGCGCCAATCCTAGGTGTATGCATTTATTCACATAGGGCAGTGCCAGGCTAACGTCATTGCAGGTATTATTACCGTATTAATACCACCTCCGCGGCCCGTTGAACATTTACAGAACTGAAGCTGAAGGCTATATGGTTTCTTTGGTGTTAAAACGTACACGTGTACCAGTATACTAAGTATTCACGAAAATTAATTGCAATCGCACAAATAACTAGGTTGAGATATGGGCAATTTGACTAGTGCTTAGCTGGCGTGTTCAACAATCGTTGTGACTAATTTGCCATTCTGTATCACTGTCTTCAGCATCTCGGGCATGGCCTGCTCTTCAAAGACACCATCTTCCTCCCCTTCGACTGGTAAGCTGACGTTGATCGCGCTGCATTTTGCTGTAGTAATCTCAACACCAAGACACTGCTTCGAGAGGTAAATCTGCCCCGAGTCTGTCGAGTCAATCTGGATGGTAGGTGCTACCCCTGTAATTTGTAGGGTAAACGATGGAGACTTCATGATGGAGACAGAAGAAACCACAGATTCGACTAGCACGGAAGTTTTCGTGCAATTAACTGTCATAGAATTTTGAGTAAAAACACTGTTAAACCAAACCAGAAAACACTGACCCAAGGTGACAGCGTTGACTTTCCCCTTGATAATGACGGTCGTGTTCTTGCAAGCAAAAAGGTTGATCACTTGTGTAATATCCACATTGGCGACCTCCAAAGCGGATTCATTTTCTTGATATTCCTGCATCACCATCAGATGAGTTACCCTATTTAAAATGAGATACCTACAATGATCCATTTGTTGCCCTCCAGTGCAAATTTGGAAGGCTTCTTGCCCATCAAAGCCTGGGGTTTGGTTGGTTTAACAGGTTTCTTAGCAGCTATCCGCATAATGAGGAAAAATGATGTGAGGAGTGCAAGATCACTCACCTGCCCCGCTACCTGCAGGGACGACGTTCCCAGCTCGCAGGGCAGGGTTCTTGTGTGTCATCTCGCTTTTGTCGACTTTACGTAGCCCCTTTGTTACGTCCGCGCCACGGTTCAAGTCCGCAAATACAGCAGCGACCCCACCAGCAGGTGCTGCCGGGGAGGATACTGATTCAGCCTGAGGTGGTGGTGGTGGTGGCGGCGGTGGCGGTGGCGGCGGCGGCGGCCCACTGATTGGCTGTGAACGGGGTGATTTGTACTCTGAGACCAGGATGCCCTGCAGGGAGTGGTCTATGATGGTTTGTAATTCAATGGCAAATGGATACTCACGCTGGCATTCCAAACAAGACCTGTGGTGTGGAATTCCATAACATAGCGCTTCATTCCATCAAGAACCCCATTAAATGCCCGAACCCACTCCGCGTGTCTTGGGTCCCTAAATTGGACGTCAACTCAGACCATTCCAATAAGATATCAGTCGCACTTTTCTTTGAAATCCTTGAGTATCCTGTTCGCATAGTACGCGGTACTTTCCTTTATCTCATTCACATATGGTCCCGGTTTGGGTTCCTGCAGGCCGTCGTCATTTAAGAGGTATTTTGACGCGTCAAGATCATACCACAGTGACCCATCCAACGAAAGCAGTCCCATCTGCGATGACTGTGAAGTGGTTGAACCAGTCCCGCTCCTTTCTCGCAGCCTCTTTAGCGCGAGTTACGGATTCAATGCCTGTTTGGAGTGGCGAAAGGATTTCGGCAAACGCCTTCTGGTCGGGCTTTCTGCATGCTGCGGCCTGGTGAAGTACAGACCGCAGGGTAGCAAGTACTTTGGCAAACAGATCAACCTGAAAGATGCATATCTTCAACATGAAACATAACAAAAAATCGCGGAAGTATATGACCTGCTCGTTTAGTGGAGGAGGCGCGATGGCTTTATTGATCTCCAGAAAGGGTTTAAGCTTCCCCTCTATAACAATCTCATCGTATGCGGTGACTGCCCGTGGCACTGCTGCTTGCACCTCAATCGCAGGTGGGGGTGGCGGGGGTGTTGAAGTCGATGGTGTTTCAACGACCGCTGCGCTAGTAACAGTGCTGGTACTTTGTCGTTTGAGATGTCCTGCACTCCTGGAATCTTCTACGTCTTCGAGACGCGATGTGATTGCTTCAAGCCTAATCGCACGTCGATGTCAGCTCCCATAGAACTGGCTTCTACATATTAATGATGCACACCGCTTGATGAGAGTGGCCAGTGAGTAAAGCCCTTGAGCAGAGGATGCCATATCGACAGAAATTGAATTCCCCCGACACTAGCAAGTTCCAGACACAAGAGTCTTCGGGAGGCCAACTATAGCGTTGCACGGTGATACGTGTAGGTAAGATGCGTAATATGGTGGGAGGTATACTCAGTGAGAGGGCTCAAGGCTGTGACTTCACCGCACCGGAGTATTCCGCAGCGCCGCCATCTGTGAATCGGCGGATGCTGACAACATTCTATGTAGCTACTAAATTAATAACTCCAGTTCCTAGTACTCAATAAGTGCTTAGACAGATCTAGCAGCAGTCATCTCATCATATATATGGTGCGCCCTGGCCCTAGGGTTCATCACTTTGCCTGTGTTTCCAGGCAGTCCTTCTCTTGCGCTCGTGCGCTCGCCTTCTTCTTAGCCTTCTTCCGTCGTTGACGTTCTCTTTCCTGTTGCTTCGCGCGTTGCAGTTCACCCTTTGATAGGCCAGGGTTGTGTAGTTTGTCCAGCTAAATGAGTTCAATCGGAGGTGCCGGTGTTCGATAGGGATAATTTAAACCTCGGTTAGCCTATCTATGTAGGCATGACAAGATGTTCAGACACACGCCTTTTGCAGGAGCCACCGCCTAGCGAGCATGCGATTTGTTTGGAGTGATCGAGTTTCCTGACATGCTACACGAAAACCAGTGGGTTTATGAAGAAGTTGAACATTATTCTGGGTCTTATTGATGGACTGTCCGCCAGGACCACTGCCTTGGTCGTAGGTCAGTGGATATCCTAATTAACTGAAAACAGCAGTTCGCGTTTGATCTTTCACCTACCTCTAACGAATGATTCCTCGATATCCTCCTCACGCAACTCCGGAATCTCCCGATCTTTGTGAGCCCTCTTGAGAGCGGAAAAGTTGCGCAGCATATTGGCACTATGCTGAGCAGCAGGTTCTATACTATAGGTTAGCTTAGTGACCAACTGCACACTTTTTGACGATAAAATGAACCTTTGCCCGCCCTTCTCTAATTTTCGTGCTCGTCTGCTGGAAGGCATGAGAGGCGGATTCTTAATACTCTCGTTTTCGCCAAGTTCAGTGTCCTTCGTGAACCGAAGGTCTTAAACACAATTTAGTGACTTCAGATGAGTCCAATCGCAGATCACATACTCCAAGCATCTTCTCCATCTTGGGTTTGTGTTCTGCGAGCTTGCACAACATTTCTGCGTAGCATGGTCGCAAGGTCACGGGCGAGTTGGATTTTCTCTTCAACCAGTTTCACGTCATGCTGCGCGGAGCTGTCCAAATACAATGCTTCTGTCCGCATCCTGTGTCGGAATGCTGAATTGAATTCCTAAGTATGGGAGTTATTGCCACTGAGTGTGTACAAACCTCTTTGTATGGGCTCGTCGCCTACGAATCAGGGTGAGATAGTCCATAAAATAAAATACAAGATGACTAACCATGGAAAGTAGAAGCCGAAGCTCGTAGCAAGTCACGGTACGCTGAGCGCGCACCTGCTCTGAGGGCTGGTGTAACAGACATTGGTTGGACTCTGGAAGCCTACTCGATGCTTTCATTTAAGGCAACCTACCGGGAGATTCCGACGTCGATCAACAACACACATTCCAAAAGGGGACTGAGCAGCAATTAGGGCGTAAGACGCGCTCCTTTTATGGACGCGTCGCGTTCTGGCTCATATGAGGAAAACATGTCTTCTTCCTGCCTGCCCTATAAATCATCCAACCGACCAATAAATGAATAATTGAAGTCCTGTAGGAAGCAGCAGTTGAATGCGCGTGCTCCAGCGCGTACGTAGTGAATATATGTGCAGTCCCTTGAGCATAACTGCCATTTTTAAGGATCAATATGTATTGCACGCTTATGTGCTGAATTTTCTGCTTTTTTCAAAGACTCATCCCTTACCGTACCCAACTTCACTCATCAGATAAAATAGCGACCTAGCGGGACCCTCTATGCAGTGTAAATAGGGTCGATAAACCTATCTCAAATATCGACTCACGTGACTCGCGCGAATTGAGTTTGTTGACTGCTCAACGCGCCCTCGGAGTTTCAACACATCCCTCTCTCAAACCACTACCATCTCCAATCCATTTGTTTCCGCCAGTCACTCTGGTCGCTTCTGAGCATCGCAATCAGCACAGACAGCAAGAACAACACTTACTGCACTTACTGCAATTGCTCGCAATATGTCTGCAAAGAAATCCACTGCAACGAAATCGGCTGCTAAGAAGAGCAGAGCCTCTCCCACCCACCCATCTTGGGTAGATATGATCAAGGTCAGTCAGTCAATATTCCAGCGTTCTCAACTCCTTCCTATACCTCTCGTTCGTCCGATTTCGAGCATCACAGAAAGGGTGAGGCATCCGCACCCAGGGGGTACTATAAAAGGCAGGCCCCAGGGGGAGGATATGCAACCGCGGGTGACATTCGTGTTTCGTCTCCCAACGACTTCAGGGACCTCGTGTCATGCAATTTCACATCGTGCAGCATGCTATAAGGCATAGAACAACTTTTCTAATATGATACATTACTAAATAGGAGTGCATTACTGCCAATCCTGACGACGCTCGCGCTGGCGTTTCCCGTCCCCAGATCAAGAAGTGAGTTTGGATATTCCAACTGGACCGAGGGGTGTTTATAATCTCATAGATTCGTCGAGGAAAAATACAACCTCACCATGGACAACGCTCAACTGAGTCATTTGAGCAAGGCTATCGCCACTGGCGCCGACAAGGGGACTTTTGTTCTCCCTAAGGGTAAGAAAATTATTGCGTAGGTCTCTCACAGTCCCGTGCTGATGACTACTGCATAGGACCTTCTGGTCGGGTGAAATTGCCTCCCAAGGCCTCAAGGACCACTGACACCTCAGCCTCCAAGGAGGTCCGTGCACCTACTGACTTGAACACGTGATGTGGTGATTGACATAGTGAGAATAGAACAAGCCCGCGAAGGCTGCACCCAAGACGGCTAAGACTGCCACTAAGGCACGTCCCGCCAAGACTGCCACTACGAAGGCTACAACCGCAAAGTCCAGTACGGCCAAGAAGCCAGCCGTGAAAGCGAAGGCCGCACCAATTGCCAAGGTCGCCGCCGCTAAGAAACCTGCCTCTCAAACTGCCGCCAAGTCTTCAGCAACGAAATCTGCAGCTTCCACTAAGGCAAAGGCAGTTCCTGCAAAAAAGACGATGGCAGGCAAGAAACCTGCCCCTGTTAAGAAGACGTCCTCAGCATCTAAGCGTGGTACCGCGAAGAAGGTCGGATCGCTGGTATTTTGTGCATTTCGCGAGCCGCTCACTTTCAATATTTCTAGGTTGTGACTGGAACGAGTGCGCCCGCTAAAGCGAAGGTTGCAGCCACCAAGAAGACTACCGCAAAGAAACCCGCAGCGAAAGCAACGGCCTCGACAACAAGCAAGAAGAAGGTATGCAAATAATTTAAATGCGCTGTGATTGTCGTGGCTTGACTTGTTCATCCAGGTCGCCAAGAAATAGGTGACTCCCCAGCTGTCATCGATGATATACTCGTTCTCCTGATCTCACGGTAAACTAAGGTGTAGAACCCAGTCTATGGTTACTCTACCTACTCCATGCACTTTTCCTCGCGCCTTTGATTGCACCTTTCTTATTTCTCGTATTTGATTTGTATTGTAATTTATTGGGTCCTACTACCTGCCACCCGCCTCTCGACTAGCAAATCATCAATTTTCGTGTATACTGGAGCCTGTTGTCACGACCATATCTTGATTCAAATCTATTGTGACGTTCCACAGCAAGCTAATATTCGACAAATGAGGGTCGTGGCATAGATCTAGGGGTGCGACGTGGAAGAGAGCATTCTCATTTGATCCGGTAAAGTGCATGGACCCACCTCGCATATGCCAGTAAAGACTCCGATTGTTACCAAATTGGTTGTTTCACGGTGGCACCTGCAACTGCAGCCACGGCGCGACTTCGAGGAGGGACATGTCCAGACAGCCAAGTAGCATACAATCGCCGTATTCTTACTCACACCAGCATCAGTTATCTCGCTCAGCTTATCCTACATTTCTCTCTTTACAAGAAACGATCAAGCTGCAATTGACATGGGCATCCAGGGGTATCCTTGAAGCCTTTCGGTGGGACGTCGTTGTGAAGACTGCTACAAGGTACCTTCCATCCACTCACTGTCTCTGTATTTTGCCATCCTATACACAATTCCTTGGAAACCTTACAGCGACCGTGAAATTCGCTCAAATATTCTCAAGTCATTACTACTCAATTCGTTGTCCTTGACCTCCATCTACGCGTTCGACTTACTTCTACAACCTCTCGTGCATAACCACCCAAGCTGGCTTCACCGCAATGTCGGATGGTTCTATCGCATCCTTTGGCAGTTCCCGGTCGTTGGAGTATCTTACTATCTTAATGTAAGTCTATAACCTGATCTTAAGCACTTACTTCAGCCAGAAATGAACCACAATAATTTGACCAACTTCTTCCATTCAGAGTTCCTGGTGCAATCTTATCGCAAAACGTTCCTTTGTCCTTCAGCACGGAAACCGTGCAGCACATCAGCAGCCAGTCACTTATCACGGTATGCTGACCATGCTCGCGACGTCTGCATACCGTGCTGTCATGATTCTTACTTCTGTCATCGTGTCGTTGGCATTGGAATCAATACCATTTGCCGGATCGTGGATCAGCTTTGCGTTTATGTGCTGGGTTAATGCGTCAGTGTATCAGCTGCTGGTTGATAAGAGGCACTTCTAACTTTCCTTCAGATATTATTGCTTCGAGTAAGTTACCATGGCCCAGGGATGGCCACTCTCACTGAAATACGAATACCATCAGGTTTGTCTGGGTGGCGCGTAATTCATCCTTGGCCCAAAGAGTGCGTCACCTAGAAGAACGATGGGCATACTACCTCGCATTTGGTTTTCCATCCGCTGTGATCTGCACGTGCGGAAGTGGACTGGCGAATGCCGCATTTTTCGCACTCATGTTCCCCGCTGTATGTCTCATTCGTTCCTTCCTATAGTTCTGCTGCTGATTTTTACCGATGTCCAGTTCATCATCATGGCCATGCATGCACGGCCCGTTCCACAGGATCCTTACAATCCTGCACCCTCCACGGAGTCTACGAACACCGTACGGTTTCCCTCGCCACTCGTTCCGATTAGGATGCCAGTCTTTACAATCGTCATTTGGCTGAATAATCTCATCGTCAGAGTGCTAAGTGTCGGTGGCAGCGCTGGTGTTCGACACCGGAGAACGACAAGCGACACTACCGAACGAGCAGAAGAAGGGACAGGTGTTGAATTAAAGAACATCGGTCGTACAGCGAGAGGGCCTTCACTCGTTGTTCAAGCGAGGAGTCTTGGAGACAGACTACCGAGTAATGGAAAGGCACCTATTGCTGGAAGGCGCAAGAAGGACTGACGGATCCTTATGGCATCATGGTCATGATCTTACAGGCAACTTCAACTCATGCCATTAGTTAACATCGTACACAACTTTCACGATCCTATGTTTCTATAGAATCTATACCCATTTCATAATGATAATGAAACCAGCGGACATTAGCTGGGGTGAAAGTAATGCGGTTTTGAAGTTTTGACATGAGGCACAGTCGCTTCTATATGCTATTCAGGTTTCATCCAAATCCTGCCCATTCGACAGATAAATATGATACAACTCGTGTTTCATCATTCCATTCACACAGCAAATGCGCCTTCTTTGTCCCGGTGCCCAGACGGCCATGCGCGACAATTTCCATTGGGCGGAGAGCGGCATTAGGAGCCTCGATGACCGATGCGACGAAGTGCGAATGATAACGGAGGGGGTCGCCTGATAAGACGAATAGCGCAGGTCAGCACATATTTCAAATATACTGCTGATTAACGAAGATAAACACGCTTTCGAGGACAGGCGTGGGTGGCGGAGCGGGAAGATATCTTCAAATAGAAAGGAGAACATACCAGGATAGACTAGGTACTCGCCACCAAATTTGATCCCCCCTCCCATGTAATATCCTTTCTCCCACAAGTCGCGAAAGACGCCGCAGCGTGCGCGCTCTTGTAGGGTCGAGGGATAGAGCCATATACCAGCTTCGCGTGCGACAGTTAAGGACGCGTTGGAGTGCGGCACGTACCATTCCAACTTGGATGAGGACGCAGGAATGTTGACGGTGTAAGATCCAGAGGGCATTACAATAGCGCTGTCTGGGCCTTCTCCGATGACAGCCTGTGAGGGATTTTCAGATGTGGGATGAGGAAATGGGTTATTTTCTGCAGGAACGCTGGGAGTGGCATTGGCCTTCGCACGTGTGCGACGCTCTTCTCGTTCTTTGCGCTTGCGCTTTGCATTTTCAGACATGGCACGGTCAGGGTTAGAAGCTTCGATGGACCCTTTCTCTTCAGTTAGAGCTATTTGTTGCCTTGCATCGTTGAGGCGTGCTTCTTTCCATAGTTTCAGGGCTGATTCAGACGGGGTGCGATGGGCGCTGGGGTCGTCTACTAACGCGGCAATTCCTAGACACATGATCGCCGCTGGTGAATGGGGTGCATAAATTTAAAGACGACTGACCATTTTCGACGAGAAGGACAGCCTCCTCCGGCATCAGCTGAAGAGGTAATCCCAAGAATATATTCTGCGAGGACAGGTGCGGAAGAGTCCCAGTGAGGATGCCACATATATGATGATGTGATCGTAGGATGTTGATATCTGCTCCAAGATTAGAAGCGTCAACATCAGATTACGATAGTGACCTACCGTCAACATCCCACACGTAGGCTTTGAAATTTGAGACTCGAAGCAATATAGGTTGGGTCATACCTGCGATTCCGGCTAGTTGCACTACCCGGGGTGATTTGAGAATTGAAGGACAAGATTCAATCCATAAAGCTGCTTTCATAAGTCACAACGTAACCCCGACCACATGACACCCAACGCGGAATGCGCCCGGGGTCGTAGCATAAGTCAAAGATGTATTTAGTCATGATCTGTTTCTACAGCCTGATACCCCTTCGTTTCAAACTATCGAATAGAACAATCGGTCGAAAGGTGAGGATAGATCTAGATAGATATGGCCGCCAATGTCCAAGATGTCGTCATGCTCGTTGGTGATTCCCTCACTCAGCAAGGATGGGAGAAAGGAGGTTTCGCGCAGTTACTTGCAGGTACGCATCATGATATCACAAACATTTTGTACGAACTATAATCTGAGGCTGCGACGTATAGAGGCATACGTTCGGAAGCTCGATGTTATCAATCGTGGCTTCGGAGGTTATCAAACGGACTGGGCAATTCCAGTTTGCGAGCAGGTGAAATACAACGTTGCTATTTTATAAACTGTGCTGAACGTATTCGTATCGTAGATCTTTGCCAAACAGGATGAGCAACATCACGTTCCGCAGGTCAAGCTACTCACGATTTGGTATGGCGCCAACGACGCTGCACCTGCTCCCAGCCCACAGCACGTCCCGATAGACAGATACAAAACAAATTTAAGCCATATCATTCAAATGGTGAAATCGCCGACTTCAGCATACTATTCCCCTGAGACTCGTATAATTTTGATTACCCCGCCGCCGGTAAATACGAAGCAATGGGACATACCTGATAGTCCACGCGTATTCGAGACTACGAGGGCATACGCGGGGGCTGTCAAGGAAGTGGGTGAGAAAGAGAATGTGCCCGTCGCCGATGTTTGGACAAAGATATTCGATGCCGCTGGTCGAAGTGAAGAGGCATGCGAAAAATATCTGAACGATGGGCTACATCTAACCAGTGATGGTTACAACGTATGCGCAAACTTGAATTCTAACCCGTCAGGCTTGCTAACTTTCAAGATTAAAGATCGTCTTCCAGGCCATCATGGACATTGTAGAGCGCGTGTATCCCGAATTAGACCCTACTTGGGAAGCACATGGGAGGATGCAAACTGTGTTTGTACCGTGCGTCCTCATTCAAATTATTTTTGCTGCAGGACACTGATGCATTTTATGTGCAGCTGGGACCAAGTGGACGTACAGAATCCAAGACCATCTCTGATGAAACGGAAAGCGTAACTTTAGTCTTGAATATTGAATGACTAGACGTGAACGTATGGTTAACTTCTCTCAGAGTTGTGATATATTAGATCATATTCGTGCATGTAACAAGTATATGAGAGGGAGGACTGGGAGCTGTGTGGGTGACCTGACAACTTGGATGTTCAACGTTGCAACATCGACTCTGTATTCCTTTTTCTCGTTGTCATCACGGACTCTATAGCAAGTATCCCCGACTCCCACGGAGATAAGGGTTTTGCCATACAGCTTCGTCGTACATTAAATAAACAAGCATGTTAAATTCTAAGTCACTGCAAAAGCAAAGTCGAAATCCTCTCATCAAACTCAAGCACGGCTGCATTATCGCGAAAACTGCCGTCGTCAGCTTTGTCGCGAATGGCCTCAGATTCTGTCTTCGCAATTGAAGCGATGCTCAAGGACGAGACTTCTTCGAAAAAACTGGTTATGTTCACCCGCTGAAAGTGTTTTGTGTTCTGAATCTTCTGATCGTCCAGTTACATCTCTGGATGATTTCGACTCGTTTCTTTTGCGCAGACCTGACATACAAGCTTGACTCGGATGATCGGAATATGTCAAGACTGCCCTTCCTCAGCGCTCAGCTTGCATTTGCAGATTCGAATGGTTCGCTTTGTGATTTGATGCTCAATCTACCCGGAGTAAGAGGATCGATGGCGAGATCCAGTTGCTCCGAGTCTTATACAGTGTCTGTTACAAAAAGCTTGAGAGGGGGAAACGACTGGCTCTCAGCCTCGCGAACCGCACTTCTTTAGGAGACATGCCTGATGAAACGGTTTATCTGTACGGTACTTGTATAACACCAATCGATTCACATTATGAGTCTTTATGATTCGAAAAAGCGACCGTAGCGGGCTCTGCCGCGAGCGGCCTTTCGCGTTATTTTCCTGATGCAAGGCGGAATGCCGTACGGCGTACAAAGATCAGCGTTTATATGATCGTTATGATCTGTTTTCTCCAGCCTGATATCCCTTCAATTCAAACTACCAATTAGAGCAATCGAGTGAGCAACACAGGTAAGTGTCTACTGTCTTCGAATATCTATCGAACACTGATCAGTTGGTGGAAAGTCGAGGATAGATTTAGATAGGTATGGTCGCCAATGTACAAGATGTCGTCATGCTCGTCGGTGACTCCCTCACTCAACGTGGATGGGGGCAAGGATGCTTCGCGCAGTTACTTGCAGGTACGCATCATGATATCACAAACATTTTGTACGAACTATAATCTGAGGCTGCGACCTATAGAAGCCTACGTTCGGAAGCTCGATGTTATCAATCGTGGCCTCGGGGGTTATCAAACGGACTGGGCAATTCCAGTTTGCGAGCAGGTGAAATACAACGTTGCTATTTTATAAACTGTGCTGAACGTATTCGTATCGTAGATCTTTGCCAAACAGGATGAGCAACATCACGTTCCGCAGGTCAAGCTACTCACGATCTGGTACGGCGCCAACGACGCTGCACCTGCTCCCAGCCCACAGCACGTCCCGATAGACAGATACAAAACAAATTTAAGCCATATCATTCAAATGGTGAAATCACCGACTTCAGCATACTATTCCCCTGAGACTCGTATAATCTTGATTACCCCGCCGCCGGTAAATACGAAGCAATGGGACAGGCCTGACAGTCCACGTGTATTCGAGACTACGAGGGCATACGCGGGGGCTGTCAAGGAAGTGGGCGAGAAAGAGAATGTGCCCGTCGCCGATATCTGGACAAAGATATTCGATGCCGCTGGTCGAAGTGAAGAGGCATGCGAAAAATACCTGAACGACGGGCTACATCTAACCAGTGATGGTTACAACGTATGCGCAAACTTGAATTCTAACCCGTCAGGCTTGCTAACTTTCAAGATTAAAGATCGTCTTCCAGGCCATCATGGACATTGTAGAGCGCGTGTATCCCGAATTAGACCCTACTTGGGAAGCACATGGGAGGATGCAAACTGTGTTTGTACCGTGCGTCCTCATTTAATTTATTTTTGCCGCAGGACACTAATGCATTTATGTGCAGCTGGGACCAAGTGGACGTACAGAATCCAAGACCATCTCTGATGAAACGGAAAGCGCAACTTGAGTCCTGAATATCGAATGGTCATGAACGTGACCGTATGGTTAACTTCTCTTAGATTGTGACATATTAGATGGTGTTCATGCATGTAGCGAGATGAGAGGGGGACTGGGGACTGTGTGTGACCTGACAAGGATGTTGCTGACTTTCATATCGGCCACGCAATCCTGACCACATGATTAGTTTGCGAGATGCTGCTTCGAATTCATAGATTACTGTTGAGAGGGATTAGCAACTGCTCCTACATACGTACCCACATACCTATGCAAAATTCTCGTTTCAAATAATAGTGATCTGCCATCGAACAGCACAACTGAGTTCGAACTTCTGTCATTGAAATCCTATCCTGATCGATCGGTCATAGAACAAGGAAATATATGGCCGCCAATCTACAAGATGTTATTATGCTCATCAGTGACTCCCTCACTCAACTTGGATGGGAACAAGGAAGCTTCGGCTGTTACTTGCGGGTGTGTAGACAACATACATTTTGGGAACTAGAATCTGAGACCACGCCATCTAGAGAGATGCGCTCGGAAAACTGATGTCATCAACCGCGGCCTTGCAGGTTATCAAATGGATTGGGCAATTCCGGTATGCGAGCAAGTCAAAGACATGCCTTTGTTGGGGACGAAGATAGATGCTCAATAGATTTGTAACAGATCTTTGCCAAGCAGCATGAGCAGCATCAAATCCCAAAGGTCAAGCTACTCACAATTTGATATAGCGCCAACGACGCTACGCCAGCTCCCAATACACGACACCGTCCCGAGAGACAGATACAAAGCAAACTTGAGCCATCTTGTTCAGATGGTAAAATTGCCGACATCAGCTTACTACTCCCCTGAGACCCGTATAATCTTGATTACCCCGTCACCAATGAATACGAAGCAACGAGGTAAGCCTAAGTCAACGTGCTTGAGACTACGAGTTCATACGCGGAGGTTGTCAGGAAGTAGGTGAGAGAGTGGCAATGTGCCCGTCGGACATCTGGACGCAGATGTTTGATGGCGTCGGTCGAAGCGGGGAGTGATGCAAAAGATATTTGATTGATGGGCTGCATCTTAACAGCAATGGTTGCAACGTACACACAACCTTGCCATGAATTCTGAGGGTCTGTCAAGTTTGCTCACTTTCGCCAAAGATTGTCTTCAAGGCTATCGTCGACATTATAGAGTGGGTGTATCCTGAATTGAATCATTCTACTGAATCATCATACATATAGTGTGAAGATGCAAAATGTGTTCATACCGTGCGTCCTCGGACGCTAACACTCATCGCTGATGCGTTTGTGTGCAGTTGGGACCAAGTACTAGTACGTTTACAGAATCCAAGACCGTCTCTAATATTAGTGAAACAGAAGGCAGGGAGGTGAACGTTCTATGACTTGTATGCATTATTATGTATAAATTATAATTTCGTAACTTTTCACTTGCAGAACCTGGCCTGATCAAGAAACAAAAGACAAAATGCACGTGACGAATATCAACTTACGCCAAAGAGAGGGCAAACAATAGTAGTTCTTTTTGCCCAGTCTTCTGCATCAGCACATACCACTGGGGCGAAATAGTGCGTAGCACCGAATCAGCTACGGAGGCAGGACACCTCATACCCCCAGCACGCGATATTCTTGCTTCTTGCCTAGTTATAACGCTTAATTGAGCGTGTCGCTGACCGTTTTAGGACAGGATCCAAATTTGTTGGACCTACAGTTGTCCGCATCAAAATTTACGTTTTCTGTTCTGTTCAAGTCCGTTGCACTGTGAGCAATACTCTGGCTGAAGCCAAGCTGTTGGTTAAGTCATTTAGCAACGATAACTCATTCTTATTCTGTACGCACTACCTAGGCGCGGCCTCCTCCGTTAATACTATCATTAGGTTCAAGGTGAGCTATACTTCATCTTTGGATGACCAACGCGCCGGCATGAACAAACCACGAGGAAATTCATTTACGCGAAACTCCCAGTGGTTCAGCTTACATGGCCGAGTGGACGTTGCTCATTTTCTGTTGATGTTTTTCTTTGTTCAGCTCTTTTCGTACTCTAAGTCACATTAGATCGCTGACTTTGTCGTTGACAGCCACTACTTTCGGTAAATCCGCTGGCCACAATCCGTTTCTTTGGGCCACATCTTCGTGCGGTACGTGTTTCTTCTCATAATAAAACGTTTGTGGACCGTGGACGTTGTCCATTGATTATTTCCTCTCTCCTTGGACACTCCCTTCCCTCGTAACATCTTGTGCTCGACCTCTCCAACCACTATCTGGCACTCAAACACTGTTTATTGGCTCGATTATTTGACTTGTTCTTGTTTCACATTAACCTCACACGAACCATGTCTGATTCATTCTTGAAACGACTCACAGATTATCATTCGAACAAGCTTCCAAAAAGAGCTCAATTGCAATCTTCTACTACGGTTTCTCGCGACATGACCTTCTTCTCCACCCTTTCTTCGGCTTCGGCTTCGATGCAATACCTACACGCACCACCTGCTCCCTCTCGCAAGCGCAGCCAGATGCTCAATCCTAAACATGATGATATTGATGATTTCTTGTCTTCTGACCTTGAGCTGTCGTTTGCTTCTACCATGTCTCTCAACTCGCCTCCACGTGACACAATGACGCTTGCGCAAGATCACGATGTCCCAATGGATATCTCGCCTGCGTACCGCCCCGTTCAGAAGGAGAACGAGAAGACGAACAAGCCTACCACGCGCCCCCGTGCATCCACCAGTGCCGCTCGCATTTTTGGTCAGGACATGAGCAACAGCAATTTCTCCAACGACTCCGTCAGCACAAAAACTGGTTCCCAAGCGAACTCCAAACGAACCCAGCGCAGTGCGCTTCCTGTAGGGTGGATGGCCGCCGCTAAGCCTTTGAGAACCTCTCAGACAATGGACGGAAACATGTTTGCTTCGGTGAGTGATCCTTTCAGTTTAGACCAGCAGGCTTGTTGCTTATATGACTGTACGGGCAGCCGCCAGATGTATCTATTTCTTTAGCGGCTGATGATGCCATGGATGTGGATCCTGCCCCCGATGTTTCTGCGCAGGACCTCCTGCCTTCTCCGCCGCTTTCTGCAGCACCCGCTGTGACTGAGTTTAACAATCTGTTTTATGGGGCTATGACCCAATCTTACTTAGACACCCCTGGAGGGCCGCAGCCAAAAAAGCGTCGTTCTTTATCTCCGGAGACTATTTCGCGGGTTGATCATGAAGCTTCGTCATCGCCTGCTCCTTCGTCGCCTTCGCAGCACAAGTTGGATCGCATGGCTACCTTCGCCAAACCTGTACTCCAGGGCCTTGGAGTCCCCCCTAACGCAGGCAAACGAGCCCGGCGCATTGTCTTCTCAGCCTTGGTACAACCCGGTGTTCCTTCGCTACAATCGGCATACCCCACGCTTGACTCAGATGCTTCGCCAGAGAAGCAGTCAGCACTCGAATTACCACCTTCACGACGCGCCTTTTCTATGGTGCCATCCACTGTCCTCGAACACTTCTCTGATGAGGGTTCTTCTTTCGACGACCCTGACATGTCCTCTCCCGCCCAGGCATACGCCAAGCGACAGCAGGTCAAAGCCATCCGCAGACGTGACGGAACGGAGGATTTCAGACCTCTGACCGGCGCGACTGCTATGGTCCAGCGTGATATGTTTGAGAGTCCCTCAGCAAAATTCATGGCTGCAGGATTGCCAGGATTTGGGGATAACGAGACATTGGGCAAAATCTTACCATGTCACCGCGTGCGCGAGGATGGCTTGATGAGGGTCGTACCGAAAACTGTGAGTGCCTTTATCTGTGACCTTGGCGATAACGCTTAACATTTCGTTTCCATTTAGTTGGATAACCTTCTTGACGGTGTCTATAATTCCCGCATCGCGAGTTTCCACGTTATCGACTGCCGTTTTGACTATGAGTACAATGGTGGACATATTCCCGGCGCCGTCAACATCAACACCACTTCTGGCGTGGAAGAATTCTTACTTGGCGTGCAGAAGCCTAAACCATCTGTTAGTGGCGACTCTCAGAAAAAGACTATCCTGGTTTTCCACTGTGAATTCAGTGCAAAGAGAGCTCCAACATTGTAAGTCGAAAATACCTCACCATTTTCCCTCCTGACACTAATTTTGCAATGCCCTTTAGTGCTAAACACCTCCGTGCCAAAGACCGTGCGATGAATAACCACGTATATCCAAAGATTCACTATCCGGAGGTTTACATCTTAGAAGGCGGGTACTGTGAATATTACAAACAGTGTGCTTCTCGCTGTCGTCCTCGGGGCTACGTCACGATGGACGACCCCAACTTTGCACTTTCCCGCAAAGAGGACTTGGACCAGTTCCGCAAGGGCAAATTTGGACGCACCAAGTCATACGCTTACGGCGACCTAGCTTCGAAGGTCACTAGCATGACCCAACATCCACCCAAGAGGAATACAGCGCCTGCTGGTGCTCCTCAGCTATTTGCTGCCGCAAACGCCGCTCGTACACGCCGTCATGGTCTCTCGACTGTGACTGAGATCGGTAATATCACCCAGACAGACGACGAGGAGACCGACATCGGTGACAGCCCCTGCCCCCCTCCCAATAAAGGTACCATGCTGTTATCAAAGGCGAAAAGATTGGGTCGCGTCGGTATGACCCGTTCTGAAACTTTTGACGCGACTCGCATGGCTGCGCATTAATTTTAACCCGACTTCTCCGCCACTGCTCTATTTTCTGCACGTTCAAAGTACCGTTCAAATTTCGCGATCAGCTTGATCTCTCCCTAATCAAGATCAATCTTTCTCTACCCCCACGCCTGTCGAACGCCTGGACCCCATTGCGCTTCCCCATTTCATTCAAATATTCTCTCCAACAATCTCACAAACAACCATTTGTCACGTCATGTTACCGCACGCTGATCTCCACGCTCGTTATGCTCTATGCTGCTCAGGCCTGTGAGGTATATTCCCGAACTCACGGTGAAGCCTTCCGCGATACGTCCCGCCAAGCATCTTTTTCATCGTCATACAAAGTCCCTCTACCAACCATCTGGTGCATTGGACACTCCATTTGTTTGAATATTGCATCAGTCATGTCCTATCTTCCGGTCGTGGCTGCTCGACTCTCCTACAACTGTTTCTATGTGCCATAGACAATTTTCGCTGCATCTCTTATATATGTCCAACATCTCTTTCTTCTCAGTTTGATTCTTTATTTGCCTCGCATCTAAGACTATCGATAGCTATTTATGTCCTTTGTGGTCTCGTCCGTTTCCTTTCGCCTTCTCAGTATTTATCCGCTAGGATCCATCCCTTGGCATCTTTCAATCATCAAATGTTAAACATTTATTCACCCTTACATCCCAGCTACCGAGTACAACGTGAGCTTCGATCATGTTCCTACTGGACATGATTATCGGTTGACAGTTGGCTTGTGATAGCATGCGGATATCCGTTTCACTTTTTGTTCAAAATCTTCCATTCATATTCGTTGACAATATTTTTCGTTATGGACATGTTGTTGCATCGCTTCGCACCAGTGGAGGAAGCTATTACAGAAATTATTATGCCTGGTGTAACACGAGCCAACGTGCTTGGCTGATCGCCGGTAATGTGTGACTGAGGTTCTCTGTCCAACACGCACCAACGTCGGGGCAGCTATTTCCCAGCGAAATCATAATTATTCATGTCGCCAGAAGCACATCTGACTCGGACATGCTGATGAATGTTGGAGCTGCAGGGGGGCTCGCCCGCTATACCTTTCAAACGGTAAACGTCGGTCAAGTTAACACCCGCGGTGATATTTAAGATGCGCTTGCACAAAACACAGAGCTTTTCGCCGCAAGCTTTACTCAGCTTCCACTTGAAGCGCAGTTCGAACGACGTGAACCATAGGAGGCAATATTGCGTAAGCAGACTGCAGCGGCACAAATGTCACCAACTGTCCTTGAATTGGAAGATCATCTAGACGCAAGATGTTCCAACGCGATCCTCGAGCTGGCGCGTTTCTTGGTGGTGACCGTGTGTCAGGGCAAGATATACGGGATCAGAATGGTACGTGGTTTGTTGGCCATTAGTCTTCAGCTCAAATGGTGCGTCGGATCAGTGACCGCGGCCTTGGCCATCGCAAACATCGTCAAAAGCTCTTTGGGTCCACTCGGGCTCGATAAAATGCTCGTTGACAACATCGGAGTGGGCATTTTTTGCTTCAGGTTCAAGCATTTCTTTCTTACTTTCATTAGGAAGTGACCATCTCGAATGATGGTGCAACTATTCTGTCTCTTCTGTCTGTGGAACATCCAGCTGGAAAGATTTTCGTCGATCTCGCACAAAAGCAGGACAAGGAGGTCGGAGATGGTACAACCTCTGTGGTCATCATTGCATCTGAGCTTCTTCGACGCGCGAACGAGCTCGTAAAAGCGAAAATACATCCGACCACGATCATCACAGGCTACAGACTTGCTTGCAGAGAGGCTGTCAAGTTCATGCAGGATCAACTCAGCATCAAAGTCGATTCTCTCGGTCGTGATGCACTTGTAAATGCTGCCAAGACTAGCATGTCTAGCAAGATCATTGGAAAGTAAGTTGTTTGGAAACTTTTGGCAATGCCTCCCCCTCAAATCCCTTTGAAGTGACGATGATCTATTTGCCCCTATGGCTGTGGACGCCATGCTTGCTGTCAAGACTATTAACTTACGCGGTGACATCAAATATCCAGTCAAGGCTGTTAACGTGCTCAAGGCTCACGGCAAAAGTGCTAGAGAATCCCTGTACGTCCAAGGTTATGCACTGAACTGCACGGTTGCTAGTCAAGGTCCACATACATTTTTTCTTGCGTGAATTATTCACTGAACTAGGATATCTAGCAATGAAAAAAACGCGTAACCAATGCAAAAATTGCTTGTTTGGACATCAATCTCCAGAAAGCCCGCATGCAGCTGGGTGTGCAGATCCTAGTCGAAGATCCAAATCAACTAGAGGAGATCAGGAAGCGGTTGGTTTCAAAGTAATTGTTCATTTGGTCCTTTTTGAATGCGCTTTTGCAGTGAAGCAGAAATCACGCTAGAACGAATTCGCAAAATTTTGGCATCAGGAGCCAACGTTGTTTTGACCACAAAGGGCATTGACGACTTGTGTCTAAAAGAGTTTGTTGAAGCTGGCGCGATGGCAGTTAGAAGGTGCAGAAAGGAGGACCTCCGACGCATCGCAAAGGCAACAGGTGGTACGCTCATCTCAAGTCTCGCGAACTTGGAAGGTGAGGAGACATATGAGGCCAGCTACCTCGGTTCAGCGGACGAAGTTGTCCAGGAGCGCATCTCTGATGACGAATTGATCCTCATCAAGGGCACCAAGGTGGTCAACTCTGCATCTATTGTTCTGCGTGGAGCGAATGACTACATGCTAGATGAGATGGAGAGAGCGTTGCATGACACACTTTCCATCATTAAGCGTACTTTAGAGAGCGGAGCTGTTGTTCCTGGAGGTGGTGCGGTTGAATCTGCCCTCAGCATTTACTTGGAAAACTTTGCGACAACCTTAGTGAGTCTCATATTTATCGGCATTCCCCTCGTCGATTTTATGATTACACATTAGGGATCGCGAGAACAGCTGGCGATCGCCGAATTCGCTGCAGCTCTGCTTTCAATTCCAAAGCAGCTTGCCGTCAACGCTGCAAAGGATTCCACTGATCTTGTCGCCAAACTGCGTGCTTACCATCACGCCGCGCAGAACGCGCCTGCGGGTGATCCGAAAAAAGTGCTACTTCGGTATGGCCTAGACCTTATGAACGGAGATGTCCGTGACAATGTTGTGGCTGGTGTGCTGGAACCAACGATGAGTAAAGTCCGGAGTTTGAAGTCGGCGTATGAGGCTGCCATTTCGCTTTTGCGGATTGATGACGCTATTCAGTGCGTACCGGGTAAGTGATTGCCACCCCACCCGGAAGTCTGTCTCACTGATCCTAACAGAGCCAAAGCCGGAAGCAGACTCACATGGCCATTAAATAAAGACAGCCTTGCGTTGACAGTCTTACGTGTAATTCATACGCCTATAATGCTTACTTACATTGAAAAGTATGCAATTGTCTTTGGGAATGATCGGAAATGCATGTAATAAACATCTACGCGATTGTCACGTGATTCTTCCACGCGCGGTTTGTTTGTGGGGTCTCGCGTTGCACTGCTTAACCTTCTCCTCACCGCGCTGCATTTGCAAAGCCATCTTAAATTTCAAGTACTGTCTTCTTGGACAGAACGCTAGCCTGCGGGGGACTGGATTTAATCATATTTCTCCCTGACTTATATTCTCATGCTTTAGGCTTGTGCTAATGCCACTGGAAGATTCGAAAGCCGTTACCAGGCTTGCATTTCTCCCACAGATCAGACAGCGTTTCCAGACCCTCATATGGACTTGTCTCGATTTCGACCTCGTCAGATCTGCAGCTTTCTATGCGGAACTTTACCTTGTCATGGACGAGAACAACCACGATGCGCGTCATCTTCATGCCACAGCACTTCTTCGATCCGGTCAGCCACATTCAGGGCTACAATTAGTCGCTGGTGTTCAACAGTCGAGATGCAGTGGATGTTTAGAGATCAAGGGAAAGTGTTGTGCTGCTCTCGGTCGGCATAGGCTAGCACACGAAGCTTTTGACGCTAGTTTACAGGATCCCACCTATACCCCGACGGGTGCGCATTCCATTCCATATTGCCGTACACTCATTGACCTTCTCTGCAGCTTCCATGGGCCCTCGAACCTCGTGCGCATTTCCGGAGGAAGCTGCAACGCGATGTCGATCTGGAACGATGGCAATGAAAGGCAATCTTCCTGAGCAGGCTACTCGTAGTTTCCGACAAGCTCTCGCACTCAACCCCATGTTGTGGGAAGCATTTGAGGGCTTGTGCTCCCTTGGTGACCATCTTGAGCTTATTGTCCCATCCTGCAACTAACTTAGTTGACTTCCATGCTTAGGTACGGCTCCTGATGTAGACGAGATCTTTCCAATGCGTCCCGCCCCAGTGAAACAGGGTCCACCAGAAGAGCCCCCACCACCCAAGGTCCTTTCTGGCCCGACTGCTACTGGAGTTGGATTTTTCACGCCTGACATCACCACCAATACCACTCTATTTCGTGGCCGCAAGAACTTCCCTCAAGCTTTCCGAATGGATCCTCCACTAGATCCACACGACTCCATGTAAAGCGGCTACGACCCTCTCATGATGCAATGTGTCTGACATGATCTTCTTCATCATTTTTAGCGCTACTAACGAACCGTTTTTTCATACGGAGAACTCATTTCTTCACCCTCCACCCCGTAATTCTAAATTCGAGCCAGCAGGGCCTGGCCCGTCTCAGCCCGCCGCTCGACCACTATCTTCGGCGGATGAGACTGGTCCCGTGCAGAAGAGACTTCGATCTACGATTCGACACAAGAGCACGGAGACTGTCGCATCCAAGCCATCCAAGCTGACTATGGACGAAACCTCGAAAAAGGCACGCGCACGCCCGGCCCTAAAATTTGCTAATATCTTCTCATCACCGGGTCGTCGTTCTCAGCCCGTCATATCATCCAGGCCAGTTGCTGGTGGAGGAATTACCAAGAACGAGAGAGGGAATGCTGCTGTTGCGCCGCGGCGAAGCACGCGGCTCTTAAGCGGCACAACTAGCAAGCCTCTCAAGGTTAGTGGGTGAATTTCAAACCTGTTTACCTGATTGTATTTTGGTCTAATATCAATCACTGACTTATTTCTTGAAGCATCCACCTCCACGAGATCGTCGCCGACAGTTGACTACCTCGCGATCGCGATCAATAGACTCGGATGGTGAGGATGATGCCAATCTGCACGGAGAGGTTGCGTCCTCGACCTCGCCAACTTCGAATGCTCAGTCACCTCCCTCTGAGACATCTCCTGCGCCAAGCAATTGGACTGCGGCGCATGAACTTGCTGCTCAAGAGGCGTACGATTCAGAGATGGCAGACCAATACATCTATGATCTACTCCGGCGATTTGCACGTGCTACTCGAGCTTTATCCAAATATGATTGTTATTCCTGTCTTATGGAACTCGACCAGATACCACTTGCACACCAGCAATCATCGTGGGTATTGGCGATGGTGGGCCGAGCCCATTATGAACGACTCGAGTACGCGTCAGTACGTAATTATCATTGGCATCACCACATACTCCTTTCCGTTTACGTTATTTTTATTGTAGGCAGAACGAGCGTTCAGGGCAGCTCGAGCTCTGGAGCCTTATCGGTTGGGCGATATGGAGGTTTATTCAACTCTTCTATGGCACCTTCAGCAGAACGTGCAGCTTTCATATCTCGCGCAAGAACTTATGAACATAAACCCACGTTCTCCGCAGGCGTGGATCGCAGTTGGCAATCTATTTTCCTTACAGAAAGAACGGTCCCAGGCACTTACGTGTTTTCGACGAGCTGCTGAAATGGATCCGACCTGTGCTTACGCGTACACCCTTAGCGGACATGAGTCTATTGATGAAGACCTGGATAAAGCTATCGGGTTCTTTCAGACTGCCCTCCGCGCAGATCCGCGACACTACAATGCTTGGTTAGGTTCATGTGACAAATTAAGTGGCTTCTCATACTGATTGACTTCGCCGCAGGTATGGTCTCGGCACCTGCTATTTGCGGATGAGCAAAATACGCCTTGCTGAGTATCACTATCGCAAGGCGGTTGAAATTCATCCAAATAACGCAGTTTTACTAGGTTGTGTGGGCATGGTGTGTCGCTTGTGTGATATGACTTTCCTGACTCTAATTCACCCTTGCTGTGACTATCGGCTTCTCAGGCTGTCGAACGTCGGGGAGACAAGGTGGCTGCGCACTCATTATTTGATCAGGCAGTTCGCGTAGCACCAGACAATGCGCTCGTTCGTTATCGTCGAGCAAAAATCCTTATCTCCATGAAAAGATACGCTGTAAGTGAACACCTGGTTACCGAGCCATGATCGGGATGTTGACCTCCATTTTTTTTTACATAACTTTTCTCCCACACACGCAGGAAGCGCTGGAAGATCTACTTCAGCTTCGTGACTCATCTCCCGAGGAGTCAAATGTAGTGTTTCAGATTGCGAAAGTGTATCGATTGACGGGCGATGAGGTAAAATCGGCGCACTGGCTCGCCATAGCACGCGATACATCCCCAAAGAGCGTCAACAAACTGAAGAAACTTATTGACACCGTTAAGGACGAAGAAGGCAGAGATGACCAGATGGATGAAGGTTGAGGGGACCGTATCTGTCGGAACGGCATTCATGTCGTATAGATAGCGAGTCGGTGCATATAACTTTTTTTTTATCATTTGCATGGTGGCGTTATCGCAAAGGTTGTTTGGACATGTTTGTTGTATCGCCGGCGGTCAGCCGGGTAAATGCTTCTTTCCGAAGTGTATCATTTTGAGTCATTGTCACGATTTCTCTATTTGAAAATTCCTATATAAGACCGTCTTCGCCCCCTGCCGTCCCCACTTCTTCCTCCCCGTCCATCATCATGTCTGCATAACAAGCTCTTCGTCTTTAAACAGAGTTCACCCTGATTCATCATTGCCGCGTCCCTTTAAAGAGCGTAGGCCCACCATTCTACTGAAGTATGGTTAACAAACTTGCCCGTAAATCCAACAACGGCACCATTTTGTTCGAACCCTTCATTGTCTATCGTATACACCGGTCAAACCAGTTTCAACCCTGGTAGAACAATTTTCGACTCGGGTATGTCATGATATATAAGTTATGCCAGCAAGGAATCATATGCTGACATTCTGTCTTGGACGCGTCAGACGCCACTCCATCATACGTCTTGGAATTCACCACCTCTCACATGTCAGCAGAACCCGTAGACCTTTCCACCATGGCCCGCTCCAAGTTACATTCAGCTATGGGAGGCAGCCTCCACCGCTGGGTACTTCTCAAAAATTCCATATTTCGGCCACCTCGTGCCCCCTATGAGCCCAGTGTGGCGACCAGTTCTTCCTATTCGAAACATATTTATATTTCAAGCGATGATAGGGACAACGAAGACGATGATGAAGAAGAGGAGTTGGATTCGTTCATGTTCCCCGATGCTTCCAAGCTTGTAGGGGTCGGAGCTAGTACATCCGAAGCTGAGTGGCTCGACTCACTTTTAGAATCCCTAGTCGAAGGTGGAGAGGACGCATCGGATACCGACGTTCGGATATCTGTCCTAGCAGTCGAAGATGATGAAGATCCCCCACTTAGCCCCTTAACGTCACCAATGTCTTCGTCGGACGACCTACTCAGCCATCAAGCATATGTTGTGCCATATCCTGTGCCATATCCGCCATTCCATCCACCACTTGTTCATCCATATGACCTTGGTCCCATCATTGAGTCTCCTGTTTCACCATTTCCAGCGTATGACGCTTTGCCGTACTATGATGCCGATGAGTTAGACGATCTATCGGTCCCAGAAGCTATAGAGGACACTTCCGACGACGAGTCCGACGCCCTTTCTACGCCTTCCCTAGGGCGCTCGTCAGAACTTGACTTCGTGGATCCGACGTCACTCCCACTTCCAGGGCAACGGCGGAGGCGACGGTCACAGCCTCACGTGTACATCCGGCACCCGGACTCTTATTTTGATCGTTATGCGCTCGACCCCCTTCCATTTCCCGATGAAGATCATTCCACTTCGTATAATCCTGTCTATCATGAGTGTTAGTTTCGCCTTCTTAACCTAGAATCTGCTCTTCTGCTCTATAGTAAGTAGTGTACATATGCGTTACTTTGTTCATGTGTTACTAGTTTCATTTTGGGAATATGGTTCTCGCTTCCGTCTCAAAGTAATATTCATCACAGGGAACAACTTGAACCCAGAATCCCGTCTTCTCACGATATTACGCTAGCGCTGTGGGAGCAACGGGATTTAATTGACAGGGTTGGCACAGTAAACCTCCTAATCACCTTATTGCGAACAGCGGGATAATGGCACCAATGGGGGGCCTCACATGTTGGACCGAAATGTTATTGAATGCCGAAGAGAAGCTTTCCAACGTGGGAAGAGGATGGCACTCGAGGTGAGGTTCTGTACATCATGATTGACCGTGAGATTAGCCTGCATTCGTTGTTACGATGATCAAAATCCCACCTAGATGCATCAAATATGGAGATTCGAGTTCTAACTTTGACTGGGGGTGACTGCGGGGAGGGTCCATAAAACTCAGCCTATCAAATGATAGTGTACACGTACTTGTCTGTGTAATCGCTAAACCGGTTTGAAATAAAGATGATACGCGCCAGTTGCTCTTCTGACCAATTAGCACCAATGATATTTTCGTACAGCTTGAGGTCACAATGCGGCATATACAGGATTGTTGGCTGTTCTACCTCGTGCTTTCCATCCTGGAATAAAATAGGCACTCGTCGGGCATTGCCATACATAACAGAACAAAAGACTTGCTGTGTCTGCCAAGCATCGCATCCCAAAGCTCTGGAATAGTGCCTTATCTGCATCCGTAAACACTGGATCATATACGGACACGTCTGATGGAGCCTATACAAAGAACCGGCGTCAGAAGGAGTAGCGCCGTGACAAAATGTAACTTACTATTTCCAAGGTGGTGTATAAACTGATGAGGAAAGCCAGTTGCGCTCGGGCCTCACGCGACAACGAGGGACTCCCCAGACCGAGACACAGCACACCAGGACATGATATATTAGTCTTCCTCAGGGCGTCTTGGACGAGACCTGATACCAATTAACAAGATGCTCAGATAATGAAAGCCTGCACCCAACCTAGACAAGCCGTTATCCAGCCATTGGATTCAATATCCGCTTTGCAACGATCTACGAGATCAATCAGCAGGGGCGGTTCGTGTTTGCCATTACCCTCGCCTATTCTTCTTTCGAGCACGAGCACGAGTCGTGGCCTGTGAATATGCGAATGAGGTATCTTCCATTGCCGAACAAGACCTGAGGTTGCTTGACAGGTGGTGTGTGAAAGATTCGGTGTGATGCGGCTTCTGTGTAGTAGATGACTCGAAAAAGCTCCCCCACCGGCTCGCAAGTGGGCCGGGGTTCGCTAGCATTGATCCCATCAGTGTTGCGCCGCTGGAATGATGCAAAAAAAGACTATCGTCCGTACCGGCTTGTACAGAAGCCTGAAGATCACTAGTACAGTAGTACTATTGTATAGATCACCAATATTAGCAAGTGCCAGCAGCACCTTAAGCTATGTTGGCAAACCACATGATTGGTTTATCAGATAAGGTTGCATATTGATCTGTTACACCCAAAGAGGTCCATTGAAACTACAGAGTTTGCAGGGCCCACAAATCATCTCCCAGATACGTGACAATCTCGACAGCCACATCTTTGTTCAATTTCCGCATGTCTTCTGTGCTGAGCTCGGTGATTCCGATTCCAACAGCGTGCTCTTTTCCCTCAGCATGTACAGCAACTGCGGTACCTTTTGGCAGTGCTTCCTCAGATGGCGGAAGGTAACCTCCAGCTGAAGTTAATCCGGGACACATCATGGGAGCGCCCGCTAGCAGAAAGCGAATTGCGCCCCTGTCGACCCCAACTTTAGGTAGAATGGACGGATCTATAGGCGGTACATTTCACATATGTGTCACTACCGGACCCGAGGAATGTTGACTTACACTGGTGAAGTAATCGAAGGGTGGGGTAGAACGGCCCATCAAAATGCTGGAAAAAGAGGGGTACGCTTTGGACGGAGTATATTGAGATGTGTTCTCTGCTTCTTGTCATGCAGACCAAGTATGTCAGACATCAGACTCGTCAGATTTGGATACCTGGAAGGACGTACCATTTTACGTGGATCAAAGTCTCCTTCTTGGGCCAGATCTCTTCGAGTGTCTCTGGTCCGATCTTCCACTGCTGTAGCACAGCAGCCCTTATCGATCGTTGTACAGAGGACTTGGGTGGCGTTTGGCCTGCGATATCTGTGGAAGGCGTAAACCTGGGATGTAATCGTGAGCGAGCTGCTGTGTGAATAGAATGCTAGTATATACTTTTTGAACATCGTGATGGTAATGAATAAAGCTTGGAACTTCCTTCACCGCCAAACAGTACGTACCATTGCAATATTAATCTTAGTAACAACTATACACTGGCCTCAACAGCCTACCCTTGCATCAGCTCTGTTCCTCAGTTTCAACAACATCGCTCTGCTTCCATATTCTGGAAGTAGTTTCTTTCCCATCATATCGTGGTTTTCAAATACAGCGTGAACTCTTTCTTGAGCAGATTCGGTTTTCACAACCCTTGATCGACAGTATACTAGCGGTGGCAATTCTAAACGAAGATAATCTACTACAGAAATGCCACGCGACTCATCAACATGTAGACGTCTTCTGGAGTATATGACTGGTCAGATTGAAGACGAAGATAACAAGGATGATTCAAGTAAGCCATATCTCCGGTCCATGGGGCCTCTTCACTGACCAATTCTAGATACCCATATGTCGCTACAGAGGTTCTCTGCAGTGAAATGTGGGTGATAGTGGAAACCTGCGTCAGTTCATTGAACCAGCTACTGACTGAGACGGTTCTTTGACAAATCTCCTGAAGAAGTGAAGACGGAGATGGTCACGGCTTCTCACTTTGCCAAGATTAATGCCGTCTTCTTCTTCAAGAAACCGGCGGAGGTGTATGTCTATCTTTTCACCGCCGTAGAGTCCTCTGACGAACCCAGAGCGGTGTTCAGATGCTCGCCTTCATCCAATCCCAACCATCTATCGTGGAACGCCTCTTGCGACACGTCGACATGCAATTCATTGTTGGCCTTCTTGTTCGCACTATTCAGCTGGACGAAGTCCCAGGTGATGCAGGCATTCTCGAAGTATGTTCTTACATGCAGCATTCTGCGTGGCAGCTTACCCAGTTTCGCAATTCAGTGACTTTCGTCGGAGCTGCTTCTCCGGCGCATATCAGTGACACGCACAGTAGTTTTAGAACCGATCAATGGAATACTTTCCATGGCTGCTGCGTCTCCTGCGCCAGAACTCAAGATGTCTGCAGTGGCGTCGCTTCAAATATCCTTTCCATGGAGTTGGCACGGCCCGAAAGTGCGAACGTTTACATATGCAATAGTTACTTCTGAAGTTCCACAATTTCGCTTCGAGGTGAGCAAAATTAACCCCTTGTATTAGCTGATTTGATGAAGCATGTGAACTAGTTCCCGTCATGAGCGACAAGCTACGTGTGACGTCATATATACGTTCTACTTCGCTATGGCTAGTTTCTACTCAATAGTCAACCACCTTCCTGGCGGCAAATATTGTTCCAATAGTTTATCGGTACTGTTATCTCTAAAGCAACGCAGTCGGTTCAGAGAGAGACACGAACACGCCGACGGGTGCAAATTATACCACGAGCACATCCCGCGATACAGACCGAACTGAAGAAGATTAAGGAAGAAGACTTGTCCATCGGTCAATCGCCCAACCGGTACAAATCCATACTGTATTACCTGTCAGGTTCAATGTCCGTGTAACTGTGAGATATCTCCAGCAAGGAAGAATAGTCGTGACTACAGTTGTGCATTACTATGCCATGAGCCTGTAACATGCTAGCCATAGATATTATCTCACCCCGTCTAAAAGTCCGTCTTTAACAGATATACTACTCTTGCATTGCCTGGCTTACACACTAATACATTAGATATCGAGAACACAAGAAATCTTCGATAGCAGAATGAGTTGCTATGACAAAGGATGATAAAATGAGATCCGTCCACTTTTTAAGAAAAGGGAAGTGAGACGTAAAGTGCATGCAGGATGAGATCGGGCGCGACGAGCTACAGTACATGGCAGAAGGACCGGGACCTTTTATGAGATATCCTCGTCTTTGTCCTCGAGCTGCGAAGGTTTCAGCATGCCAGGAATACGCATGGCCATCTCTCGTTCTGCTTGGGCCTTCATCTGCGCTTCTGCTTCCTTTTCTTCCAAGAATAGCTCGGCATTATCGCCAGAGGAGAACTCTTTAAGCTGGATGAGGAAGTCACGTAGAGCGAGCTTAAAGCGGTTGATATCGCCGTGGAACTCGCCAAGACCTGAGACGAAGACTTGAACTTGCGAGCTGCAGAAATCATTCAGAGACGACAGCAGAAAAATGAAAAAGGGGACGCACTTCTGCACATGAGGGAATGCTGTCTTCAATAGATTGGCACAATATTCCTTCAGGAACACGGAATTTGAGACGGTAGGATCTGCCATCTGCGCAGGATCAAACAGGGGTGCCTGGATCTGGTTCGTCTCAACCAGCTGGAACATGCGTGCGAGCAGAAGACTTTGAAGTTTGAAACCACTTTTGTGGTCCGTGTCCGTGAGTACAAAGAATATATCTTGCACAATACTCAGGAAATACTGTTGGAAAAACACATTGCTGACGGCAGTCTCTGCGCCCGCAAAATTGTTGACCACCTCAAGGCACACTAAAAGAAACCGTAAGTGCGCCCTCTCCATGTACGTGAAGTACGTGCTCACAGTTAAGTCCGGTGTCAGCAATGTCGCGCATCGTGTGTTTGATTGCCCAGATGATACTGTCCATAAACAACTTGAACTGTGGCGGTGGGATGCCAAGTAGAGCTGTAAAGTTATTAGTGCGAGGTGACGATTCTAAAGTCAAGAGACGCATACCAGGGAAACAATTAAGGTTAATGGCTCGGAGGAGCTTGAAGAACCCAACACGATGTTCTGGGAACTCAGAGAAGTCTTGGTTGATCATCGTCAATGTAGGCTCGAAGACTGCGTCAAGAATGGCAGGAACTTGAGGAGTCAACAAAGGCTGTGATTGTAGGACGGGGTGAGCGAACAAGCACGGCATTGGACATGCTATGCACTTACCCCGAGACGACTTGTAATGGTAGCCATTACGTTCAGCACCTCAGCATCTCGTGCAGTCGGTACATTGCGGTTGTAGTCACCAAGAATTGCATCCAGTAGTGGGGGCATGAAATTTGTATTCACGGCTTCAAGATCCTCAGCCTTCTTGATATACGTCTCCATCAGTTTTAAGATCTCCTTCTTAACTGTGCGCAATTGCCGTATCTTTGGCGTCTTAGTGGCGATGTTGCCTAATGATTGGGGATGAGACACGACACAGGAAGGAATTGGGAGGGCTGAATCACGGACCTTCCCGAGCTACCGTCTCGCTGATAATGCCACTGACCGCCTTATACAGACCCAGCATGTCCAAAAAGACCCGTCCCACCTGAGGCAGGTAGAAGCTGCCGATAGATGTACAAGCAGACACGTTCGTTTTGAGGACATTGGATAAAATCTTGATATTATCAAGGTTGCTTAGGACATCCATATTCTGCGCCGCTTGAGCCATGAGTGAATCCCACTTAATGAAATTATCAGCAAGGGACTTCTCTCGCTGATAAAAAACATGGTACACACAGCGTTATTCGGTAGTTCCATCAGCTTAGCAATGAGCTTCTCCTGCTGAGGTTTGTTGGGCTGGGCGGAAATCATGTAACCGACGGCCTCGTAGAAGGTGTGTACCTGTTGGAAGGAATAAAAAGGCGTACCCAAATAATATCACGCGGCATACCTGCTGAGGCGACAGGTCGACAGTGATGCGATGAAGTAGCCGCAATATTTCGTCTACGAATGGCTCCTGTTCTCCCGATTGTTGCATGACAAAATGCCTCCTACACTTCTGGGCAATCTTGATGAACGTGTCGCATGCCATGTCCTGAACACCTGGAGGTGTCGTGCAGACATGGTCAGAGTGACAAGAGTATTTCGGTAATGGGCTCCTTACCTTCATGGGTCTCATGCATGAACTCGAACAATTTATTGACGACTGTCTTCAGGAATTTCCAATGTGCCTTCAAGAAGCGTGGATACTGGCCGACGATGTACATGATATCCGAGGCGACGACAGCTTTGTTGTCTTTGCCTCTTTTGATTTCGCACAATCCTAATAGATCCTTGATGACGGTAACAAGGAAGCGTTTTTCAGTCTCCTCATCTGTAGATCGGGGGAGGGGATTAAAGCAGATCAGAGGGCTAAGAAAAATACCACTTACTCATAGCTCCTGATATGCTTCCGATGGCCCAGCAGAGCGTGTTCAAGTTCTGCCAACTCCATTCCGAACCATCGACTTGCTTTGCAAGTTTTTCGGTCAGTATATTTTCGGTGTCCACAACGTCAAGATGCGTAAGATAGACCAGCAACTCCCGCATCTGCTTATAGAGGACGATTGTATCCGATTCCTTCATAAATTCACGAACGATTTCACCCTCGTCGTTTTCGACAATTAGCACCTGGAGCCATCGTTATATCGAAGAGACAAGAGAGGAAAAGTCAACCGCACCTCCTCTGGCTTGACCATCCGCTCGATGACAACAAGTCTCAAGTTACTCAAGACGTCGCTGTAGATGTTCTTTCTCAGAGACATGCCGTTGAGCATGTTTCCGCCGCTGCTCCCGAGGCTTAAGCCCATGAGTAATCCGCTCTCGCCGATGGGGAGAGCTTGGATCTCGTCGTAGAGTTCTGCCACGAGTTTAGACCAGTATTCAAGAGTGATCTTGAAAATCTCGCGCTCGTCGACTTGGGAGATCTTGACCATGTAAAGATGTGCATTTAACAGAACATCACGGTTCGCCTCAGTCTCGACAGCGCGTAAATGGGTGGACAAGAAGTTGGAGAGGAAGAGGGCGAGGTTAAGAACGAGCTCCTGACCGGCGTCTGATGCTGAAGAATATGCCGCAGCAATGTTGGTGGAAGGAGGAATCATGCGGTTGACGGAAGTCATGACCATGGCGAACAATATGACAAATTTGGGATCGTATTCTGGGCCCACGTTCAATCCAGCAATCTCTGCTAGACATTTGAGCGTCACGTTCCTAAAGTCAGGAGCTTCCAGGAACTGCAGAACAATCAACTTAGTTCGACGAGGAGTAATGACAATCTTACGCGATTCAGGAGTGTGTCGATTATCATGGTCTCGAATATGTATCCCAGAGGTATCCAATTCAAGAAACGCAGCAATGTTTCAAGAGTTGCCTTAATCAAGCTTGACTTCTGAGCCTCCTCCAAGACTTCTGAACAGAGCTTGAAGATCTCGCTGAATTCGCCACACATCTGATTCTTGAGATTCTTGATCTTGGTTTGCGTCATCTGTTCAGCAGAGAAATCAAAGACTTCTTCTGAAAGCAGCCGCAATATGACCATATTGTTCTCGCATAAAGAAAGATTGGTTTTTGAGGACTCCACGAGTTCGGTGATGAAAGTCGGCCAGTTGTGCGGCCACTCCTGTTTCAGAATCTGAAAGGTTTAAATCCATAAGGTCATCTGTAGTCATGTATGGTGTATTACGCACTTGAACGAGGGCAAGATTCAGTTTGTTGATGTACGTCTTCTCTTTCCGCATGGTGGTCTCGTCAGATGCCACTTTGACGGTAACACCAACAACGAAATTACGGATTCCTACACGCGACGTTAGCCACGTCAGTTATCTGAAGGAAATAACCTACCTAATCTCTGTCCTTCTGGTAGTGTTTTCCATCGCGTCACAATGAGCTTTTCTAGAATCTGCAAGCCGATGTACTGCGAATATGGAATCAGTCATCATGAAGCCACCTTTGGTAGGGGACAGTACCTTGGACTGCGGAAACGAGGATCTCTCCAAAACGTCTGGAACTCTGGTCCAAGCATCGGGATGTTCTTCAAACTGTGTCAGTACGTGTTGAGCCATTTGTTGCTGTACAAATGAATGTAAGTTCATCGCAAATGGCGAACGATACCTCCGCCGCTCACTTCTTGGCCAGAGCCGGTGTAAAATGCCATGACGACTTTATCTAGCAGGGATACATCGAACTCCCTCGAGAAATCGAGCAAGCCCTGGATGCTAACTTGAACAAGAATAAACGATGATAAAGCGCGAAGAGCTTACCTCCATGGTTGCAAGAATGCACTGCACCTAAGCTGCTACGATATGGTGGTCAATTATTCCAGGTTCCGCCTCCGTTGAAGCGATGATGAGGAAGATTACGAACAGTAAGGAAGGGACGCTGGGCAATGGGCATTGGGCACAGGGTCCTCCCCCTACATCTAATCTGCTGACATAATATCGCTTCATAATCAGCTCCTCTAGGATCCGTTGATAATTAATATAAACATTTATTAGTACGGACGCGTGTTGGACGCGTGTTGTAACAGACCTGCCCAGGCTGCAAAAATGGCTGATGTTGCAAGTTGTTATACATTTCAGCTATAATACCATGGCGAGTTCGTCGGAACCGGATGCCATCACTTTCTATCTGGTGATCAACTTCTTCGGTGCCTCTTGCCAACGATCCCGATTCGATATCAAAGAATTACCGCCAGCAGTAATACGTTTGCACGAGGAAGAAGTGTATCTACAGCGGGCCAGTACAATACTTGAATAATGTTGTCACAAGCCGCCATCTACTTTGACTACAACTTTGCCAGTAGCTCGTGATGTCATGATACGATCGTATGCACTGAGAGCGTCCTCGAATCCATACACGGAGTCTACCGCCAGTTTGAGCTTGCCTTGAAATACGGTCAACTCAAGATGCCAAACACACGAAGAATCTAGTACGATACCTTCTGCCATCAAGTCGCGCAGTTTTGCAAGATTCTGTTGCTTGTGAGTTACGCTTACCATGCTGTAAGCCAGATGTCAGTGGCGCGTAATGATTTGGGAGCAGAATGTACTGACGTCCACTTTGCATTAACACCGCAGAGGAACGGTGGTCTCAGGATCTCGTAGCCCAGAGAAAGCAAATTCGAGACGCCGGTAGATCCCCCCCACTTCAGGTCTGGCCAAGGTCCGGTCGATATGAACACGCCTTTTGGCGTCATGTAGGCATTCGAGTACTTGTAAAGAGCGGGATCAACCAAAGCAACGGCATCAAAGATGATGTCAAATTTAGGTGAGGGCGGATTTTCCAGCAATTGCTCATGAAGAGGTTTTTTCGTATAATCGAGAAACTGGTGAGGTGTCAGCAAAGGAATAACTACAGGGGAAAGCGCTTACTTCATCTGCCCCCGCGTCACGACAAAAGTCCTCATTTCTTGACGAAGCACTGGTAACAACCTTCGCCCCAAGAGCCTTTGCAATATAAATAGCATTCATGCCAACTGCTGAACTACCGCCATTGACGAACACGCTCTGGCCAGCTTGAAGCTTTCCAATGTCGACTAGGGCCTGAAAGGCAGTCTCCCCAGCTACAGGAAGACCGCAAGCCTCAATCGCAGAGACATTGGATGGCTTCAAGACTAAATGAGTAGCAGGAAGTTTTGTGTACTCTGTCAGCGCCCCTTGCCCGGTCTTGAACTGCATTTCTATCCGACAACCTGCGTCAACATGGTATGCGGACAAGAATACTAATACTCACGAACTGGTATAAAACCGATAACCTCGTCTCCTACGGAGAACTCGGTGCCATTTGCATTCACGACCACGCCGGCGAAATCATGTTCTGGTGTGATTGGTCTCCTAGCAATGATATCGGGCGTAGTAGACATGATCTTCCATCCTCTAATGAAAATCGAAATTATAAGAAGTTCAATGAATATCTTGGAAGGTCACCTACACCGGATTAAGTGCTGCGGCATGAACCTTCACAAGCACTTCCCCAGGTGAAAGGGAAGGGACAGCTACGTCTGTCTGGAAAGCAAGAGATTCGGAAGGTTTGCCTCGCTTCACAGCTCTCCAAGCTCGCTGTGTCTTCGGCAGATTTGGAATTGGATCAGTGCTCATGGTGTTGCAAACTTGAAGGAAGAAACAAAAATTGTGGGAGTCCTGGTGACGACTATGAGGGACGCATGGTGCATCTCACTTTATATTACTTTTAAATGTTGTTTTATGTTGACGTCATGTATATATAGGAAACAGGTACAAAATCAGGAAATATCTGAGTCTCACCGGTTTACTGATGGCCATGTAGCACTACATAGCCACCATCAGTGTTGCAGGCCGTATTGTCATTTTGATGCAAGAATTGTAGGGATGCAGTGGATTCTTGGTTGGAGACTGATGTAATAGTGATGCATTGCTAATGCATCAGCATTCTAGTTGGCAGCAGCAATGCCATTCAAAATGGTATCCGTGATTCGCATGAAAATCGGGAATCGTCCCACGGTCGTCGTACTCGTACTCGATCAACAATACATCCCGCCGCTACCCTTGCCACTATACCCTTTCTCGACTTCACCTTCGTATGCGAACCAATTGCTGGGCGAGGCCATTCTTAGGGCGTGGGTCCACACCTTTGGATGGGATGGGTTAGGGTGGGTTGCAGAGAGTGACACAGATCAGCAAGATATGGAAAGGGGCCCAGAACGACACCCAATGACCCACACACTTACACCGTCCCGTATCAATTGCACATTCAAAATCAAAATGCGCCTCGAGGTACTTTGATGACGTTTCCCTGGCGCACCGACTGGAGCCAACATGTACTAGTTTGCACCCTCGAACTTCGGGGAACACATGTAGTATGTACGCCTCATATCTCATAGCCCGACATAGTATTCCATCCACTCTATATACTTAGGGATTAAATCGATAACACAACACAACTATATTCATTCATCACCGACGCGAGACAAACAGAGACTACTACGTGATTTTACATAGTACGGCGCTGACTACATAGAAGGGACTTGACTACAGAGCTACACGCGCTATTCTGACTAGTCAGCTTGATGTTTGGGGTTTCGAGTACTTCAGGCCAAAAAGAACCGCGGCAGCAAGTGATATCGACAACTAATAATTGGATTACAAACTCCGCGACAGTTTAGGTTTCTTGAAGCAGGACATTCAACTCGCCCAAGATCTGCTCGTCCCATTCGTCTTTCTGACTTCCACCTACTTAAACCAACAGCAAGAGTTTCCTTAAATCATCTGACCCACAATTGTTCTAGGTAAGTGAAAAACGCTGCAGCACGTAAGATACGTTGATTGTCTAGACGCTAGGCATCGAAGCCCCTATTCAATCTCACCAGACTGAGAATGACAGACTCTCATCATAGTGATTCGTCCGTCGAAATTATAAGCAGCATTTCTTGCTGCGCTACAGAAGCTTCTGAAGATGAAGTTGTCTGGAGCGTCAGCGAGGAATATTCGTCGGAGAGTAGCGTTACCGACAGCGACGCTGACTTTGTCCTGTTGCCCCGTATCCCAGCGGAGGACTTTCCTGATAATGTTTCCGGCGACAGCGCCCAAGAGGATGTGCTGTCAACTGCATTCAATCTGTTATCAGTCAACAAAGTGGAGCATGAATCAGATACGAACAAAGTCAACAAACCAATCCAAAAGGTGAAGCAGATCCGGAAGCCAGCAGTTGGTAATTCCGGACGTACACGTTCATCGTCTACGAGCCCCTCCCTCCATCATAACAGTGGAGCGAGGACCCACAATGGTTCATATGAAGATGCTGCAGCGTACATCACACAGTGCGTGTTTGTTCCTACTTATTGAAATAATATATATTCATTGCGGGAAGGTACCTGGATACTCCTGTCAAGAAGAATGATCCTAGTGCGAAGCTCCAGTTTCTCCAGGCTCTCATTGTAGAATTTGGTATTTCCAAACATCTACCCGCCAGCATAAAATCAGCAACAAAACTGCTGAAGGCCTCTGTACACGTGAATATCAAAGATTACGTAGCGAAGCGGGGAAAAGACCAGAGCGAGTTGAAACAGATCATGCAGCCTAGCAAGAGCGCACTACGGAAGGATATCCGGCGAAGCAACCGGAAGAGCTCCCTGAAGTGGGTGAAGGAACATGGACTAAACGTCCTTCTAATCGGCATCTCCAACTAATTCGCGGGGGAGTTCCCCACCCATTCAGTGTTGCATAGACCTGTATTTTACAACGACAAATGGTATCATTCACTTGTTCCTACTGTACTTCATGGTTTGAGTTCAACTCAAAGAACAACAACATGAATTTTACATATGTATGACTACGGGAACATATGACTAGCAAGTTCACAGTCGGCATATTCATGCAATGTAACGTTGAGGGTATAAACAGCACTGCGACAAATCTACAAAGTCAATGTGCAGAAAAGCTGTGAAAAATATGAAGAAGCGATGGAACAAAATATTGTAATAAAGATAGACACTGCGTACTGCATTCCGTGTCCAGATGAAATGTCCTAAGGGGCAACCTTAAATACCGTCCTCTGCAGCTACTAGCATGCTCGCAATATCAATTATGGCTTGATTCAAGACCAGAAGATTCTCGGGGTTGGCGCTGTTTGGCGCAGCCACAGCGGTTCCAGTGGGGACAGCAATCCCACTGCCCACACCAGAGCTGTAATTGACGGTCGTAGGCAAGGCCGAGGAGGGGGTAGGGGTCGAGGAGGGGGAGTTGGAGCTGGAAGTGGAAGTGGAACTGGGAGTGGAACTGGTGGTGGTGGTGGGAGTGGGAGTGTATGAAGACGTAGGAGGCGTCCACGATGACGTTGGAGTCGAGGAGGTGGTAGGAGGAGTCCATGTCGTCGTTGGGGTCGTGGACGTTGTAGGTTCAGGAGTCCAGGATGAGGTGGTGGTAGGAGTCCAGCTGGTAGTGGTAGCAGCAGTATCGCTATTGAACCACCACGACCCGTAGAGTACACCCACCGACTCGTCTGCGAAGTACTCGAAAAGACCGGTAGAGAAGTCAAGTCCACCATAAGGACAGCCCATACACTAGTCGTTTTTGGGTAAGGTCACAGTATTGAATAACGTAGTCGAATACAGACCTCATCCATGATAACAGCTTGGGCTGTTTTTCCACCATAAGAAATCGTAATTGACAAGAAACACATTGGGCCTGGATATCCACTGCCGTACTGATCGACATTTAGCGCCACGATCTAGAAATGACATATGATGAGAATATGACGCCACAGATATCTTATCGATACAGACAAAGTCAGTGGGAGCACTGTAGTCCCCGCAAGCACCCCTTTGAAAAAAAGAAGTGATGAGCAATTTTCAAATAAGGCACCGTCATGGGACTCACAAGCCGACATCATAGAAGGTGAACCGAGCATTATCGAAGGAACGCTTATGGACATCCACATCACCACGAGCGCGGATTGCGACTTCTTGGTGACGTCTGCCCCAGTGGTTGCCATGAGTGTTAGCGAAACTAAAAGAAATGACTGTAGAGAGAAAACCGAGAATCGTAGTGACCCGCATTGCGCGATTTGTAAGGCAGGAATGGTACAAGTTCCCGGTGCGGATGATCTGCGTCGGACCTGAAGTTGAAAGAGCGTATACACAAGGGAATGTCTAGCTTGTAAGATTACAGCTTTGTTACTTGAGTGGAAGCGGCCTAGAGAAGGGAGTGGTCTATGTTACAACGGAAAATAATGAAATTCATCTTCATACCAACCACTATCAGGGTAGGACCCCGGGGACACCTGCAGGTTACTACCAAACCAGTCTGGCATTCAATATTCAAGAGTAATAACAATACCATCGACTAGTGTTTAAAACCGCCCCCGAAAACTTTGGATAGGTGATGGGATGTACGGTATTATGTGGGTATAGCAGCGTCTGGCTGAAGAATAAGTCCTTCGAATCTCAACGAACTCGAAAAATGTCCACAAAGTAGATATAGCAACGCCATACTTTTATCAAGAAATCCGCAGCAGGCTGCGAATCTGAAACAGCTAATATTACGCCTCAGCGTCACCAAGAAGTTCGCCGAGGTACACCATTGCCAGGTTGAGGTCCATGAGACTGGAAGAGCTTCCGACAGACCCAGCGGTCTCTACTACAGAATCAGCACTTGTTGTGCTCGACGCACTGCTCGACGCACTGCTCGACGCCGAAGACGACGAAGAACTAAAAGTGCTTGAGGTTGAGGAGCTGGAGCTGGAGCTGAATGAACTTGAGCTTGTCGAAGATGAGGACGGTGTACTAGTAGGGCTGGGACTCGAGGTTGTCGAAGATGGAGGCGGGGTCCAGGTTGTAGTTGGCGGTGGCGGTGGCTGCGAGGTAGTGGTTGGCGGTGGGGGCGGTTGCGAGGTGGTTGTAGGTGACGGTGCCGGAGCAGGGGCACTACCGAAGGACCATGTACCATAGATCACACCGTCACCAAGTGGAGCGAAAAACTCGAAAAGACCTTGCGAAAAATCAAGGCCAGCATAGGGGCATCCAGGACACTATTTTGGGTGTCAGACTGATCCAACTGGTATCATGATGCTCGTTGTTTACCTCGTCAGTAATCTGAGCTTGCGCTGTCAATCCGTTGCAAGTGATCGTGATCATTTGGTAGCAATATGAACCGCTGCCGAATTGCTAGAAATTTCATTGAATTGCTTTAAACAACAACGCAGAAATTTGAAATTCTTACGTCTGAATTGAGTGCAACAATCTAGGTAGTCAAAGTTAGCTTCCTCGAGGTAATTGTTATAATTTGAATTAGTCACATACAAAGTCGGTGGGTATGTTTGTTGTACCACAAGCACCTAGACCGACCGCATAGTATGTGAAGCGGGAATTGGCGTAATCACGTTTGTACATATCAACATCTCCTGGCGCGCGAACGGCGAGGTCCGAATTCAGACGCTTTCCATGGTGTCGGTTGACTTGGTGGGCACTTCTGGCCGACACCGAGTACCATGATAGCACGAACGACAGTAACACTGACAACTGAGTAAAGAAGCGCATGCAGTCAGCCTAGAAAACAAGTAGAGAGCGTGAGGGTTGACAGGCAGGAAATCCGAAAAAAGAGTGACTATTCGTTGCTGTGAAAACTTTGAACACAGAAGGTGATGGTTAGAAAGTAAACGCGAGCCGACGCTTGAAATACAATATATTATACGAACTCACCATCCTTCACTCTCACAGTTTCACTTACGGCTTTCAGGCGCCAAGGCCCCAGCTAAGAACTACCCGATTGGCCCTTAAAATAGAATGAGGCACTACCAATTGTTCCGTTGTTCAAGTAACAATGACATCTCTACCAAGCGTGTATTTTATGATCATGTCCATGGGTACCATGTCAATTGCTATGCCTTTGACTATATTGCAATTCCAGACTCAGTACTCAGTACTTGTCAAGCACAACCATCGCCGTCCTCGTTCTTACTACACTGATAAATTCGTAATCCGACATAATATCCCATCATTTGAGCTCCACTTGGGTGGGAGGGTCAATAAACATCGTCTATGAACAAATGAGCTTGGTATGGGAAAAAACACAATAAACTGCTAGTACTCACTGTCACAAATTTTAGGACCTCGTCGATGGCAAGCACAGGCAAGCTGAGATACAAAACCATTTGCCATTCAGCCCAGTTCAACGGCGTTATTTGAAACAGCACCTAGAATAACTTTTTAACTTTCCAAATTTAGTGAGATTAACGTGGAAGACTCACCGTGAAGAATGGAATATACAAAATAGCAAAATGGAGCGCCATGCTGAGAGTTATTGCCCCAACAAGGAACGGGTTCTTCCACACGGGTAACCGCAGCAGACTCTCGTTTTCAGATAGCGAGTTCATTGCGTTGAACATCTCTACCGTTACCAGAATCGACAGACTCATGGTTGTCGCTCGATGCGCCATAACGTTCGTGAACATCTCGCACCCAATTTCTGGAAAGAGCGCAGAGCATTGGTGGAAATGCGTCTGCCGGACTCATCAGTATGGAACGGATAATTGAGTTAGGGTAATGCATACAAGTTGGTGGAATGTGATCTGCGGCCCTTCTGAGTAGAAGATGAACCACCACGCATATCCGAACACGGTGGCACATCCGACGTAAATGCCAATGACCATGTAACGGAAGAACAGCCATTTTCCAACAAGAGGCTCCCGACTGTTTCTTGGAGGAACCCGCATGATAGAATGATCTGGTGGGTTGAACCCAAGGGCGGTGGCAGGCAAACTGTCTGTAACAAGGTTGACCCACAGGAGTTGTACTGGGATAAGGGCTTCTGGCATGCCGAGCAGAACAGTCAAAAATATGCTATGGTAAACCGTCAGTATCTAGTCGCGACGATAACAGTACGTGGTCTTACCTGACGACTTCGCCAATGTTTGATGAAACTAGAAATGGTCAGCAAGAACGACTAAGACAATGTGAATTGCGCGTACTTAGGTATCGGATGAATTGCTTAGTGTTGTTGTATATGAGTCTACCCTCTTCTACCGCAAGCTCTATAGTTGCAAAGTTGGAATCCGCGAGCACCATATCAGCAGCCAATTTGGCAACATCAGTGCCGCTTCCCATGGCGACCCCGATATCTGCCTTTTTCAGTGCAGGGGCATCGTTTACACCATCACCAGTCTAGAAAGAGATATGTTAGTTAGCGTCAGAGATGTCAAGTACGCTGACCAACCATCGCTACAACCAGCCCGAGACCTTGGAGGATATCAACAAGTTGGCTCTTGTGCGCTGGTTCTGTTCGAGTAAAGAGACTAGCGCGTTGCACAGCCTCGATCTTTTCCTCAGCACTGAGCATATCTAGTTCCCGGCCAGTGTAGCTCTTCCCAGTCAAGTCCTCATTCTCCCCGAAGATCCCAATCTGCCTGCAGATCGTTTCCGCAGTGCCCTTATTATCGCCAGTGATGCAGATAACACGAATACCAGCAGCTCTACAGTTCGCAACAGCAAGACGGACCTCCGGTCTTGGGGGATCAAGCATTCCAACCAGAGAAACGAACACCAGGTTCTGTTCAAAACGACTATAATCGCTAGAGTTTTGACTTTGATAATGAGCGGGATCAACGTCTTGAACGTCTGCGTAGGCCAAAGCCAGAGTGCGGAGACCGATGGACCCGTAAGAAACCGTTTGGGCGAGGAGTATTTTACGTAGCTCTGCAGTTAATGGAATAACCTTGCCATGCACCATGACTGAAGTACACCGGTCCAAGACAGACTCGGGGGCTCCTTTGACAAAAAGGGCACCCTTTGAATTCAGCCGTACAAGGACAGACATCATCTTGCGGTCACGTGAAAATTCCATGGTGAGTAGCTTCGTGACGGAGCGCTCATAGTACTCATTCACTATACTCGCCCTCACGGGCGGCGAAAGTGTGGAGAGGGACTCGGATATTTCTTTGTCCGGACAACCAATCTTCTCTACGAGGACTTTCAAGGCAGCTTCAGTCGGCTCCCCCACATTACTATACGAGGCCTTGTCCTAGGAACACCAATAAGGATAGAGAACACCGATCGGCAGTGTGGTAGGGCTTACAGAATTGTAGACGATGTTCGCGTCATTGCAAATGGCGCTAATCTCCGCAAGACGTCTGATGGGATCAGACTGCAGATCCACGGCCATTCCTTTGGTAGAGGTGATCGAGCCTTGTGGGGAATAAGTTGTACCTTCAACATTATAGTTTTCTGGAAGGCCGCTTTGCGCATTGATGATGAGGAACTTGAGTAGCAAGGTTGGGTGAGATGCATCTCATACGGTAGAGAATCCTATGTCACCTTTGAAACACACATCTGGTTGGTAGTGAGAGTGCCTGTTTTGTCCGAGCAAATGACATTGGTACATCCAAGGGTCTCCACACTCGGTAAATTCCTGACAATTGCGTTCTTCTGCGCCATCTTCTTCGTTCCTAGAGCCAAGCATGCTGTAATGACAGCGGCAAGACCTTCTGGGATAGCAGCCACAGCAAGAGCCACGGCAATTTTGAAGTAATAGATAGCGCCCTGCATTACACCATGGTGTGCAGGGTCCGAGAAGTGCCGGAAATTGACCAACCACACCAGGACACAAATCACGGTGATCACTTTGGCCAACATGTCACCGAAATCGTCAAGTTTGCGTTTGAGCGGTGTCTTTTCAGTGATTTGCTGCGAGATTGAATGATGGATGTGGCCGATAGCGGTCTTCTGACCAATGAAAGTGACGACGGCTCGCGCACTCCCATTGACTACTGTAGTACCCTAGATAATGATGAATACACGTCGAGAAGGTAAGGAAAGCGCTTACAGAGAACAACATGTTTGTCATGTCCTGTTTCACGGCGCCTGTGTCAGAGACAACGTCAACCGACTTGTTCACGCTAACACTCTCGCCAGTGAGGATGGCCTGGTCCACCCTAAAGCTACTAGAGGATATGGACAATATTCTGCAATCCGCTGGAATTTTGTCGCCAACCGAAACCGAAACAATGTCACCTGGAACGAGTTCAGAGGCATGAATGTGGGCCAACTGGCCAGACCTGAGGACTTTAGCCTCATCTGGTGAATATTCTTTCAAAGCCTGCACGAACACGGTTAAATATTGGTGTGCCACGAGACCACAAAATATAACATACGTCTATGGCTTTGTCCGCGTTTGTCTCCTGTATTACCCCAACAGTTGCATTCGCGATAAGAATGAGCAATATAACAGCGGGTTCAATGAATGCTCCAAATAAAGTGGTATCTTCAGAGTCATCTAGCAATGCCAAAACGAAGGATATAACTGCTGACGCAAGCAGGATCATCACCAGCTGGTCCTTGAACTGTTCTAGAATAAGCTCCCATAGTGGAGTGGGAGGTTCTTCTGGAAGCTCTGCACAAGATGTTAGCTTCCGAAACAAAATAGATGAACAACGCCGACTGACCGTTTTTTTCCATACACTTCGGCATGCTTTGCGGCGTGAGCTGCAGTCAGTCCGCGAGAACTGTCAACACCAAAGTGCTCCAGGACATGCTCCGGAGTACTAGTCCAAGGTTGTTCCATGACCGTCGTAACGAAGAGAGAAAATAGTACAGACACACGACTCAGCACCTTTAAGCACAGGAATTTGCTTTGCTATGTCTGTGAAATTTGCTGACGTGTCCGATTTGTTTGCACAAGTTATCGACCACGAGGACCGCTGAACTCACGAAGTTCGAACGTTGTGGTCGAAACTTTTAACGCGGGCGGTATCTGTCCACCAGGTTCATACGTTAGATTACGCGGTAGATGTTGATCATACATGTAATACACATAAACAAGCACGCCATCGCACAAATCACCTTGCGGAGCAAGGTCGTGTTCAAATGTTGTGATCACGTAATTATTCCTGACATATGAGTCTACCGGTTTCATATTGTACCACCCGGTGTCTGACATCCAGCCATAACATATATGTGCTAGTTCTTCCAAGGCGTGAAAGCCTCGTCTCTGATCAGTACTCAAGTTCAAGTATCACTGTACACGGATATACTAAGTAGTATCACCGGTCGCCAAAATGGCTGGCACTTTCAGATAACATATATGTCGACAATATCCTATAGTTTTCCAGATCCTAGCACGTTCGCAATATGTAAAATGGAGGCGCAGAAAATAAAATCGCGTGCCACGGAGCAAGGTGAAAGTCGGCAGGGCCGGAACCCTAACTAGTATTAAAGGCGCAACTCTAATAATATCACTTGTCAGCATCAGCTTCGAAGTAGATTTATGAATCTGCTAGGCCTTATGCACATGTGCCTATATATCCTGACAGAAAAGCCTAATGGCCAGCTGCTCGGCGCTCAGCGCTATTTCAGCGCTCAGTTACTATAGGCCTGGTTGGCTAGGGTTCAAAAGATAACGATTTCGGGCCGTCATCTTGCCACCAAACACAAACACAAGTAAATACACTACGGTGACCTAATTGGCAGTGAACAGTCGCGCATATTACGACGGTCTCGCCGCTCAATTTCGTTGGTCTCTCTGAACTTGCCAACAAGTTATCGTCCTTGGAATTGAAGCCATGGGCAACACCAGCTCGTCATCCTCACGCGGCCATCATGACGACACCGTTGACTATGGTCATCTCGCTCCTCAGGGCGTCTACACTGGGCCCAAAGACTGGAATCATGGGATCGTCACCCAGCTCATCGTAGATCGCAGGCTTGCTCCTTTCTATCGACCTTTAGAAGATTACAATGAAAACTGGGATGATGAGCAGATCATGTCAGCTAGGAGGGTCCTTCAAGATACTGACAGCGGTAACTCCGACACTCCCCCTACAAGGGTTGACTCGCGAGATTGCACAAAGCCAGCTCATCAATCTAAGCGGGCTGGTGCATCGAAGGAGCCCTCCCGTTGTCCAGAGGCTGCCATTTACAGAGGTGCTGTAGAATGCCCAATATGTTTCCTTGTGCGTTATCTCTCACGTGCGTCACGCAACCACTGAGTAATTTGTGCCTCAGTATTACCCCCCTAACATGAACCATTCAAGGTGTTGCGATCAGGCGATATGCACGGAATGTTTTGTTCAGATAAAGAGGACCGAACCCACAGCTACACATCTCGTATCTGAGCCAGCAGCATGCCCGTATTGTGTGCAGGAGAATTTCGGTGTGGTATATACTCCTCCTTCATGGCGTACTGGAATTGGGAGTGATGGAACGGTTCGTTTTCCTCAGACACACTCCTGATTATAATTGACGAGGTAACTTTGTTCTTTACTCATTGTCATTCAGTCACTGCCAGTATGGTCGGACACCGCCAAAGGCTTGCAGCAGAATATACCCAGTGCGGCTCAAAAACGTCGTAAGAGCTTTGGTCACGATAGTCCGGAAGTGGTCACTACAGGTAAATGACTCATGTTCAAATGTCACCCTATCATCATGTCTTCCTGTGCTATAGATTCTATAAGGCCAGACTGGGAAGCTAAACTTGCCGCTGTTCGAGCTGCGGTAACGCGCCGTGCAAATAGGCGAATAATCATGCGTCAAGTAGGAGACAGACTCATCCCAGTTGGTGTGACCAGTGGCCGTGTTCATCCCCTACCGACCGGTGAGGGTCAGGACGGGGGTGAAGTAGACAGCGGTTCCAGTCGAAGAAGTCGGCGACATAGAAATAATGGTGGTCAGCCGGATATTAGTCAGTTGTTGGGTCAGATGGGGCTTGGTGGCCAAGATTTGGAAGAGGTATTAGCTTTGTACTCTGACGTATTTCAACTAATATCCCTTTTCAGTTAATGGTCATGGAGGCTATGCGCCTCTCACTTTTGGAGCACGAAGAGCAGCAGAGAAAAGAAGAAGAGAAGCGAAAGAAGGAAGCTGCTGCTACTGCTTCAAGGGGGCATATAGAGGGAGATACTCCCGGTCGGTCGAGTGAGGATCAGACAACCACAGACACAGTAGGGAACAACGCTTCCAATATCCCATCGGCCGCCCGGAGCTTGGAGTCGGGAGAGACAATAGCCGAAGCGAATCACGGTGGTAATCGGGCAATGACCCCTGTAGCAGGTCAACCAACCTCTTCATCTCCCTCGCAGACACCCATTGATACCAACGCCACTCGCAGTGATGGGGCAATCTCGATTTCAGGCCACCCACAACGCCTGATACCGGGCATTTCATCTCCGATGATTGGTGATAGAACTATTGATTCCACAGCATCGGCCGTGCCCGATGGAGTAACCGAGCTTTCAAGTCAGAACGCTTCCATGTATATTGACAGCATACAGTCATCCGCAGGGACGCCTGGTGCGGCCTCCATATCGTCCTCCATTTCCAGCCCAAATACTCTAGGACAGTCATTTTATGACACACTTCCATCTTCACCAGAATCGACATTGGAGGAGCCATTGTTGAACACGGACTCGGTTTCAGTCAGGGCTGCCGCAAAGGCCGCTAATTCATGATCGCCAACTGCGTGGTACCGGGGGTTGGTGTTGGCCATCGAGTCGTCCATCGTTTATAGATCCTGGAGGAGCATCTTTCGTAATTCTTAATGTTTGCATAGTACTTCTTGAGCTTGACATTTCAGCTTGTTGAATACATCACCACTGTATCTATCTGACATGTCATTTCATGAATTTGATTTTGTTCGCCGTTCTCATACTGTAGCATAATTGCCGCGGAAGTTGACGGCGGTCAATCTTCGTGGAAGATCCTACTGTCATGTGGGCTAAACTCGGTGATGCGTATATCTTGGTTCATCCATGTATCGGCGGCCCGGGGAATGATGGTGGGATGTTTCTCACTATTGCGGCGAAAGGACTACATGGGCGGGTGCAATTAGACTCGTGTTTGCCTCATAGACGGACTGGTCACAAGTCCACGGTACAATTCTAACCTGTATCTTGCCGGCATCTTCCCTTGTCCAGTACATGTCGTCTCACGGCGGGGTCTGGAGAACAACCAAAGAAGCCGTCAAGCGGTACCGACATTACAAATGATGCAGTGAATGAGTACGTGGCACAAGAAAGAGAGAGCTCCGACGAGTAGAGATGCCGAGGAAAAACCAAAGCTACTGCTGATTCTGTTGGTCGGCCCAAATAGGTTTTCCTGCATCTGGATTGCTCTAGTTGTATATAAGACAGGTGTCACCACACAGCATGCGTTAAAATGCTAACCTGTGCATCTATTTGACGTTTTATGGTTTGCTCTTGGACGAGTCTGGCTGCTCGGTTTGCGTCGACCTTTCGCCGCAAATCAGGTGACATCGCCTGCGCTTATGGTGAGACGTGGTTCTACTGAACACAAATGTAAAGTATGCCGTAGCCTTGGAATGCGCAGCATGGTCAACGGCGAAAGACGGGGAAAGAACTCACGGCATATGTCTGTTCAGGTGTAGGTACGGTCGCTACAAATTAAGAACAAGGCAATGATGTTCAATTAATCAAGAGGAACAGGAGAGAGAAAATGGGCGAATCAGATGATGAAGGTCCCCGGGCGGTAGTAGAATACGAACCGCTCATCAAAAGGTAACCAAGACCCATCACTGGCGCAGCGAAGTGCCGTGCATCATGTGCGTCCAGTGAAAACAGTCCAGATTGCGCCGAGATCCCAATTACAATCAGCTTCTGTATTTGCCAGTTCGAGATAAGACTCACGACCGCCTCCTAGTAATGTCATTCTGAACCACGGATAACTCATTGTGTGAGATTCTTGCGATTGGTAAGTTGTCAAGTATGGCCCGGAGGCAGGGCTAGGTGCAAACCCAGTATTTACTTATTTGTATCTTGGCATCATTGGCGCATCATACCTGGAACCTGGACCACCGCACTCCCACAAGTATACACATCAACTGCGTCGGTAAAACCGAGGTTGCGATATCTCATTAAAACAGTGCCCGAGAGCATGCGCCAACGAAATTGATAAATATGCAATATGATAGTAGAGTTGGACGTTCTACGGTGAATCGTGCTAGTATGAAGTTGATGATAGTATTGATGATTGGAAAATGGACTATGCAGAGAACCTATGCTAGAGAAGGAAAGCATGACAACGGAAAGTAGTGGCGATAAATAATGTAGAATGCAGAGAATCCGTGTACTAGCTTTCCGCTTGCAGAAATGTCCGTACGACTTGTTGGCTGTTCAACTTCCTCCGCTGGGATACAAAATCCATCATATCTGCAGTGCTTCTGCGGCTCACCAATTCTATTCTTGCTAGTTCCTCCTCCCACGCACGCATCTCCACTTGTCCGACTTTGTCGAACAACAAGTTACCGTCTGCGCGAGCAGCACTTTCAGGTGTTAGCGAGTGGGCTCCCTCCGAGCTTGCGCTTGAACTAGAGTGGCCAAGCCGTGGAGCTTCCACCCACTTTTGGAAGAAAGCACCATGAGTACTGCGTCCATTGGTGGCGGGTCCACTGTATGCAGTTTCGGGGCGCAGAGGGACAGGGTGTCGATTACTATGATTGTGAAGAGGGTTATATCCCCGTGAATCGTACCCATGTGGCGTGTCCCGGGGCCCGGCAGAAGTGTGGGGTCTGCGTATAGAATTCAGCTTGCTCTTGCTTCCGGATTGTGGGGATGATGCAGAAGAAATCTTGTGAGTATGCCCATGTGATATTTCATGTTCATGGCCGCCTTTAGGTGTAATGGGCGCCTTTTTTGGTACTTGGGCGACTGCAGGAGGGCTACGAGGTGGTGAGGGTAGTTGAGTGTTTGTATTTGGACGTTCTCGCTTTGATCGTTTGGGAGACCTAGACTTGTGCTGCCCTGCGGCGGAATAGCGTGAAAGAGCCAATTGACGCTTTGCCTCGTTGGTCGAGACGACAATAATTTCTTGGTCATCAAGCTCGACCGTTTCAGCGCTCGAGTTAGGGGAGGAGACGATCAACTGAAACGCATGATTAGGCAAACAACAAGGGAAAGACATGCAACATACCTTTACGCGAATAAAAAACCTGATAGAAGCCATGCCGGTCTGAAGTGTTTCTCCAACCGTCCATCGGCTACTGGGACTGGCATCGGGCCAAGAAAATGTGAGAGTCTGACGCCAGGTTCCAGTAGAATCCCGAGTGAAGCGATGGGAAGATTCAAGATGAGCAAAAATATGTGCCGTTGTTCGTTCGCTTGTGTGAGTCGCTGATGATGTACTAGGCACTGATGATTGTTGTTGTGGCAGAAGAGGTCGTGTGTCAGATATCAAGGAAGAGGTTGAGGAAAGGTAGTGGAGATCATTGGAAGATGACGCTGCGGATGTGATGTCGTAGGAGTTTGCTGCAGTAGAGTGATGATCATGCGAGTTTGGTTCTTGATTTGATGCGAGGTATGAGTGTGACAATAATGTGGGGCCCGATGGTGTCGAAGTACCAGAAGGCGATGTTGGGAAGTCTGAGAATTGTATTCTTCTTTCAACGACGGCGGTCGCACTGCGAATGGATACTGCTGGATCGAGTGGTTGGACGGTGACTTGTAAAGAAACGATGTCGAGGGGGCCGACGGGTTTAGTGGGCAGTATGATACGATAACGGAGTGAAGGACCTCTAGACTTGGTGGATAGATAAGATGTTGGGGGCGGGGTTACTGGAGAGTGAGGAGACACATTTCCTGGTAAGTCATGGCGGATCAAATAGAGATCATAATGTTTAAGCAAGCGAGAACCGATGCCCGGAATGGGAGCGTGATTGACGACTAAACAACGTAAGAGACGAGTCGTTGAATGGGTGAAAGCACATACCGGCCTCGATTCGCCAACATATTCGATACTCTTGAAAGTAAAGAGCTGTGCTGGGACCAGTAGTTTGAAGTGGCATGGAAAGTCGGAATGGGTATTCCGCATTTCCTATATCTGCCCAATCTTGGCTGTCTGGTTTTCTCCATAACGTGATGGAGTGCTCTACCAAAATATTGGATTGTGCTGTCCCCAAGCGGCCGTACCGAAACTCATAACAGCGAACAGAGACTGTTATATCTTTGGCAGGGAGATTTTTCCCATCCTGCTCGATTTCAGTTCGGACGACTGAATGAACGGATATTAGAGGATGATATGAATTCAGAGGTAGATATACGGACCTCCTTCGAACTTGAGGGGCGTCAAGCCGAGGTAGCCAATGCAGGGAAAGAAGCGGACGCCATTGTTGCCTTTGGGAGAGAGAAGTGTAAGCTTCACCATGAAGGGCAATTAGGACGGCGTTTAGGATGGCGTTGAGGTTGACTAGGACGATGAGCAATTTAAAGAGTGAAAGAAAAGAGAGTGATGGAGGAAGAATTTAAAGACGCCCAGAAGCAATTGGGATAAATAAGTGGCCAATAACTGATACCAGAATTAATATTCATGACAGCGAGCGAGAAGCAAGAGCATCGCGACACGATCTCCCGATCTCTGATCCAGATCTACGGAGCACCGGCATCCTATTACTGCATATGGTATTGTCACGCCGGCTACTTGTCACACCTGTTCGTTTTAGAAACCTGCAACTCTTTGGCAGAGTCTTCGACGACCGACCGACCGACCGACCGACCATGCCTTCGTCGTTCTACATTCCCATTCTCCTTGCGGGTATGATAATCACGGTATGTATCTCAAGTGGTATCTCCAAACGTGTACCAAGTCATGCTTTGTAGGGGTCGAGTAATTCTTTGTGGAGTAAATGGCAGGTATGTTCAGCCTCGCGTTCAGAGACACAGCATTGACCACCACTAGGACATGCAATGCGTGGAGAACTGTAGCGACCCCAACCCTGCAAATCACGTTCTATACGAGCAGCCTGTGTGGCAAACTCTGCAGATGTTCCGTCCGTATCCCTTATTCTTATTTGTACCACGTTCTACGCTAACTGTCCGAGGTAGTCGGCGAAATGCTTTGTCAGTATCCAATAGGCAGTCTGTCTATTCATATCTCACTTTTTGCATGTAGGCTTTCTCCCTGTAATTTATACGTGGCTACGTGCACGTCAGCACACTACACCCGTATTTCTCCCGGATGATTTAGAAGAAGACGTTCATGAGCCCGGTAAAATCGACGAAACTTGCGAAGAGCTACGAGGCTGGAAAATTCTTCTTTTGTGGTTACCCGCTGCTTGCGATCTTACCGGAACAACGGTCCGTCGATTTCCTATCTTTGCCTTTTCGCCTTGCAATCCGTTGCTTTTAGTCTCGTCTTCATTATCGATTGTGCTGATAACAACTTCCATTCATAATGAATATTAACAGCTTATGAATGTCGGTCTTCTCTATACGCCCGTTTCCATTTATCAGATGACACGTGGAGCTCTCGTTCTCTTTGTGGGCACCCTGAGTGTCATCTTCTTACACCGTCGTTTATGGCTCTATCAGTACGTCCTCCCCAGTTCTCCCGTTCCATAGTCCTAATTTGTGCACAGATGGGTCTCTCTCTTGACAGTCATGGCCGGTATTTCGCTGGTAGGATACAGCGGTTCGCTTATCAAAGACGTTGTACAACCTACCTTGCGTCTCTTGGGTACCGATCAGTCAGAGCCCGAAGTCACCAAAGTCCTAGTTGGTCAGATATCTTATTACTTTTAATGGGAGTTTATACTCATCATGTATAGGTGTCTTCTTCATTCTCTTCGCCCAGGTGTTGTAAGTATTTCGTCATCCCTTACTTCAGCGACTAAGAATAACTGCCACCTAGTACGGCAACACAGTTTGTTGTGGAAGAGAAGATTATGGCCCGTTACTCCGTGGCACCTTTGGTTGCTGTGGGCTACGAGGGTTTATTCGGCACACTCTCCGTCATCATGTGCACGCCCATTCTCGCTATGCCGTCAATCGCTTCTAGCTCGCCTTTCTTTGACCTTCCTAGGGGTTGGTACCAATTGGTGAACACACCTAGTGTCCTTTGGTCAGGGATCGCCATCGCCATTAGTATCTCCTTGTTCAATTACTTCGGCTTGAGCGTTACCCGGCATGTAAGCGCCACAGCGAGGAGTTTGACCGACACCTGCAGAACACTCTCGATCTGGCTAATCAGCCTTGGACTAGGCTGGGAGAAACTTCTTTTCCCCATTTCGCTCCTGCAAGTACTAGGATTCTCCTTCTTGGTGTAAGGAAGTCCTTCATACAGTTGTTACGTGGCGCTCACGAATCTTTCATATTCTAGGTATGGCACGGTACGTCTTTAATCAACGTTTTAATGGTAGTTATCGTTTAATGCGGTCTTCTAGTTCCTTTTCAATGGTTTGGTCAACCCTCCCTCTTTCCTCCACCCGCCCTTGGTTCTAGAGGAGACGGTAGGTGGCGAAGCGGAAGAAGGGGAGGCCTTGCTCGCTTCACAGCATCTGGACGATACCGCTGCTCTGCCTGTTGACCTTGGTCAAAGTGGTTATGATGTTTTGCCGAAGAATGTCAGGGTTCATGCGCAAGGTGTCTCGTCAGCAGAAGATTGAGGCCTGAGGATTTACCTAGATGATACTTACACCTAATACATTTATCCATGAACATGTGCTGATGCGGACGCCACACGGTTGATGCGCTCCGCCGTTTATTAAAGACGCCGTTCACGGACCCGCATGTGAACAAAAACTCCAGCACCATATGGTCCTCGACAGAGATCAGATGGCACGTTGCATTTGTGGGATGTAGAGAACAATAGAACAAGGTCAAGCATGCCTCATGCCTTTTGATCATGACATCTGAAGTGATAGCGAGCTTTTACGCCGAGAACCAAGCGGCGAATTTCGGCAATTTGCACGTCTACTCTTCTTGTCTTCTCTCATATCAGTAAGAGGCTGGACGCTGTAGACTGGATATGGGCTGGCTTCGACAGGTTCTTCCACCGACACGAGGCAGATCGCTAACTTGTAAGTAGTACGGTGGAGCCAAGGCTTCTCGAAGGTACGGGCGCGAACAGAAAGTGTACTATTCAACTCGAACTACTGGCGAACTCTATTACTCATTCAAAAAAGGCTCGAATCACTTATCAACACTGCATGGCGCAAGTGCAAAACCGCCGAACTTGAAATCGCACTAACCAGCAACTGAGTATATAAATATACTTCCCTAGGAGGTTTACTCGGAGTTGTGCTTAATTCGCGAGTTCGGGTAGTAGAATCACCCTAATAGACTTGCCCGTCGTTTACTGCGATAAGCATGTATGAACCGAGCTCCTTTGGAGTGTTATCGATCCCGTCACAAGAAAGTTATTTGCATTTTGCAAGGTTGTACAATCGACGGATACAACGTGGTTTGAATTGGCGATCATCGTGGGTCCGAAAGTCGTACCAATTTGGTTCATGTTTCACCCGCCAGCGCAACATGTTCATGCTGTCACCAAGCTGCTAAAGTCTTTTGAGTGAGAAGACGAACCCAATGGAGGATGCTAAGTATGCTTACGGGCTAGTGTGTCAGCTCGAACACGAGACGACTCCTCATAAGGTCATTCAGACGACTCGTTGTCGCTGTCGCTACTAGTAGTGTCCAGAAGGGTTGCAGCTTCTAACTTCTCGATGTTCCAGCCAATCATCGATTTCGTAATGGCCAGAGCATTCAATTGCTGTGCGATGTCTAATAACACCTCATCGCTGCGGAAGTAAAGATGTTCATATAAACACTAGCCATTATGTCGGAAAATTAAAATGACGCCGCACCTCGCCGATGCTTGGATCCAAACGCAGAAATCATCGACCCAGATTTTGTTATACACGTAATATACTTCATGATGGTCCAAAACATGTTTCATCTCCAATAAGTAACGCGTGACCGTCCTTCTACCCTTCGCCAAAATGGCTGCTACGTCATTCTGACAAGCATCGGCCATTGCGAAAGAGCGATAAAGAGGGAATGCAAGAGAACGCCGATAAGACGGCATCAAAGCTGAAGCGAGGTCGGAATCGGTGAACCCCGACGTGGGGATAGACAGGGGAACGCTTTCTAAAGATACATATGGAGGGGGATCCAGCGCTGAGAACGCAGGTACGAGTGAGCAAATTGTCCAGGCGCTTTCAGGGGTGGGGTCGTGCTGTGTCGTGCGTCTGTCATAGGCGTATGCGAATAACAAGGTTAATAGTGTTAGATACAGGTTTCGCTCCTGTGATTTTGTAGGTAAGTCTGTCGTAATGTGCTCAGTGTTGATATGGAACAAAGCGAAAATATCGCTCACATTCTTTGCGCGGTAAATGGAGCATCGTCATATTCTCGCTCTCGGTGAATATACATTCAGCATTTCCAAGCTCGGGATCTTCCCAGGCAAGAAGTTCTTGAATGTACTCATCATCCACGTAATCCGCCCTACAGGAGGAGGCAGATGAGCGTTCAAATCGATGTCTTGTTCAAGGATCCTACATATAATGCTCCTCATCCCATTTCACCTCTTCATGTTGCAATCTTTTCGCTCGTCGTTCTTCTGGTAAGCAACTTTCAGCCTCACTCCCTAGTTCATTGACATCATTTTCTGTGTGAGCAACGTGGGTGAAGTATCCTGTGTACATATTCAAGAACCCATAATATCTCTTCGTGGATAGTTGTAATGGAGAAGAGGTTTCTGCGATAGTCTGGGGAAACTGCCAGTCATTTTCAGCGGCTGGAAAATAATTTGAGGATATTTGTTGAAGTATGAAGTCATCGCACGCACCTTCCAATATTTCCCGTTGTTCAAGCGAGATCGCATCAGTTAAATCCACAAGTTCTTCCAGCTCGCTTTGTGGTGAAGTCTCAGACCCGATGACTTCTATAGCCGGCTGTTTTGGAACTTCAACATGACGTGGAGCCAGTAGCTTTGCTAGTAAATCCAAGTCAGGGAATTCTTGCCCCTTCGTCTCTTTAGTCAATGTAACCGTTAAATATCCACTGCTTGGATCGTAGGTTGCAGAGGATTGGTCGTCGTCGAGGACCGAATGAGGAAAGTTTATACGAAGAAAATAAGGGTTGATGTGAACGGTCAACAAAGTCTCATCGACATTGATCTCCACATCAGAGGCCTACTTCGAGGATATCATTGATCAGGCTTGGGACCACAAGTGCTGCACAGACGTACTCTTACTGATGGGCAGTAAATTGATACTGCCACTGCTTCAAGAGTTTGGGTACAGTAAAACCGTGGAGTTATCATATTGCAACGACTTTGAAGACCGAGATGAAAATGGCTGTTCAGATTTCGTGAAAAACCCAGCAAATATACGCAATCCTAGGATTTGATCTAGTAGACGGAATGACTGAGACTCTTTCTTCGACTGGAGACCAGATTTGATGCAATAATGATGAGATCAAAACAAGTTTCAGAGTCATCCGATGCGATGACTCGGATTCATCATCTGCAGGACCGAAGCAGTAATCACATACTACTTCTTATACTTCAGGCTGAACGGTGGATGCTCCAATCATCATAGCCCCCCAGACCAAAATGGACCCTCAGGTAGTCTTCGTTTGGCATTGCATAGTAGGCTTAGACGCTAATGTTATTTGCTTGTAGAAATTCACAGCGTATCCATCGCTCGCCGCTGTAGAACAGCTCATTATTCGCGAGAAGCGAGGCAACTGCGTCCCAATATTTATTCAGCTTCCTGCAGACCTTATCACGCCATGCATGGCGTATCTCCGAATAGCCAAAGACTCCAAGTACAGCTTCCTACTGGAGTCGGTTATTGCGGGAGAGAACATCGCCAGATACAGTTTCGTCGGCGCAGGTAGGGTACCCGCCCGATGTTACTGGCTTTCAATGTCAATTGACGCGCCTTAGACCCACTGAAGGTCATCAAAACTGGTCCGAAGGAGGAGTTTCAGGGAGATCCACTTTCTGCTCTACAACGGGAGCTCGCCGTTCACCAATATGTGAAAATTCCTGAAATTCCAACCTTCACCGGAGGCGCGATTGGATACGTGTCCTACGACTGTATACAGTACTTCGAGCCCAAGACTGCTCGAGAACTCAGTGATCCTTTATCTATCCCGGAGTCTTTGTTTATGCTTTGCGACACCCTCCTCGTTTACGATCACCTATTCCAGTCCATTAAGATCGTCTCTCATGTCTTCTATCCAAAAGATGCCGGCATCACGAACCTTCCATTCGTATATCAAACTGCTCAGTCAAAAATCCGTCGGCTAGCAAAAGTGCTTCTGAGTCCCACAACTCCAGAAGTACTGCAGCCTCCAATTACGTTAGGAAGCCAAGCCGTGTCCAACATAGGCAAGGAAGGCTACGAGTCATTTGTGACCAAGCTCAAGGAGCGCATTGTTGCCGGTGATATCATCCAAGCAGTTCCATCTCAACGCCTTGCCCGTCCAACAAATTTACATCCTTTTAATGCATACAGACATCTTCGCCAGGTCAACCCTAGCCCCTATATGTTTTATTTGGATTGTGGAGAGCTACAGATAGTCGGCGCTAGCCCGGAAACTCTTTGTAAAGTGGAGGAAAACAAGGTCTATAACCATGCCATTGCTGGGACCGTCAAGAGAGGAAAGACTCCAGCAGGTTAGTTTGAATGTCTGTACGGAGCAAGCTATTTTGATTCCTTTTGCAGAGGACGACAAGCTTTGCAAACTACTCCTTTCATCTGAAAAGGACCGGGCGGAACACATCATGCTTGTTGATCTCGCCAGAAACGACGTCAATCGGGTTTGCAAGGCGGAGACCGTGAAAGTCGATCATCTTATGGCGGTACAGAAATTCAGTCACGTCATTCACATGACGTCCCAAGTTTCGGGAATGCTGAGGGAAGGATTGACGAGGTATTTTACCGTTTATCGTGTTCTCTGCAATTGCCAACAATTTTTAACAGGTTCGATGCTTTCCGCTCCATATTCCCCGCGGGAACTGTATCGGGAGCTCCTAAAATCAAAGCCGTCGAACTGGTTGCCGAACTAGAGGGTGAACGGAGGGGAGTTTATGCCGGTGGTGTCGGACGTTTCGACTTCGCCGATGACGAAATGGACACATGCATTGCCATTCGTACAATGACATTCAAGGACGGGGTCGCCTACTTGCAGGCAGGTGGAGGTATCGTTTTTGACAGCGTGGAAGAAGAGGAATATGTAGAGAGTATTAACAAACTGGGGGGTAATCTACGAGCACTGAGTGATGCAGAGAGTAAGTCTTGTTACTAAATTATGGTGGTGCGTTTACTGAAGGAGGATACAGAATATTGGAGTGAAGTTCAAGCGTCGCATTCATAACAACATTGAACGCACGTAGTAGAACTAATATCTGTCAGCTACATATCGCGTAGTACCTCGTTCTTGAGCACGCATGTATTGAGATCGTTGTAGCTCTTTACTTTGCTCTTCTCTTTCTCGCAAAACTCTCCCTTCTCTTCCGGCTATGCTGAGAACACCTGCAATTAACTCTGCTGCTCGTGGGCTCTCGTCATTCGCAGGAATGGCATACATAACCACGCGAGGATCGACGTTCGAGTCGACAATGCCAATAGTAGGAATATGTTGTATTGCGCATTCACGGATGGCGTGGATATTTGCCAGGGGGTTTAGGAAGATGACCAGGTCGGGTGTGACACGCTGCTCTTTTGCAACGTCAGACCCAAACAGCTGCAGTTTGTTCGTAAGTGTGCCAGGCAGCCATCTTTCGCCAACATGGAAAGCCTGCGGTCCAATCCTCTCTGCAGCTTTGCGCACAACAGCACGCAGATCTGGACGAGTGCCCACGAAGACAACTGTGCCATCCCTTGCAACGATAGCGCGAGTGAGGTTCGCAGCCCTCCGCAACAGTGGGAGGGTCGAGTCGAGGTCAATTATGGTGATGCCGGCACGAACACCATACGCGTAGGGCATAAAATTTGGATTGAGCAAAGATTTAGAGTGCCCAAAATGTGCGCCGGCAGCTATTAGTGCGGATAATGTTGCTTCGGACGGAGCGAGAGGCCGGTGCAACTGGTGGTGGGGTTGGAAAGCATTATCTCGCGTCACATTAGAGCCATGCTTGCTAAATAGATCGACTACACAGGATAATAAGCAAAAGTTAGTTTCGTACACGAAAAAAGACACTCACCGAGCATTTTGAAACGTATCCGGCGGTCTTGCAACAACTGCCAATCATCTGGTGACTGCAGAGGAAATGGTTGGTCACTAGAAGTGAATACATTTCGTCTATGCTGTAGAACCGAAAGCTGGCTTCTACGCATACATCTTGTAGCAGAAAGCCATGGTCTTAGACCTGCCTTGGTAGACATGTCGAAGAATGGATCGTGTTGGTGGCGGTGCAAAATTTGTTACCATTGGTCTGGTTGCTTACTTCAGCTGCGCAATCGATTTTTTTCGATTGCCCTTCTGCCCATCACCATCATCCGGCCCATCTCTCTCTTTAATTTTTTGTTTATCTCTTTAAAAAATGGAAGACGCATTTGACGGCGCTATTGGCATCGATCTCGGTACTACATACTCGTGAGTACCTACAATTCGCCATCGTCATTCTATTAACATCTTTTCTTAGCTGCGTGGGTGTATGGCAAAATGATCGAGTTGAAATTATCGCCAACGATCGTAAGTTTCTGTGCTATACGATGAATTTGCACATTTATCTGTGTGCGTTCTGCAGAGGGTAACCGGACAACTCCTTCATATGTCGCATTCTCTGCGGAGGAGCGTCTAATTGGTGATGCTGCAAAAAATCAGGCTGCTATGAACCCCCGCAACACAGTCTTTGATGCCAAGCGTCTCATTGGCCGTCGTTTTGAGTGAGTGTCTCATGAAGTATCTTTCGATAGCACTGATAACATGCGAAAAAATTAGTGATCCCGACGTCAAGAAGGTTGGTGTGAGGATCTATAACTGAAATCAGATGCTAAATATGTCACTCCAGGATATGACTCATTGGCCCTTTGAGGTTGTAGAGAAGGAGGGTTCACCTTTGATTAAGGTTAACTACCTTGGCGAGGACAAGGTTTTCAGCCCCCAGGAGATCTCGTCAATGGTTCTCACTAAAATGAAAGAGATTTCGGAGGCAAAACTCGGCAAGACTGTCGCCAAGGCTGTCGTCACGTGAGTTATTCTGTTCGTACCATATGTGAATTTGTTCCAACGTGAATGAACAGCGTCCCCGCCTACTTCAATGACTCGCAACGTTTGGCAACCAAAGATGCTGGAACCATCGCTGGTCTTGACGTTCTCCGTATCATTAATGAGCCCACTGCTGCTGCCATCGCGTACGGTTTGGATCGTCAATCGAAAGCGGAGAAAAACGTTTTGATCTTCGATCTTGGTGGAGGAACTTTCGATGTCTCGTTGCTCAACATCAGCGGTGGTGTCTTCGCAGTTAAGGCCACCGCAGGTGACACTCACTTGGGTGGTGAGGATTTCGACAACACCCTCTTGGAACACTTCAAGAATGAATTCAAGAGGAAAACGAAGCACGATATTTCTGAGGACCCCCGTGCACTCAGACGACTAAGAAGTGCTTGCGAGCGTGCCAAGCGCACCCTCTCGAGTGTCACCCAAACCACTGTTGAGGTTGACTCGCTGTACCAGGTTAGCATGTCACGTGCGAACTCGAAGCTGGATTTTATCTGATGCATTCACAACTAGGGTGAGGATTTCTCTGCCAACATCACTCGTGCCCGTTTCGAGGAGATCAATGCCGCTATGTTCAAGTCGACCATTGAACCCGTCGAGAAGGTGCTCAAGGATGCCAAGATGCCTCGCGACAAGGTCGATGATATCGTCCTCGTTGGTGGATCCACTCGTATCCCCAAGATCCAATCTCTTGTATCGGAGTACTTCGGTGGACGCCAGCTGAACAAGTCGATCAACCCTGACGAGGCTGTTGCCTACGGTGCCGCTGTCCAGGCTGCTGTTCTCACTGGCCAGACCTCAGAGAAAACTGCGGACCTTCTTCTTCTTGACGTAGCTCCCCTTTCACTTGGTGTTGCTATGCAGGGTGATGTCTTCGGTGTCGTTGTCCCCCGTAACACTCCCATTCCCACCAACAAGTCGCGGACATTCACGACTGTTGAGGACAACCAGACCACTGTCACCTTCCCTGTGTAAGGCGGACACCTATCTATATCTCAACGTTACGCTGACGCCTTGACCTCCAGGTATGAGGGTGAACGCACCCAGTGTCGTGATAACCGTCTGCTTGGTGAATTCGAGCTGACTGGT